CACACACACACACACACACACACACACACACACACACACACACACACCCACACACACACACATACTGAAATGAGATAATCATATAATAACAATATTGGCCTGTGCCTTATTTTGATTTGTCGCAGCCACTGTTTTGACTTCTGTGCAGCAGGGACCTGTGCCGACAGAAAGCTCGGACTCAGCAGCAAATATCAGTCTGCAGGTCACTGCTGCTCCTTCAGCTGGTCCAAGCTATTCAGCCGATGTGAGGAAAAAGTCGCACCATCACCAAACGTTATTGTCTGGAAGCTGGCGGTCACACCCTGAGAGGAAATAAGCAGTGAATTGATGTTCTGTACAGTGCAGGTAACAGTTTACGCTCTGCTGATTCTTAGTCTTCCAGATCACAATCTTTATGGATATATAGAACTGAAGATGTTGTTTAAACACAAACCATATGATCCCTCTCCTTCAGTTTAGATTCAGTGGCCAGCCGGGTTGATGAGAATATTTACATGCAGAAGCAGTTTCAACGTATGATTTAAAAGAGAACCGTGTATAATAGACAATTATATAACCTTTCTTCCTCAAATTCCTTCACTAATGTGACTCCGATGGTTGAGGTGAAACCCAAATTGGTAAATAATTCACAAGTGAGTGACTGATCATGCCAAAGACCACTTCAATAAAATGAGATCATGACTATACTTCCTATTTCACAGCATACACAAAAGAGAAAGTCTGACTAGAATGAATATATATATAAATATATATATTTGACATTTACATTTTGTGGGGAATGTTTTGTTAAGCTTGAAATTCATGAGTGGCACTCCAAGTAAAAACCTACAAGCTTTTGTTAGACCACAGGGGGGTAGCACAACCTCGTATTTTTATTTGATTTTTTTGCCTAGTTCCAATGAAACACAGGGCTGTCACTGGGGGGAAAAGCTTCTCACATCAGCTTGACTGTTATCATGAATCATTGATCGTTGATATATTTATATCTATTATACCAAATAGTGACACTTATGTTCCTTTGCAGGTTATTTTAGTTACGTGGGAATTAATTTATGCATCTAAACCACAATGGAAACTCTGACGGGCCGAGAGACATAACGGGAAACAAGAATACAAGAACAATTTTGTGGAATCGAGCCAGAACAGCATGTCTAATAAAAGCACTACGATCAAACCATTTCCTTCTCTTGGTGGAAGTCTGAGTGAATGAGATAAAAAAGCAGGTCAGTGGGTTTTCCATTAACTGGATGGGAAAATGACACTGCATGGAAGGCTGAAGAGTTTTCTGAATCCACACAAAAACAACAACAGGATATTTGACAAAGGTGGCCGGAGAGCAATTTCCTTTTAACATCAGCGATCATGACAACAAACACTCACTGAGATTAATGCAGCACCGATCTCATCTACATGGCTCGCGAATGTGTTTGTATTGTAGTTCGACGCCATCCAAACAGTAAAAACATGTGATTTATTATTTATTTTTTTTAACCCAAGGCAAAAGCAGCAGAGGACATATCTACCCTCTGATGGCGGTGGCTGCAGGGGGACGGACTGCTGGACGTGCCACATTCGTGTTTCACCTCCGTGCACAGACTGAGCTGGTGGTGTGAGGAAAACGGAGGGTGAGAAGCTCGAAGTGACAGGGCGGGCGGGTTGGAGACCTAAAAAAACAGAGACAGAATCCCCACTAAAGCTGAGGGGAGAGGCGTGTATGTGGATGTGGTGTGAGGGCGGCGGGGCCTGCTTCACCTGTGAGGCTGGGCTGAGGCGGGGGGAGTGCAGAGAGGGCAGAGAGTTGTTGTAAGACAGCAGGCAGGGCTGGCGACATCTGTCCATGGACGCCGACGAGTGCGGCCGCAGGCCAGCTTGCGGAGCGGCCGGAGACTTCATGGCCCTTCCCAAACTATTCGATGTGCTTTCCCTGCGTTGGTACTCTATCGGGGACTGGAGAGCTGCCGTGTGTAGGAAAACATTCCACATGACTCAGACACATCGCACCTGTAAATCTACGTGTTCGTCAAAAGAAAAAAAAAAATGGAGCAAGTACCGTTCAGGAAGTTCCTCTGAGTTTCCAAGATCTGAACCACATCACAGAACCAAGCTTGTTGTATCTCTGGAGATGATGCGTGCATGACGAAGCGCGTTACGCTGCTGTCAGTCCCCCGGGAGGTCAGGACCAGACCGGACGGATCCTCCTCAGAGGGTTCCTCCACACCTAAGCAGCTGACCTACAAAGCAATAAAAATTGCCTCCTTAAATATTGAAGACAAGCAACTGTAAGTCATCAAAGCAATAAAATATAGGTTTCATCTCACCTTGATGCTGTTTTTAAACGTGTAACCTGGCAAAGGTAAGCCTTTCTTCTTATCGATTGGCTCACTGAAGATGACCAGCTGCTCAAACAGGAAGACACGCCTCTCCCTGGCTCTGGACAGGAGGCCGCCTTCCTGCTCGCTCACAGAGAAAGTGTCCTGCTGGAGCAGCTTTCCCTGAGCTGTGATTTTCCCCTGACACAATACATGTACACAGTTACTGTCAAGTCACTATGTCTTCTTTATGATGAAGAAAAAAAACAGCTTTGAAAAAATCTGAATATCCAATACCTCAAAACCTTGTAGTCTTCCCACATTCATCATGTCGTTACAGCGTTTTGGCACAAAACACATCACCTCCACTGCTTTCTGATTTTCAAATGGGATCAGCCAAAGTTAAGACATTGTCATGGTGGACAAATTAAACTTACGCATTATTTCACACAAGTTTAATGCCCCATACCTGCAGCTCCCCCACATCTCTCCCAGCTTTTCTGTAGTATTTCAAGAAGTCCTGAAGGCGTCAGAGAGAGAAAAGGCCTATTTAGATCTTTGTCTGTTTTCATAAGAGGATACAATCTTTAAAAAATAGCATGAATGTAAACGACCAAATGTATGAAAGAAAAAAACCTTCAAAAGCAGCTGATACTTCATGATCCTCTGAACAGGCTTTATCAGGAGATCATTGAGCTGCAGCCTGTGACCCAACTGCTGCCTGAGATCCTGTTCACGTAGAGAAATGAAAGGAATGTCTTTTAACAATTGGAGAGAGTCCTGCTCTGTAAGATTTTGCAAGTGCTTCGATTTTACAAGTAGTACAGAAGTTGTAACGTTATATTCTCACCTCAAAATAGGTCTCAATGTACTCAGAGACAACATGCTCGGACTTGGGTTTGTTCTGGCAGTAAACCACGTACATGTGAAGACGGCGTTCCTGCAGAGTTTAACAGACAGAGCAAAAGTTTTCCACATGGTGCATGAGTGTGAGGAGTGAACGTGTTGCTGTGTGCGTGACAAAGAAACGGAGAGAGGAGGGGGACATTTCTCAACTGTCTTGGGTCTTAGTTTCCTTTCGGTGTTGCTGTGCTTCCGCTCCACATAAGGGCTTTTCTTTTGTCTTCCTTTTTTTTTAATCAGTCCAGGAAATTGGCATCATTAAATTGTTTCAGTGCCTTAGTATCTTTAGTATCCATGGCTTTGTTGGCATATAGAGGTATTAAGTGACATAAAGAAGGTGAGTAAACCAAACCAAATCCGATCCTCATCCTCTCCAGTGGATTTTTTAGCTTCTTTTGCTGTTATTGCAGCTCCACATTCTGATACTCGGTGGCACGCTGCAATAAAGTGCGTTCACCACTTCTTGAGGCTTGCCATGTTTTGATGTGTTTCAGCATTTAGTCAGTGACTCAATGAAAGACTTTAGCTATCAGATGTTTGAAGTTTTGTTGGATGACATTGGTTTTTTATTTCAACATCAAATGGTCTTATTTTTACAAGTTCAACTTAAAACAGCAAAACAAGGAAAACCTAAATGTGCTAAACACTCATATCCAGTTCATGTTCTCAGACATCGTGCTCTCTGTGGAGAATCTGTAACCCTGACCGCTGACTTTGAAAGCTCTTCAGTCAAACCACAGTGATTACAAGATTTTTTTCCAGCAGTTTCACCTGCAAATGATAGCTATAAAGAAGGAAAAACATCTGCACGGCAGCTGACCAACACTGAGGTGGATGATAAAAGAAACATCCACACTTCAATGATCTTTCGACTCACATGTTTGATGAAGAGTTGGGCCAGGCTGTCTGGATTTCCTACACATTTCTCCAGTTCCCCCAGGAAGAAGCTGCGTGACACAAGGCAGAGGTCAGGCAGGAAAAGTCACACACACTCAGAGGCAGGAAACTCAGCCAGAGAAGACGTGACACAAGCGGAGTAATCGTGGAACACGAGGGGCTCACTCTTTGTGCCAGTCGTAGATCTGGTGGATGTTTCCAAATACGATCCTGTCCTTTCCTCTCATGTCCTCTGGAGCTCCCTGATTAGCCATCGTGGTCATGTAGCCCTTTACAAAGCCATCGCTGGTAAGATCACACATGTCTAACTGGCAAAATTATAGTTGATCATTTAAAGGCTGACGTACATACCTGGACTATGAGCCCAAGATCTTCAACATACAGCCTTTCTGTCTCTATCAGCTCTGTCAGAACATACCTGGGAGAGAATTGTCACAGATAATACAGAACAGAAACAGTTAAAACCTATTTTCTACTTTAAACATAACCACAAATGTACATGCGCTCAATCATTTTTGTCATCTTATGATTAATTTGTCCGATTGTTGGACTACTTCATTCTAATTGTTCACCATTATCTATATAGTATAGTCATTGGATGGAATAGCATGAGAAATTGTAGAGAGAACTCTTATAATTTCCAAGCTGTGTTGTTCAAACAGGGAAAATAAAGCTACCAGACAAACAGAAACATCTATAATGAAGTGATTTGATGGAAATGCACATGAACTGTCCTTCTTTGGCTTTTGAATTGTCTTTATCAAAATGTGGTGTGTCATGAAGTATGCAGACTTGGGAGGCCAAGTCTAGACTATAAGGAAACAGGAAAATTTGTGTCTGATGAGATTAACAAGTCCATGTCCCGTTGTCAAGTTCCAACTTTTCAGTTATGTCATTACATGGCACAGGTTGTGAAAAAAACAGCTCTAATAATCATCATCATCATCTGTACTCAGATTTCCAGAAAGAAAACTCTTAACCAAGTTGTTGAACTAATGTTTTAACCTACAGCTTGTTACTCACAAACTCTTCTCTAAGGCAATGCTCCGTTCTTCTTCACTGTCCACCACGGCAGAGCACTGGCTGGCGGAGTCCTCAGCCCCGGCACAGCTGTCCTCCCCCTGCAGAGTGTTGATGCTGGACTTTTGGCTCTGAAATACACAAGTGAGGCAACATAAATCCTGGTATCACATCTCTGCAACATATCATGCAACAAGTGTCGATGCCACCGTTATTTACAACATTCAAACCGCTGATTTACTCAGGAACTGGTCTGAGGAGCTCGACCTTTGCTTGAGTTTCCTCATTTTGCACTGATACAAAATGTCCATCAGCTTCTTCCTCCTCAGGGGTTTCAGGGGTTAACATGCCAGTTTCTACTCTACAATCTTCACATACCTGCTTGTCAATAGAACAACACACAAATGATGTATAGATTAAGTTACAATAATTCACAAGCGCCCTGAAGGTATATAAAGGACTTAACAGTGGCAAAACATAAGAATATGTGCTCAGATTTTTATTACAAGGGAAATTAATTTTTATTTACTGTGAAATTTATCTCAAAGCTGTATTTACTGGGCATTTTTTTACTTATATTAGATCTGGTGACACAAAGATGGGCTGCAAAGGGTTTTCTTGGTTTGCACCGTCGCTTTACTCTGGGTGAATGTATGTGTTGTTGTTCAGCTCTGCGTGGCCCTGTGGTGAACTGGTCACCTGTCCATAGTGTGCCCTGCTTCTCACCCATGTCAGGTGGGATAGATTCCAGCAGCCCTGTCACGCCGCTAGGAAGCGGGATAGACAATGGATGGTGATACAAAGAATGATAAAAAGTACAATAAAACATTAAAAGGAGAAAAAACACATGCCTTTTCCTTCATATTTACCAAAAAGCATAAAAATGTAAGGAAAAAAGTATGTTTTTTCAGCTCTTTTCTCCATGTTACTCCATTGTTTTACTGCTGAAACACTTTTTCTCACAAAGAAACTGAGAACATGACCAATCTGCATTTACTGTCACAATATGTCAGTATAAATCCCCCTCAGTGCTTATTTGTTAACACTAATTGTCAATTTTGCCGTAACAAAGTAGCATTTAGGTTATGACAGAATTTCTGTATTGCTCTTGTGATTCATGACGCAGATAAGGCTCACACTCCTTCCATCACTGAAACCTGGCGTGGTAGACTGATCCACACTTAAGTTATTGGGTCCCTAGAAAAGCATTTCGACCCAGTCAACACACTGTCCTGTGAGAAATAATTCACCGCAGCTACTGGATGTGACCTGTGAGTAATGAGCCCTTTCTCTCACTGCTGGAGAGAAGACAGTTTGGGAGACAGAAAAGCTAATAATCCGCAGTTTGTCAAGTCATACAACAGAGATGGGGGTGACTGACCCAGTCACGGAGAGAAGTTATATAACAAATACCACTCCTCACCTAAAAGCACTATAATCTAATGTGAATTTGACTGTAATCCTCTTGACATACTTTAGTCTCAACACATTTTGTCCTCTGCCTCGGTGTAACGCTCTAATCCCTCTGTAGAATCGGTATGTATTTGTCGGTCAACTATGTGCTTTCTGTTTATCTTTTTTTTACACAGCCACTCTGTTTTTCTCTCTTAGCGTTTTTTCTGTTTGTATTCTCACATGGAGAAAGGAGTCCTGTCTATAAAAACGGGCAGAGACATTCGATTTCCTCTCTTTCCTTTATAACCTAAAAACGTAATTTCCTGTCATGACTCCCGACTTTAACAGCAGTATGAAAAAAAAAAAAAATTACGTTAATTTAAGCTCTAACCACTGTATCGTTCGTGCAATTTAACACTGTTTTGCAACATTTAAAACTGAGTGAGTCATCCTTTTGTTTCATCTCAGGATTTGCATGGATGGAACAAAAGGTAGATAAAGATTGAATCGCTGAGCTGCAGACACGACGGTGGGAGGATTTGTTATCTTTGGACGGGGCCATCATGGTTTCCCATGTTTCTGCTCTCGTGCTAGGCAAACAGGCTGCTGGCTGTACATTTTTGTTTACCTTACAGACATGAGACTGCTATAAATCTTCTCATCTAACGCTTAGCGAGTAGGGAGATGAAATACTGTAATATACAATTATACTTAAGTATTGTTTTAAAAGGATAGAAAGGCTGTTTATCCTGACCCAGACAGTGCAAGAGCAAAGCTCCAGGTGTTTGTCAAACGGTATTGTCCTAGAGGGCCATTTAGGGTGAAAATGAGGTCAGCCATTTATCAAGCAAAATAGTGTACTTTTTTGTTCAAAGGATGATTTTAACCTTCTTTTCTAAAAAATTCCTCTTACCTCTTATGTAAAGGTTATGAAATTTGACCCTGTCATCACTGGAGAACTCACCAACATCGATGGGCCTGTTCTCACCTTGCCTTCAGGCCTCTCCCTCTACATTTGATGTACTCTCCTCACTCCCAACCCCGACTGTTTTTTCAGACTGTTAAAGACTTCTTGGCAAGTTGATTACTTCCAGATGCTATCTACAAAAGCCCACAGAACTGATTCCACTCTACTCCCTGTCAAAGATTTCCCAATGCAGTATTGAGTTACTAGAAGGAGTCGCATAGGCTTGTGTGTGTTTGTGTCTGCTTTTGAGTGCATGCATGAAAAATATTATGAGAAATGTTTCTGTTTGGCACCGCTGGGGGAAATCAAATGACGAGTGAAGATAAAAAGCCTTCAAATGCTGATACAACTTTACATGATGTGGGGTGATAGGTGCGTAATAATAGCACTCTTCTGTGTGTGAGTTGTTGATATATATGTAAGTGCTTTTTTGTAATTTGTTATAATCTCTGAGCCCTGCAATGTAAACAAGTTTCACTGAGAATTACAGAAACGTGGGGGGGAGTGGGGAATTTAGTGATATACAGCATAAACTATGGTATAACTATGCTATAACTATGTCCTCATCAGAAAAAGTATATTTCATGCTAAAATTTTGTTTTAATGCATTTAAGATTTCTATTTCCCCACGTCTTCTTCTTCCTTCCCCATTTGTGTCCTGGATGTTGTGATTTGACTGTATCTGTGCTTAAGTGTACAGAGGTGTTTTTTTTTATCATTGTTACGTCCCCTGTAGGGGGCGTGACACTGGGCCTTTTTTCCCCCTCTTCCCGCAACCCCTTTCCCAATGTATCTTTTTTTCCAAAGAAAAAGGGGGCGCTTCTGGAGAGGCTGACCCACAGTATTTCCGGACCTGTGTGTCTATGTGTCTGTTTTTGTATGATCTCGGACAGGCTGTGCTGAAGCCAGAATTTGCTTAAAGAACAATTCCAAGGGATAAATAAAGTGGAGTCTAAAGTCTAACCTGGGTCTGACCTGGGGTACTAAATTAAATTAAATATTTAAAACATGCTTCACACTTTGGAAACTGAGATGTTTGGGGGCTTAGATATTAATCATAAGTGTTAGCTTGATTCTCTAAGGCCTGTGGCACAAATGGTTAACAAAATTACATTATTGAGTATTTTGTCTCAGTTTCCCTTGAAGGTCTGTGCCTGCTAATGAACCGAAGTGCCGGACCTTTACGTAGGTTCTAAGACTTGATAAAGTGATTCAAATTAAACTAATAAAACTACACCGATCAACACTGAATGCAGCCAGCACAACTGAATAAAATTTAAGAGCCTTGTAATGTGTACTGTGGTAGTTGGCCAGACCTCCAGCTGCTTGGTTTAACTCATTATTCAAGCTTTAGTGCATATTTACTTGCATTTCTCTATTTGTTATTAAAAGTTAGATATACCTTTTTGCATCTTTTTGTTAATGGAAACACTGATGGTACTGATCAAATAAACTAATCATCCATATAATTTTACCTTTGCTGTTATTAAAGAGGTTTGACTGAGAATAATTGAAGCTATTGTTGGATTAAGTTGGCCTTCTGTCTGTGAACGTCCCACCCCTTTGCGCCAGTGAGTTTCCTGTGTTCAGAACTGATTTCCTTCACGTGGACCAATGTTTAGATATCAAAAGAACTTCCTGCACTGTTGTGCTCATGTCATTTTTCAATGTGAAATCTTTAGGTCCAGATTATCTGTTATGAGTAGAGACACGTAAAGTTCCTCTAAACTCCGAATGTTAAAATGCTTTACCAGGCTTTGTGAGTCTCTGCTTTGCAGGGGGTCACACAAATGGCTCTGATTGGATGGCAGAGAAGGCGACGGCGCGGCTGGACTCAAGAGACCATCTTTCCACTCCTTAACAAAAAAACAAACAGCCATCACTACAAGTATGTCAGATGTGTAACCTCAAGAATGTAAAAGCAGCTTCTATGAGCTCACGGTGTTTGCCGGAGACAGGATGGTGTGGTCATCATGCATCTCCAGAGAACTCTGCCGAGCCTCGCTGTGGGAGCGGAGCAGCGGTGGCCGCCTTCCGTCTGACCTGGACATCTGCTTCTCAGCTTTTCCTGCCCCACCTCTAGTATCGGAGCTAAGCTTCCGGACAGGGTTGGTGAGCCATTTCTTCAGGGCGCTGACTGGGTGCCGTGAACCCCCGGATGAGGAGTGTGAGCAGGGGCTTGTGCTGCCAGAGGCCTGGTGGGGCACAGATCCAGATGGGGTGATGCTGCCTTCACTGCCCGCTACAGAATAGGACTCTGCTGTAAGGGGGAGAGAGGGGAGAACAGATTGGAATAAAGTCTCAGCTAATTGTAGGATATATCCTCTCAGGTCAGATTCAGCAGACATATTTGTGCGCAAAAATGTTCAATTTCCTGTTTTAGGCCCTAACTGCAGCCCAGGCCACTGGAGCCACAGGACCTACTTATCCTAGATCAAAGCAAAGGAGAATAAAAACAGCGCCTGTTCACAAGGAAAGACTCCCATTTAAATGGAAACTTAAGAGTAAGGGTCGAGTTTAACTGAACATTGTAAAAGATAAATGTACTAAAACTATGCAAAGTTTTGATTTGATACAATTTTGGTTAGTGACAACGAATAAACACACTTAGCATACTTAGTTTGGTAACTAAGTATTTTAAAAGTGTAATTTTTAAATTACACTTGGCTGGAGTAGTTTATATGATAGTTTGGCTGAAACTAATTCAGAAATAAATGTGATGAAAATTACAACTGCAATGCAGTTTAATGTACTGTAGGATATCAGATTCTAATTCTAAGAATTGGACGCTTTCCATCTCAAATTTAATCTGAATTCTCAAATGCATAATTTCATTTTGTATCAAAAAATAGTGCCATACTAATAAAACTCGAAAATGTTTACCAGACCATAACAACGTTGTTTTTTATTTTTTTTATTTTATTAACTTTAGGGTTGACAGTATTTGTTTTAAGCTCATTGGTTCTAAAATTGTTAAGAAATTACCTGACAAGTAAACAAGATTTAATTGTACCAATTTAATTTTCATTCTGAACTATGTGATGAAAAGTCCCTCAGAACAGATGCCACTACATTTACAGTGAAAGCTATTACTCTACAATTACGACTGGACCAGTACCAGGCATAGCATCCTTTCATGCCACAGCTGGATATCGTTTTCAAGTGGAAAATGGTACCTAAACCTTAACCACACTGTTTAAATCATGCATCCCAACGTCAACATTCCCTCTATTTTGTTGATTCCAGTAAGGCAGAATCTTTCAGGAGCCCCATTTTGTAATTTTGGACTCTTCCCAGAGGCTAATACTCCCCATCAGCACATTTATGAAAGCTGTAATCATGATGACAACCTTTCAAGAACCCAGCAAAAAACTGGGTCAGCATTTTACCCACACTGCCTGGTACCACAATTAAACAAGACGGCAAATTGACAGGAAAATACTAAATAATAACTTTCTCCCTGCTTCCATTCAGCTCTCCGATATTCCACTGGAACAAGAATAATCTGTCTAGGATGGATAAACGCTCAAATATTATGACCATTGCGCATGAAATTCGTTTAAAGCAGTGATTAAATATCCTACAGTTTAAAGCATATCTAAGCCTCTATCCAAAATAAACTAATTGTCGGGCACTCATTCAGTGCCTGCCACAAACTCATTTCTGTAATGGAGTGATTTAGAGGGAGGGGAGGACAGTCAGGGCATCCACTTGTGCCAGTAACTTGGGCATGAAATGAATATTCATCCAAAACAGTGTGGAGTTGAGAGGCAACTTCCCAAAAGTTAACGGGCAGGAGTGAAATATCTCCAACCAGACCTTACACGTCTAGAAAAATAAGTTAATGTGAACGGCCAACCTCAAGAGTTGATAACAGGGTGCCAGAAACAGCTTCCTCGAATGGTCAAGATGAAAACTAACACAAGACATTTTTAAAAATATTGCTCCATACACCAATAGGTTATTTTAGAGTGTCAAGAGAGTCTCAAGTTTTCAATTCTGTAAATGACAGTGCTGAAATGCAAATATTCAGTTTCAAGGCTCAAGAACTACATGTGACATTGATATACAATATGTTGATGTTTTGATACATAGGTTGTGTAGCTGTAATCAGTACAGAGCACTCTTATGTATCATGACCTGTTCTCCTGCCTTTTTCTTGATATGAAAATAAGTTTGTCACATCTTTCCTTATTCTTCATATTTCACTTACACCTCAGGTTGCTGGATCACTCTCTCTGTAGTATTGTACAATTATGTTGCTCACTGTGATTTTGAAGATTAAAAGGTGTGAAAAATGTTACTTCCCTTTCAATATTGGTTTGTTTTCATTTTTTCCCCTGAACTCTCCCAAACGTTAATTGAAGATTATTGAAAACCCACAAGCTGCTTAACACATAGACAAAAATGAATCCACCAGTGAACTTTGTGATATCTGTCCCCAACGAGCTGGTTTTCTATTTTACATAATGCAGTCTTGAAATGTATTTCTATATCAAGCATGAGCATCTTTATCTATAAAAAAAATGTTCTTAATGTATTCACAAAATAAACCAGATATTCTTACATTCAACTACACTAACAGAACAGTCCAGCTTACAGTGCATCCACATTGACTAAAAGTACAAAGAAAAAAGAAAGTGGTGCCATCTGTTCAAAGCAACCCAGCTGTGGTATGAAACCTGTCAGCTGGAGGAAAAAAACAACCTTGAAAATGTCATAATAGCTGTACCAACATTGACAAGCTTGTTAGCTCTATGACCCAAATAAGCAGTCCTCAAAAAGATGAGCACACATTGCCTTAACCCTGTGCAGGGTTAAAGCAGTACACTTTTTACAGTGGTTACATAGGTAGGAAATGGGCACTGGGCAGAAATGCTGCTGACCACCTCATCTGCTGGAATGACATATCCTCACTGGCCTCACTGCAAGGTTTCAACACTTTCCCTGGAATGACCCTTAATGGTTTTTTGGTTGTTGTGACATCCAGATCGCTCTTGAGCTGAGTTACTCAGCTCGTCGCCATGGTTTGAATGCGTTATGTAATGTGTAATATTTCCAAGGAACAGCAGCTGGACCACGACTGGGACTGAATATCTGCAGTGCGTGCAAGCACTAGTGCTGTCCATGCACCCTCTGCTGCAGGCGTCATGGACAGAAAGAAAATAAACAATTATGTCTTGTTGAGCTTTTTAAGAGATGGAAACACTTTTAATGATCTTTTCACCAATTCCCTGCATGCAGACCTACAGAGAGATAAAGGTTAGCAAGACTGACTCTACAAACTCTGAGCCTCTGACAACACACCCAGAAGGACAAGGCACTGAATGTGAACAGAAGAATTAGAAGGAGATCACATTTAACAACAACAACCCTGTTTGCTGCACAGAGAACTGCCAGCATGTTGCAAAACATCATACATCATTTAAAATGGTTTCAGCTAAAACAGAAACTCCATGTTTCTTTCATTTTAGTTGTAGTTATGCTCACATACTATTGCATTTAGAAACTGATCTTTTACCGGCTGATTTGTGCTTTTAGCATCACCCCAAAGTAGTTGAAATTCCTTGGGTTTCATCCTTGCCATCCACAGTCATTTTCTTTTTCCCTCACAATCGCACTTCCTCATGTTGTATTCACTTACATGATTAATTGACTCACCAATAGAAATATTATTTTCCTTTTGTACACCAGTCTTGGAGGTGCATGTGTGGCAATATGCATATTTTACATCTATCTTTCACATCTACCCACGTTGATCATTGGGATCTGTGCTCCTCAAAGGATAATGCAGGGGATCTATGGATGTTACTTTTTAATGAGACCTGACCTGTTTAAACTTTGATTCATAGTAGCAATAATTGCAATTCTTTTTATAATCAGCAGAAGGATAGATTACAAAGTCCTCCCATAACAATAGATTTCTAATTTAATATGTTTAATAGTTATTGCTTGGCTTTGATAATGACATGATAGTGATTTTATATTAAATGAAAAAATTATTATTATTGTGCTGATCTGACCGGGAGATGACAACAAGAGTGTTTCAACCATGACCTACTTCACATTACGGACATGCTGCAGAGGTGCTCTTTCTCCCTCCAATGGGAGCCAGCAACTGAACTCCTTTTATGGTCATTAGAGGCCTCATCGGGAAGCAATCGGATGCTGTTGAAGAGCTACTTCAAGCGAAATGATGACACGTCAGTTGTAATTGTGATTAAAGCTTTGCACATGTTACATGACATCCCCACACATCAGCGACAAAAAGGAGCTGATTATTATCAGGGCTTGACATGCGCATGCTGGCGGACAAAATCATAGTTACTGAGTCAAGGAAATGACCTCCAAGTCCGGATCACAGTAATCAACAAAACTACAAATCAGCAACTCTCTTGCTTTGTGCATCAACTCAATCCAAAGAAGGGCTGAAGAACAGTTTATAAAGGAGACGCTTGCATGAGTACGTCATGCTACATTTGATGAGGTGGAATCTGAAAGGAAGGCATGACATTTTTATGTTAATGGACACTTTAAAGCCTTAGTCAGTTCAGGATACGAGGTAGATGCTTATAAAGTGCCAAATGAAGTGCAAAGTTAAAACAGTATGGGTTCAGAGCAGTCAATGTTTCTGTTACCGAGCAGCATGTCAGCACAGTGCCCTAAAAGCCTAGTTCAGTCTAACACCACATCAGACAAGGCAGACCATGCCCACACGCATTCCATTTTATTACATTTTTCGGTGATGCACACTTGACATTTCAGCTGCCAGTAATAGAATAAATATGCTTATCCACAGCAAAACACTGAATGAATTGGTTTTGAAGTGACTACTTGTTCCATGTTTAGACTGTGCGGTCATTCAACAGATTTCTTTCTAAGCTTAAAGCTTTTTACTATCAAAACTTATTCACAGCAAAACTTCCCCTGTCCTTTTTGGATGTGTCTTGTTATTCACTTGCTACTGAAATATGATTTCAATCTTTTTTGTTTCAGTTTTTTTTAGATTTACATACACAATTTGGTACGACACCATCAGGCTGATCATACGGTGAAAATGTCCAACAGGTTATGTGAGGAAAATAAATTTGTTTAGCCTTGTCTGCAAACTTTATTAACAGCAAATAAATCACACAAAGTTCTTCTCTGTCAGCTGTTTTTAAATGAGCAGGGTGGATCAATGTTTCTATGACCGCTGTTTAGAAATAAATTACAATTAAGACCCCTCTTCAGCTTGAACCAGGCAATTTTACACCAAAGTGTTGCATTTAAAATAAATCACAAAGCTGTGCATTCCTGAGCCTATTGTTTTTCTCTTTTCATTTTGTCCCCGGTTTTTTCTTTCCTTACAACTTTAACAGTATTGTGATGTAGAATTGCAGTATAACTGTTCACTATTTCATGATTTTCATATATTATGCAAAGTGCTTCAATACCATTGTGTGTGCACTGTGCAATACAGATAAACTTTATCAAAGAGAACACTCAGTTCTCAGTGTATGCTGCATCTATAAGACACACAGCATGCATTTTATTAGCTTCATGCAAATCAAGTTAAAATGAAGATAAGCAATAATATTCCTGAAAAAACCACCGACATCTAACCAAGACGTCACATAGGCTGCTGTTTAATTAATTGGGGAGAGCACATTCGTGCTTATTACTCATCTTATATAGAGAGCGATGACTTCATTCATACTGGTAAGCTAATGGACTGTTATGATGGCAGTTTGTGAGCCACAGTGATTTATACACAATGAGACAGTGAAACTGTTGGCAAGACTTTTCAATAGATTGCCCAGCACTCTTCATCTGGAGGTATTTCTATCTTCTTATAAAAAGGTGTTGTGTTTTGTGCCAAATGAAAAGAAAAAGCTGTCGGCAGCTCACAGTGTGTAGGAGAAAAAGGAATCTCCAATGAATTTAAAGAAAAGAGACAGACCGTATTAACGGCTTCCCACAAATAAGAATCTCAAAGAATCTCATACGAGGAGCAACAAACAGACAAAATGGAGAAAACTCCCCGTTTCATAATGAAAAGCAAGATTTGTTGATGAGTATTAGAGGTGAGAATGTAAGGCTTGTCACTACAGGGCTGTTTTCATTTTCACATTGTACATGTCTGCTTACAGGGTTGGTCAAAGCATTCAATCTTATAGAGGTGGTGCCCTGTGATTGCTCAAAACAACTGGAACAACACAGGATTTAAGCATCCAAACTGTGACAGGACAGGACTGCCCATGTATGTGCCTGAATATATGCGCATGCTTACTGCTGCTTGTGTCTTTAGCCAAGGTCTTTGGAAGATTGCTTTCTCCACAGAAAAGTACAGCAAAATGTAAATTAGTGAAAAGGGGTCATTTGAGAAAATAATTAGAAACAAATGTTATTAGTTTATGTAAAATATCTGAAACCTTGCAATTAGTGTGGTGGTTAACACTTGCTGTGTCAGCTCATGGTTAGTTCTTGGTTTGAATCCAGGGTGGGTGTAAGATAAGATTACACCTAATGATCATTACTTATTGTTTATGGAAATCAAGCCCCAGAAATATGAAACTTTAACAATCAAGACCTAAAAAGTTGAGTTATCCGTAAAAAATAATGATTTTATCCGTTCTGTTTGGTACTTCATAAATCGTATCTCTGCTTTCCCTAACCCTAACCCAATGTGTCTGTGTGGATCTTAAAGTCCAATTTCGGGTGGAATTGAATGTTAAGACAGTGACTCAGAAACTGTTGATTCATGATTCAGTGATGAGTGGTAAATTTAGAGACACTGCATTCCAGATGCGACTGTAGCACTGACTTGCTGTCTGCTCACTATGTATCTCAATTACATTTGTGTAAACTCACACTGTAAAAGAAAACAAGGACCATTTGCAACTGATTTTCACTGATTTACACAGTCCTGAAAATAGTGTGTGATGGAGGTGTCTATGATTTGTGTTCATATATAGCAGATTTTTTATCTTTTTTACATGAATTGATGCCAGATAAGTAGCTGATTTTCATCTAATTTGCAATATAGAAAATGAACTACATGAAACATACATTTACTCTCCAAACTGAAACCTGCTGTACTAATCTGTGCCAGGGTACCCTAACCCTGGCATCAAATAACAGATGAGTGGGTACTTTTGATAAAAAATGATTTTACAGAAACGTCAAATTTTTATTGGACGTTGACATCCTTCATATTCAATATTTTGTGGGATTTACCGAATCAATAGATTTTTATATTTATTTTAAATTCCAGATTCCATTTTTTGTACATCTAAATTGTTAGATTTGGAAATGAAAGCTCTATCGTATCCTAAAACACTGTCATCTGAGTCTCACATGTAATTGAGTCAGAAGTTTTTACACGAACAGAGGTTGGCTTTGTATTTATTACATCTTTAATCATTTAGGCATTTTTAAAGTCTGCAAGTGGGTCATTTGCTTTGGAAGCTGCAGCTGCAAAACCACAATGCACATTCAAAAAGCTCTGAGGTCAAGTGCAGAACCACTTCACAACATCCTGCCGATGGAAGAACACTCCCCAGGGGGTAAACATAATCATTATCATCTGTGAAGAGGAGACTTCACAAAAAACAATTATAGAGGGTTCATGACATGGTGTAAACCATTCATAACACTCAAGAGTAGTTGGGCCATATTAGTGTTTATTTAGTTAAACTCTTCAAAAGACAGAGTGAATAAGACACAAAAGAGGAAAAAATTATGAAGGGGGTTAATTCATGCTGCAAAGCCCACTTTGTCATCTGTAAAACACATGGAGGCAGTTTAATAAAGAGACAGAGGCTGAAGGCAGCTGAATATTAAAGCAAATAAGGACATCTTGTCTGCACGGGCTTAACCAAATGCAGTAAAGATGAATACATGGTGCCTCTGACTGTGGACTGACACTGACTTAAAACATGGCTGTAAGTAAAACAACTTGAGAGTAAAGGATATGAAGAACCCAGAGAAATTTGATTTTCCTGAGAAAATGTAAAAACTGATGCACTAAAGCTTTAAGAAAGCATTCAAAATTTGGTGTAATCCAGACAGTTGAAGACGAACAATTCTCAAAATGTTAAAATTAATATATAATTTATGCTCATTTCACTCATTACATCTGCGGCCCTGACAAGGAGGGTTCAGCACACTCAAGTGCTGCTATTCTTAAATGTTTCCTCCGGTTCGGATGTCCTCAAACAAAAGCTGAGCCGGCATTTTAAACTCATCAAGATGGATTTCACACGGAGATAAAATTCTTACAAGACATACCTAGATCTTAATAAGAGCTGAATTGTAAATAAAAGTTTTTCTTTATTCAACAAATTCTGCTGTGCTGTTCAAATTGAGCTTTTTTATCAGAAACACATAAAACACATGTGTTTCATGGAATAAAAACAAATCTTTGCAACAGGAAAGATCCACAATATGTCCTGTTATCTCCTTTTTTTCCTCATTCAACATAAAGATTGTGCCAGGAAGTCTGTCACAGATTTGATCCAAACTGGGCCATGTGCTGCTTTCTGTTGCTGATGTATGCTCCTAAACTCTTACACCCATCTGTGATGGGACAAGAAAATCAACTGGTGAAAAACTGTGATGAAAAAAAGTTGTGAGAATGGATGACCATGAAACTTGTAAAACTACAAAAACAAGTGTGACTGCGAGGTTTCAAAGTACAAAGTGCAGTGAGACTTTACTGACCATTCGTGACTTTTACCGACTTCATCCTCTCTATGGCCAAAGTGAAAAGGGGAACTCTATCAAACGGTGCGCAGTCTTTGTCCCACAGCCAGACAACATGCGCAGGGACGTTCCTATGGCAGTGTACATACCTCTATTTCTGGAAAAGCAGCAACCACATGTGCGCAGTAGTTTTCTGAACAGATGCTGACACCCACAGCCTCGCTGGTGGTGACCCCCTCTCATGGTGATCCTCTGCTGCTGCCGGACTCAACACCATCAGAAGCACACATAGTTGCTGGAGTTACACGGACTAAAACAAATGCACGCGATCTATCCCCGTGGTAATCCTCAGAGAAAGTGAGCTGAAAAGTTAACAGAGAGCACCGCAGTCATACTCCAAATCTGAAATCAAAGAGAGGAAAATGCCGTCCTATCCCATGATCTGTTGAGAGACAGCAGGGAGACCACAGAGACAGTCCAGCCTCTGATTCATGAGCCTCTCTGTGAAATGGGATTGTGGGTATAAATTATGAGGGGGGTTAAGATTAAGTGAGAGAGCGACGTTCAGGGAAGGGGAGGGTTTGAGATGAGGGATGGTAGCTAACACACTGGACTGCGGTGCCAGCATCTGTTTCCCAGTCCCTCCTCTGTTTCCTCTGCCCTCCCTCTCTCCTCGCTCTCCTTTTTCTCCTCACACAACCATTTTCAGCCTTTTTTTTTCCAGAATTCACTCTTTGGCTGCAAGATCTTATATGCTGTCATTTCATGAGTAATGACAGACAGGCCTTTCAAATAAATTAGCAAAAACCTGCACACAGTAAATTTCCATTTGGTCTTTCTAGACACTTCTATTCCTGGCACACGGTAACATCTGCCAGCACAATAACTATGTTCTGGATAAGAACATATGTTATCACCATTCTAAAAGAAAGAACTACTGCATATCCTCTACTGCACCTTTGGTGCCACCATGAGGACATTTGACATTCTGAATCAAATGTTTTGGCTGATGATAAATAGACTGCATCACATTTAACATTAAAGGCAGAAGCCGGTTAACTACAGCACTTTTTTTTTTACCCTGCATCACTGGATGTGTTTCACTGCAAAAATTCAAATAAGAAAAAAAAAGAGAATATTGCTTTACTGTGATTTGCTAAAGTGTATACTTAAATGGAAGAGATTGACTTAAAAAAGGAAGTCAAATTTTGTAAATCAACTGATTTTGTGCCAATTAGACCCTAATCACTGTCGTGATAAAACTAGCATGCTTGCATTACAAATCCTCCCTCTGGTCAGAACTACCAGCATGATTGGAAACTCCTGGTTGAAACGTGTGCGCTGCCATCGGCTCCATTTCCCCTCATTTAGCAAACTACACAAGTCAAGGTTCTGCATGTAAACTCATCAGCAGCTGGTGTCGAAAACAGCCGGAGATGTGCAAACATGTGTATCTTAAGTGAATTTCTTTTTTAAATCGAGAAATTCTCATTAACATCATGACAAATGTGAGTTGTTATGTTGTGTGGCTGAATGCGACCATGTCTCACTTTTAACTCAATAAAAGTCATGACTTCAAACACTGAGATGGAGTTTGACTTGCAGATGATCAGATGCAAAAGTTAAGTTAATCAATTCTAGTAATAAAACTATCCTCTCGCAACAATACTGCAACAGCCTGAGCAATTTTCCTGCAGTGTCAATATTCAATACACATCATCCTGGGCTGTCAGAATGGAGGCAGACCCATTTAATCTGGAATCCAGGATTAAGTACTCATGATCCCCTGAGCACAGCTGTTAGAGTTCATAGCAGCCAGTTCAATTTAAGCAGATTTGAGGACAAACTCAAACAAACTCAGCATGGACAAAGTCAGTAAAGAAGAGGGGAAAAAGGAGCTAATGTTTCCATCAACAAACATGGGCATTTCTCTACATACGTGGGGATGAATATGTGAATTTTTACAGCGCAGGCTGACCAACACAAAGCTCAAATCGATCTATAAAGACAGATTACAGTGGATGAAATGCCAAAATGCTCTCTTTGACATTGAGTTAAGCTTTTAAAAACTGCTAACTTGATGATCCCTCTGAGCTTCAAAGCAACAATTTCTCGACCACATAGGATTAGGCTATGTTTATGCATATCTGTGTGGGAATGCATTCATCTATTCAGTCATCACTTTAGCATTAGCACAAGGGAATTTCTGCATTTTCTCTCTCATCATCATTTTTATAGTCAGTAGTTATCACGAGAAACCATTTTGACAAAAATCTGATGTGAGTGCTGCTCGTTCGTGCAACTGCAGAGAGGTTCCCACCGCAGGAAACCACATTACTGAGCAAAATTAACAGAAGCCATCTGCATTGCAGTCGCACTCAGTCCGGTACCTTCATGATCAGCAGCTGCACTGGATTTCCTGGCACACTTGGTATACGTCGCCACAACTTTGTTTGATGGAACCCTTTCACTGCAGGTGTCTGAAATCTGATGATGAACATAGACTTGAAGGAGACTAAAAACACGACACATTTATGTGCAACAGTTTTGATCAGAAAGAGATTGAGCTAACAATACCACAATATCTTGACCACAATTTAAACTTTGTCTTTATCCCCTTGTCTTTCTTATCTACGTTTCTCCTCAGGTTGAGTCTTATCACATCTGTGGAATTTCTCTCGGGGACCTAAACTGATCAGCAGACTGCACAGCGTCACAACCCTAAAAGCGAGAGAAGCTGCATGAAAGGATTAGAAGGCTCATTGCATTATAGCTTTCAATTATGATATTTTAAACACAGCAAAATGTCGACTGTAAAAGCACAGCTCAATTCAACTTGAAAAACAGCCAAAACCAGTTTCGACACAACAAGAACACTTTTGGGTGGTTTCATTTTGATGGATGTTTGTTGAAATTCCTGTGGACCTGTATGTGTGTGACTCAACATTTTTCATGAATACACCACAGGATTTGGTTTAAAATCATACAGTCTGTTTATGATAAACTTCTAATCTGTATTGTTCTGATTATGTAGGAATATGAAAATCTAAGAGTAAAAAAATCTAAGAATTTTACCCCACAAATGAAATGTATACTGAATATTTATGTTTACAGTATACTTACATGCAGGGTGTCATGTTTATCGAGTGAATGTGTATCTTATATAATCATAACTAAATTAATCTTGAACATGCTTACAACAACCCAGGCCAAATTTTCAGTTTCTTTGATCCCTGCTAGAACACATTCACGGAACAAAAGCACTCACCTTACCACTGTCATCTCCCACAAGTTCTCCGGTCATTCCTTGCCCTCTTGATAAAGTCTTCATTTTAAATCCTTTGCTTTTCACGTTCATTTAGAGCCTTTTCCACAGATCAATCTTTTATCTTCTCAGTTAGATCATTTCTTTCATTTAAGCACACATGTTTGTTTCTCATCTAATCAAAGGCAAGAAAGCTGTTTAAAAGGCTTAAGAGAAATGCCAGTACCATCCTGGCTCCTGTCTGACAAAAAAAACAAAAAAGAACTATCTATGTTTAGCAACAGTTATTTTTCTCCTCAGGTCACATCAAGACAGGTAAAAAATTGCAGTGGGATCCCTCCTTAGGCTCATGTGTGCAAGAGGGGGTCTTTCAATCCAGACAGGTCCAGCCATGCCCCACAGATCTTCTGTTCAGTCTGCATCCTTTCCTGAAGCATGAAAAACACACTACAGAGCAGCAAACACTCCTAGACACAGAGATTTTTCAACTGCAAACGAATCTTATGCACATGAATTATAATTTCCAATATAAAGGGTCACTATTTTATTCTTACAGCAACCCCACAATGAAAGTAAGTCCTATACTGTATGTCAACACTGTGAGATATCTCCCTCTGGTGGTAAATCTTAGAAATACCCTCAGAAAATCTCAGCTGCAGCAGTTTAACTGTAAACATTTTTATGTGTGTTGCTTTAACGATGTGAATTTTTAAAAGACCTTGGTCACACCGCATGGGACTGAACCACCAGCTTGGTAATAGTGCCAGTTAATTTGATTTCTGATTCCATTCCTTCAACTATTGTCAACCTCTCTATTTTTGTTCCTTTCTGTCCATTTTTTGGGGAATCTTCTTGTACATTCTTTCAGCAGATCAGCACAGTATTCCTATTGGTTTAAATCACCTGAGGGCTCGTCTTTAAATGGTCCTCAGCTGTCAGTTTTGCTCTAATACAATTAAACACACCAGTGATTCACTAATTCTCCTTCAACACCAGCTTATTTCCAACAGCTTCAAAACGATCAGCTATTGCTCTTTAACTTTCAGATTACCTTCTCTCACATTTTCATGTCTTCTTCAGCAAATTGTGGCTACTTTATCATATTCTCCCACTATCTGTAACATCGTCTGGTGCATTTGTTTAGCAGATCTGTTTTTCTGCAGCTGTTTCCCAGAAACATAACTTTTAGTTTTACTTCTAATAGTTTTTTCCAAGCATGTTTGGTAGTGTTTTTGTTTGACATGATCGTGGCATGGTGCTGTTATTCTAAACAAAAGCATGACAAAACCTGTCATTTGGCCCTAAAATTACAAGATAAAAAGATAAAGAAGTCTGTGTCTTTGTATCTGTCAACTCAATAAGTAAACCACCATTGCTGGGCTGAAAGATGAAAATGGCCTGAGGAGTAAGTAATCCTTTCTATAAAGCTGTTTTAAATGGGATGAGCTAAGCATAGGGGTTGAACACGCGGTGTCTCTGTGAAGACTCCTCCTTTTAGTTTTACATGTGGCATGGAAACAAGTAAAATGCGTCTGTGACAGACCCAGGAAGAGGCTGTCACAGCCAGACTGGAATCATGCTCAGAGTTGTACTGTAGGTCAGCAGTCATTAATGGGAAGTCACAGAGGTATGAAAGGGGAACATAACTACACTTGCAGACAGATTACCCTTTATGGTAAGTTTGTGTATTCAATGTTCATGTGTTTGTGTGTCTGGTAGTTTCTTTATTCTGATTACATTATTTGATAATGGAAGGTGTTGGATGCTGCAGTTGTGCTTTAGATGTTTAATGCCTTTACTCATGAACGGTGATGACTCAGTTGTCTGACATGTTATCATTAGACTGAAAAATTCTGTACATAGATATTTACCAAATTCAAACACTTCCAGGGTGACTGATTTTCTTCATAGGACAAAGCAGCTAGAGATCTTTTTTTGGTTTCGATTACGTTCAGAGGAACACAAGAGACCTTTTTGCATAGCATGCGAGAAGCAAAAATAACACTAGAGATTAGACAAAAGATACAGGCAATCATAGGCCTCCTTAGTTAGATATCGGCCTCAAAAAACAGTAAAAGAACCAAAGAATGAGTTGAGTGCCGGCACATGTGACTGAGGCTGAGATGAGTGGTTCCTCATTTAGCCCTGCTCTACGTTTAACGCTGATCCTTTTAGTCCCCAATAAAGCTACACAGAGCTCACCTCTCTGACGCCTCGACGACACACAGATACGACACCGCTGGTCTCCGCCTCCGGCTGCACCTGCTGTCAACAAGCAAACTTTAGATTTTCACTGTGCCTGACCTGAGGCCTGATTAGCAGGATGCCGTGACACACCAGCCCTGCTTTGAAATCAAACCGTGCATCTAAGAGCAGCATCCACTGCCACAAACAGCATCCTGAAGTTTCTATTTGTGATATCCTCACAGATGTAACCAGTTGGACTTAGTCTCATTTCACCTGCTCTGCTGGAAGATGGCCAGTACAGCAGAGGACCCACACTTGGGCTCAGGTCCAGATGACGATGACACACGTTCATTGGGAAGGGACTCGGACTCTGAGAGCATCCTCTCCGATGACTCTGTGCTTCCTGACTACACGCGGGAGAACAAAAACGGAAGTGCAACATCAACACTGTATCTGGCATGCGCCCGTAACGAACCGACCTCTCTGCAAGGAGTTCTAGACAGAGGGGTGACAAAAGAGGAGGTGATGGAGCTGGACGTCAACGGCTGGGTGAGAGTCTCGTTCATAGCTTTAATCGTGTGCACGTTTATCCAGAAATGTAATTGGTCCTACAATCCAACAGAATGGCTTGATGGTGGCATGCTGCAAAGGTTTCTTAGAAATCGTGTACGGGCTTCACAGTTGCCCCTTCATCGACATAAATCACCAGGACAAGGAGGGAAACACAGCACTGATGATCGCATCACAAGCAGGTGAAACACTTTATGGATGATGCCATTTATGATGCCATTATAAGAAAGGAAGCTTTGAAATGGCTGTAATTGGTTTTCCCACACACTTATGGGCGGACCACTGAACTTTGTGTTTTTTTCGCTGCAGGTCACATCAGCACAGTGATGTATCTCCTCAACTACTTTCCTGGCGTAGACACTGAGATAAAGGACTGTCGGGGGTTCACGGCCCTCATCAAAGCGGCCATGACAGGCCGCAGTGACGTCGTGGCAGCTCTCGTTATGGCCGGTGCGTAAAAGCACCTCACAAATGAAGAGTCTCTAATTAAGCTCATTCACATAGATTTTCAGAAATGAAACAGAACAGCTGAGTTTTGATCCCCATGAGCTAAGACTGCAACTGTTTCCAACCGTTGCTTCACCACAAGTCGCCTGAAAAAGTTTTTGCCTTTTGACAGTCCTCTGCTGTGAGCGGCTCCACGGTCACATTATCATCCAGCCTTTAGTGAAAGTGTCACCTTTACTCTTTAACCTTTAAGCTCTAAATGGACAGTTACAGCACAACTGGTGAGAATAGCTGACCCCATGGTTTATCTGTCCATATTTGACAACAGCTGAGTCTTGTGAGTTAATGACTCTGTGACGTGAGACCCGTTTAAGGGATCACTCTGAGGGCAGTATTATATCTTAACAGACTCTCCTGTAATCCCTGACTTGTTAGTCAGTTTGGCTAGTTGCAGATTAGCCACTTGTTTATTTTTGGTCTGCCATTTTATTTTTAGAACCTTTACCAGTCAAAACAGTGTTTTCTCTTCATTTTGGCAGGGCAGGTTTCTCCTCTGTTAATTACTGTTAATATAGCAAGTTTCAAATATCATTCTCTTAACTCTGATATTTTGTGAATTAAGCATTTCAGGAGTGTGTCTGATTCTAATTTATGATGTAAAATCCAAAGTGGTTTACCATGAAGTTTCTTGTGATGGCTCGCCAGATCCATCTTAATTTCAGAGAAAAAACACACACACACACACACACACACAGAAGAAAACCAGAGAAAGAATGTGGATGCTTGTGTCTAGAACATATATTGAAGAGGGATTGTGATCATCACAGCTCTATGATGAACTATGGATTGATGACGCATCCATGCTTGGGAAAAGTCAGCAGAGCTGTTGAGAAAATGATAAGATGAAGTGAGAAACGAACAGAGAAAGACCTTTTTCTCAGACAACCTTGTTGCAGGTTACAGTAGTGAAACCACAGCTGTAGATAAAACATCCATCCAGAGGGGCAGCTGGAGAATATCCCAGCTGTCGTTGGGTGAGATTCTGGGCACACACAGAGCTACTTCATATGTACACTGTCACACTCTGACTAAATGGCACAATAGAGCTGAATAAAGATCCAGTCATTAGGTAAACTGCCATCTTCCCGTTTCCCCCACTGCACATGTAACAGATTGCTGACAACAGGTCTGAAATTAAACAGTTTTGTTGGAATTCCTGTCACACACGGGAATAATCTCTCATTACAGTCTGTGGTAGTGAATTTACATGCTCCACTGTTTAGGCCATGGATGCTTGTTAATTAAACTGCTGTATGCCTCAGTCTCAAGAACAGACTCATTACCTATCTCCTGTTTGTCATCAGTCATGACAAGCCAATGAACTCACACCAGAATAAGAAGTTGAATCAAGTGTTTATCTTCTTATCGTCTTTTTCTTTTGTTGTGTGTTTCTTTTCCAGGGGCTGACATACATGCAGTGGATTCTGCTCGTGGAAAATGTGCTCGGGACTGGGCGCTCAAGACCGGTCGCTATGAGACTTTGCATCGTCTGCGCCGCCTAGCATTACGGCCAAAAGCCGAGCAGTTCTGCGAGAGCTACGTCCCCGAGTGGCCTGAACTGAAAGCGAGAGTTTACAAAGCCACAACTCAGAAAAGTCCCACAGAGAAAATTACGCTGCGGATCAAAAACACATTCGGATTTAGCTTTCCACGTGATCCCCAGGACAACGGGGTCTTGGACCACTTGGTGAGGATGACAACCAGTGTCCACAGCCCTCTCATTTCAACCGGATGTCACCCACTCTGTCCCACAAGTCCTCCGGAGATGGGGAAGAGGAGGCTTGCAGTGAGTGAGCTGGTGAAGAAACACTCACAGAAGGAGCTGGAAGAAAGCTCGGTGTGCCACAGCAACGGCTCAGTCTCGTACATCATCCCAACAGTCCACTCTGCCGAGACGATCGCTTCGACGTGTTGCCCTGACACGGAGCGGAGGGGCAGCATCCTCTCACTGGCCTCCACCAAAGTGGCTACTACGTTCATTCCCCGAAGTATGGCGAGACGGAACAGCGTTTTCCCCTCTGGATGCATTCCCAAGATCAATGTGGACAGGCCTTCGGAGGCCACGCCGAAGAAAGAAAAGAAGAAAAAGAAGAAGAAGGAAAAGGGCTACCTGGAACCACCAAAATGGAAATACAAGGAGCTGAAAGATGAGAAGAAGAAGGAGAAGAAAAAGGCTGAAAAAGAGAAGGAAGAAAAAGAGAAGAAAAAGGACAAAGACGGCAAGAGGGCAAAAAAATAATTTTCAGATTTGAGAGCTACAGTTTAAAAAAAAGTTTAAAGTCTTCTCTGTGCTTGAAATGTTTAAATAAAATAATGAAAATGAACCAAAGTTTGAATGTCAGAGGCAAGAACACACCACTGATGCTGGCACATCATATGACTTGATCCACAAGCACCAATAGGGCTGTTTTTTATATCTTTTTTTTATGCCTAAATGACTCAAGTTGACTAAGACAACCGTATATTTTATACCTCATGCATGAAGTGAGGGTGGTGATAGCATACAAGATTATGTGAGCAGGTGGCATAGTTGTACTATTCAGTGGTATTTAAGATAATCTAAATTTTAATAGTTAAACACACCCTTTTTAGTACTTTATATTGCTAAAAGTATTTGTTTAAACGTCTGCGTAGCTACATATTACAGTTTGTTGACTTACCTGCTCATTGAATATATTGAATGAATAAATAATGTAACAAGGAAACTGTTCTATGTTTGCAAGAAACCCATATTTTCTAATTCAGTCAAATTTTTGTTCCCATTCGTTACATAACATAAAGTGGACGATACAAATGACTCCATATGTACTTGAAAGTTAAATAACGACATGTAAATATATTATAGCTTAATTTAGATACTTTCGTATCCATTTATTGTGTTTATTTCAAAATATTCTTGTTAAAATAGCTGTAAATACTGTACATCCTGTATATAAAGCATTAAAATGAGCAACTGGTTTCATCCTCTGTTAATGTTTTCTTATTTTACCAACATTTGCTTATGATATTTTGTGTTTTTAATAACTGTGTGGGTGTATGGCACCCCAGATCCAGGACATGTTTCTGTAAAATGGCTGAAGCCCCCTTGCTGGGTGTAATAGTTGATAGTACATACAAAAATGCAAATTATGTCCTCAGACATTTCTGTCCATGGAAAGTTTGAAATGTATTTTTTTTCTGTTTAGTCAGAATTTATCTTCCTGTTTTCTTCTTGTGGTTTTTTTTCTCATCTGACTACCAGCATGTGCAAAGTGTGAGTCATTACCACAGATAATGTTATAACCCATCAAATAAGCTGCTATGTAAATTAGGATACTTGAAAAAAGCCAAAAAAGCCACACAAAGTACCCTATGTCAGTATTTGATATTCCATCATCAGGGATTTCTTAGCATGTTGTAATATGTTTTCATTAAGATATTGAAACGACTGAAAATGATCCAAAAAGCTGTTTTCTGTTTCATGAAAAGAAGCCCTTAAAAAAACCCTTTACAAGCGTCTGCAAGAAGCGTGTTTATCCATTTTTACATAAACAAAAGTGAACTCACTGAGTTTGGCAAACTCTCTCCCTCTGTGATTACTGCAGACACTGAACTTTGCCTCTTCTACTACCCCCACAGGCACCACTACGCTCCAACCAAACACTTCCAGGAATCATCTCCAGTTGCAGCTGCCAGTGTTTACGCAAGAGCACACCACTGAAAATGAGAATGTTGACACTAACCGTGCCCACCGGTTGCTGGCCGTTTGTTCCTCTCGCTGGAAACTAAAAAGAGAAACCGACACCTCTTTGACATCAAGGATAAAATCTGAAAGTGAAGCCTGATAAAGCAAGCACCACTCTTTTTTGTTTAATATAAGAATGAATAATTGACTAACTCCTGTTTGTAATGGAGAACCTGAACATTTCAATGTGTCTGTGTAAGACCACTTTGCATCTAAAAAAGTACATTTAACAGATGTCCCTGTTTAAAGCTGGGTTCTATCAACGAGCAGCTGCCTAACCTACAGCAAAAGCCATCATCTACATAAATGATGTGACACTCTTCAAGAACTTTTATTGCTCATCGTTTAAATTATTACAATACAGATTAGTACAAAAATGATGCACTTACATACAGTTGCATACAGTCAGTCTCCCATATTCCAAAACTTTAAATGTTCCTCACTTACCAAGCTAAGAAAACACAAAGGAAGTGCTGTTTTTAAGTGGTTTATAGTGATCACGTCCCCTTAAAACAATGACCGGACAAATGTTAATAATAAACGTAATCAGTCATCACTGATGGCAACTAGAAAAAAAACATTTCATAAGCACTGATCACATAACTTGAAAATTTGAACTTACAATAGTGATGGACCAGTTCTCCAAAATCAATTCCATTTTGCAGGACTGAAGCAATCAGCATATCCCTTTGACAAATGGCTGTCAAAACTCAAAATATCGGTCTCAAACAGGAAAAACAAAAGATTTCCAATGAAAAATATACAATCCATTACACATGACAACACACCCATTGCTGGGCACTAAAACTGATGATCGTGCTGGTTTGTAACAGCAGATCCATCACTGATGTTACTGCGTTTGCTATCAGGCTACACAACAGACTGAAAGGTTTGGGTGATAAAAACTTCATTTGGCTGTCTTTGGATCCACAGCTTTGGAAGCTACAGCCTTCAAAAATACACTTATTCCGCTCATTTAGAATGAGACCAGAGACTGACTCTGGAGTAGTTCAAAGTATAGTGTTTGGTCTACATAACTGATGCATACTTCGGTAATAATATGTCAAATATGCAAAAAGGAAGAGAATAGTTAAAATTATAGCTAAGTCCTCCAACTGCATATGAATAATCAAGTTGACTAAATAAAGAATAATTTAAAACTGAAAACACTCTGAAAGTCTCTGAAAAAATGTAAATAGAATTTCATGAACCTCTGGCAGGCTTATTATACTTTCAGGCTTTAAATGAACATTGGATACACAATTGAAAACATGGGAATTAGTTTTCCTTTAGAAGGAAATCAATCGGGATTTTACTAAGAACATGTCTGCTGTCCAGTCATTCAGATAAACACAGCAGCCACAGAGGAGGATGCCCACAACTCCTCAGAGGTTTTCTTGCTTACTTTCTTTTCAAAATCTCTGTTCGACAAATGCTCACTTGGATTTGGCTCAATTTAGAAAAGGCTCTGTGGGTCTTGTGTTAGTACGCCTGCAAACTGCTGTTTTCCTAAACTTCATATGTTATCAGAACGTGAGGAGTCATTTGTGGGTGCTACAGGACATGGAAAAATATGTTATTTGCTTTGATAATTCCCTTTTTACGTGTTTATGCTTTCTGCCTCTGCGCTGGTCTCATTTTCAGCTATTCCCCTCAAGTTGTGCCTGTGGGCAGACAAATCAAACCATTAGTTACAAGTTCACCATAAAAAAAATGGGAATATGGAGATGATTTCACGCTTTTAATACGTTTGCTTTTAATGCTTTCACAAAAACATGTGCTGGCATAAAAAATCTGAGGCAGTAGTGTGACAGGTGGGTAACTGGCCTTACTCAACTCTTCTCTGTCGGTCAGCACTAATGCCTGCAGGATGTCAGAGAGGGAGACGATTCCCCTCACCACCTCCTGCTCGTCCACCACCACCAGTCTGTGCACCTGGAGGACACGGTCAAACACCATTTCTGTTAGCTACAGCTCTGCTAAATACCCTCACTACCTTTGTAAAACTAATACACAGATAAAAATGGAACATGATAAAGTGCAAAGACTACAAGTGCCCCTTGGCAACCCTGGAGGTGAGACAGATTTACATGTCAGACTGTAATGTGGCTGTGATGCCACGATGAAGCATGGACGTGTGGAAATGACTTTCAGATGTAAATGTACATGAACAAGTTTCATCTGTATTAAAACTGTATCAATCTGTCATTTAGGCAATTTGTCAACAAAGTGAAAAAATATATACAAGCTGAAGTCTTATGACATAAAGAGGCCAATAGTGATAAAAGATAACTGCCACCCTACAATCATTCTTACATTAAGAGTCTAAATTTAGAGTTTGGATATCTTTTGTTTCCATTAACACTGAAGTAATCTAATTCAATTATTCCATCCAATCACTTTGCTTCTCCATAGTGGTTAACCTTACTACAACTTGGAGGATTGGCATTACACAATAACTCACCGGCAATGATGAACCACAAATTAAGATAAACATGATTGCCTGAGAAAAATACATATTATGGCTTTGAAAACTTTTTGAATGGGTATTGAAAGTTATCTGCACATGCAAGTTAGCCGCCAGGTGTTCTGAAAACAGCAAAAAGTCTAACGAAAAAAGAAAAAAAAGATCCATCACATTTTTTATTAACTACTTTATTCTCTGAAGCTAGTGAGGATATGTGAGTACTGGAGTCTGGTCCAGGACTAAATGCTGTATACACCCTCTCAAAAGGCAAAGCTTAGTGTTTTCATGGCTATATTAGCTCTGAACAAACGTTAGAATAACATCCACTTCCCACCTCAGCTTCCACCAGCCTGTTGATAATGGCCTCCAGGGTGTCGTGCCTGTTGCAGGTCAACACTCCCTCAAAATACTGAGAGCGGTGCTGCAGGGCTTTGGTCACTGTAATGTCCAGGTTGTTGTACGTCTTCTCTGCTGCCAGATTCTGTGCAAAGACAACCCCTTGATGTGAAATGTTTCACCATACAATGTCATTTGATTTATTACTTTCACAGGAATGTGCCTACAACTAGTAAACTCTGTGGTGATATGGAGACAGAAAATAACTGTATGCAGTGATTGCCTTTAACTTACTATAACATCAAATTTTGAGTATATGTCCACCACTCGACCTGCAAAACAGAGATGGCATGAAAAAATGTCAAATTTGAGGCATCTCTTGTTATTAATGAAAAACTAACTGGGATCTAAATTCAAGTGCCCACAAACCTTTGTCGTCCAGAACAGGGAGCGCAGACACTCGCTGCTCAACAAAAATACCCAGAGCTGTGTACAGCGGGGTGTCTGTGCGGACCACTGCTATGTTTTGGAATGTCCCGATGTTCAGTTCCTCTAAAGTTTGACTCAAGAATGAAGGTCTTGGCATCTCCGATATCTGAATACGAGCACATGAGGAGTTTGATGCAAACCGTAAGATGACGGATATCATAAATATATTCATCGTAATATTCAGTCTTTCTTCAAGTTATCGCCACTAGCTCGTACTGGAAACGTAAAGATTCAAATAAACAAATAATGGCTGAGGACCCAAGCAGCACCAGGAGGGAGTGCAGCTTGGGGATGGACTTACAAAAAGCTTCAAGAACTTCAGAATCCTCTTGTGTGTGAGAATGTACAGTGTGTTCCCTGTAAGGGGGTCAATTACAGGTAATCTGTGGATCTTGTTCTTCAACAGCGATGATACTGCGTCATACAAACTGTGGCAAAAGAGCAGAGAAAGTTCACAGAGAGCTGTGTTGACGTAAGAAACTAAAGCTAACAGAAACATGCAAGCCATCTGTTTCTTACAAAGAAGTCTAAGAACTTCACATAAAAAAGAATGCAACATTTACAGAATTAAAAATATGTATCACAAATCAGAAAGATAAGACCTCATAGTTATCCAAAATTTGTATTACTTTAAATTAAGGAAAATGTAGTGAACATAAATAAATGTGAAAGACAATTCAAAGTGTCCTGTAAATAAATAATTCCGTCACTACGGGCAATTAAAGTAAAGATAGAGTGGTGTCTCTCGCTGTGGCATATCTAAGAATTGTGAAGTCTGGCACCTACAGCTAAAGAAACTAAATGATGATGTGTATAAGTACTGCTGCCACTCACCTCGCATTAGGAGATATGCTAACCAGGGGCTTGAAAGAGTCTTGGAGGTATACTTCTATTGCAATCAAGAAAAGAAAACTAAATTCACTGATATCATGAGAAGGATAAATGTATATGTTCCTGTATTCATGAAAATGTTCTCACCTCTCCATGTTTCAATTTTGTGCTCCTCCAATTCATATATCTGAACCTGAAAGATTACATTTGAATAAATGCTAAGGCAGAAATAAATAAACAGAAACAAGGTAGAGAATCAATCCTCATCTTCGATGGCACAAAACCGTTTACAGTTTAATTCGGACACTTAGAAGCTTTGCGTGCTTAAGCATCTTACCAGTGGGGACTTGTAATATCGATGAAGAATGTTAATGAAGTCTGTGATGGTGAGCATTCCTATAGAACAGAAAGAGAGGCATAACCCCACTTAATCAATTCGTTCAACACAGAGTGAATCTGGGTAAAATGGAAAATGCTCTTACCAACAAAGCACTGCTTCTTACTGTCCCACAGTGGTGCTGCTCGGACTCCATTGGAAACAAGAGCAAAGAACGCCTTCTTCACCTAGAAGATTATTAACAGAATGGGTTCAGTCTAGCGAGACAAAAACATACATTATTTTCAAGTGTTGTTTAAAGTTTTTCCTTAACCTGAAGTGAAGTATCAAAAACAACTAATTTGGAGCTGGTAGGTACGAGGTCATAACAGCGGTGCGACTTCATAAACCTGGTGTACACATTGTGCTCTGGGTCTGGGGACATTAAAAACATATCAATCAATAAACCCTCTTGTCCCCATTTCTATCTTTGCTGACAAGACATCTAAAGAACTCTCTTACCTTCCACAACTTGGTCCCTTTTTCCCTCAAAATCATCAATAGTTGCTGGGATCTTTAAAAAAAAAAAGGGGGGGGGTCAGGTCATTTTAATGTGTTATAACACAACAGGTTAATTTAATTTATTGATTTAATCAGGACAGTGCTCATTAATGAACAATGTTACACTTCAGTACAGATTGTAAATAAGCCAGATTCTAGCATAGTTGCTAATTTACATAATTAATAACTTTTGTATTGGTCATTTTTTAACTCAGGAATATCCTTTTTTTCCCCTTTTTGTTTCTTCCAATGTGGAGATTGATTTAAAAACATCAAAGGACTCTAAAGAAACTAAGTCCATATGTTGTAAATCTGCACGACACAAAATGACATTTTATGTGAGGGAATATTTGAATAGATCAGACTTATATTTTCATGCTTAAGAAGTTCACATTTTCTCATTTCAAAGTAACTTCCTTCAAGAAACCCCCCAGCGGAGCAAAAGCCAGAAAAGGCTGTGGGCAACCACGTTAAAATGTTAAATATTCAACGTTAGTCATGAAAAAAAGCGTTTAGTTTTTGTACATATTAAACAGTTCAATCATCAATAACCGAGGCGGCCCGCATAAAATAAGAAAATTCACATCATGCCTCACCGTCGAGTCTTTTGCGGATGTGGCTAACGGTAAAGGTAAGGGTTAGGGTTCAACAAACCCGTTTTACTTCAAACGGTTTACGCCTCTGCTGTTACAAACAAGTCAAAAATATCCCTTTCATTAACTAATTCGTTTTTACACGAACTAGGAGCGTGACTATTGACAATTTATGACGGAATATCCACCAAAAACACCCTGCAGACTTTAGCTTGTTAGCTAGCGTCACAATTTGTTGACATTAAGGAACCAGTTGAGGTGACTTTACTTTTCGGCTCAGGCATTCAACTATCTTCATTTCTTATATAAAGACTTTCAATACCATACTGCCATGTTAAGTGATAATCGTACCCTGTATACATGTTAAAGCCCTCATAATAAATACTTTCCATATTAAGATTACCGATATAGAGAACCCCCAAAACTTGGGTATTAAAAATTAGCTCGCTAGCTAGCCGCTAAACTTAGCATGTTTCGCAGAGGTTGTTTATAAAGATGAAAAGGTTTTAATAAAAAATGCTGACGAATTTAGACAAATGAAAGCAAATAACACAACTTACACACTCCATATTCCATTGGCTAAATTGCCTTCCTATGATCGGGTGGACAGTGGACAGGACCTCGCAAAGCCACTCAGCTCTTCTTCCGTATGAACCCAGCTACGTGAATAGATGCGCAGCGGTTACCGTAATATAGGTGGTATTAGCACAACACACGGACATTCACGACATAACGTCACAGGACTGGGAACAGACATCTAATATACAACGTGAATAAGTTTGACTGAAAACGCTAAAAACTACAACGAAATATTCACAGTTAAATGCATTATGGCAATTAGTTAATGATAAAACATTTTTTGTAAATGTACACATGCGCCAATCAAATATGTTTGACCTGGATAGATAAACACAATAGGCATTTAAGCATTGCTTAAAACATTGGTCAAAAGATTTTGTTTATTTGGTAGACTTAATATATTTTGGAGGCATTTTGAGCCCATATAGAGGAGTTAATGCTTACAAGTCATGTGAGCCATTAACCCACCAGCAATCATGGGGTCACTGGGGTTGTGCAAGTCACATGTGGGTGATTTGGTTGTATGAATTAGGATTTGCGCATTGGGGAAAGTGTCTAGGGAGACAGAGTACATAATTCAGCATCCTATTTATGCAATGTTCATACCTTCTTCTGTCATGGTTTGATTAAACATATGGATTCATTCAGTTTTTCCTCGAACCATCTCGTCTTTGAGATCCAGTTGGAAAGCGGAGTTTTGGTAGATTTGGTTCAGCAGTGTTGAAGTGCTCCAAATATAACAGCACATTTTTCTCTGCCCTCGATCACAAATGAAACAATAAACAGACTGTGTTTGGCTGTTTTGTCCAACAGACAATGCTAGTTTGTCGGGAAATGTTGCTTAGTCTGGGTTGGACTGGAATTATGTTTGGAGTCCATTTTTTTCTTAGCTACACAGTCAGCCAGACATATAAAGAATGACTATGTTATTTCTACAGTTTTTCATTCTCTTTGCATTTTCTTATCAAAGGCCTAGTTGACATGTTCACATATTTTAAGCAGGGCATTTTGTAGCCCCACGCCCAGTAAAAGTTACAGAAGCCTCTGTAATGAGATCAAAAATGCTTTTTCCCCCCCAATAACGAATCCTAACAGAGAAATGAGAATTAAATATTTTCTCATTTTAAAGGATAAAAAAAATTGAGAAATTGAATGGCAGTGTGTAACTACTTATGAATAGTTCAATTTTCAATTATCACGGTATGCATGCAAGAAAATAAGCAGGTGCAACCAAGGAGTAACAGATTTATTTATTTACAAAACCGTTTACAGCAAGATTTCTGAATTAACATTGACCCACAAGGGAACATTGGTGCTCAGGTGCACGACACCTGCACCCATGGTGTCAAGTCAACAAATGGGAAAATAAACTTTATGAGCACCTTAAGATAAGGAAAGGAAGCAGATAAAGGAAGTTTTAACTGTAAGGCACAAGACACAGCATCACCAGCTTCTGCTCAGCTACCATCAATCGTCCATCATTTAACTATTTCTGCAAAGCGTTTGTTAAATTAGAATAATCAACTACAGGTACAATATGAGGCTAATATGAACAAAGGAAAAATCAGTCATGTCTGTCATGTGTTTTAAGGCTACAAAAAGATATTAATAAAGATCTCAAGTAGTTGACTGTTAATTTGTTAAACAGCTTCCATCAAGAGACCATGAACCCATCAACTCAAACAATTACCAGCTCTGTGGAATTCAACCACTTAAATAGTCACGTGCAGTTTTAAAATGCTATCTAAAAATCTAAACTCAAAAATTATCATGATTTTAATGGGCAAGTAAGCATGTACTCTTTACAGGATGACACAGGAAGCACAAACTTGCATCAGGCCAGATATAATCAAAAGTACTAACCAATTTCTAAGATTCTATTGTATTGTATAAAAAGGCCAGAACTGATCAATAACAAAACTATTCCAATCTATACTAAGTGCTGTCCATAAGATAACATCTCTAATAAGGTTCATAGGGAGAAATTAAACTAAAGAAACAACAGAGGTAAATCTGCTTGGCAGATCTTAAAATATGAATTGTTAAATATACAATAACAGCCTTCCCTGTCATGACAACAGCTCCAAGTTCATTTTTGAAAGGTACCTGAAGATGAGTTGATAAGAATTACAGTGAAACTGAACTGTGAAACCACAGTGAAACTTCTTATAGGACATTCATTACAGATTGTTCAAGGAAAACCCCGGTTTGTTAGAAATAGTGACATTTTATCACATTTAAAGCAATGTGAACCTTGACTGCATCTACTGAAAAAAGAGACACAAGTCCATAGAAATATCATTTACCAACTGTCACTGTACATAAACTCATTTACTCAGTTGTGAGTCACTAGTCATTGGTTCTCAACAAAAAAAATAAGAACCAAGTTTGCCATATCGTATATCTTTTCTCACTATTTGGTTGAAATTCATATCAAGATTTTGTCCAGATTACATTTCAAAATTGAAAGTATCTCTGTTTCATCTTTGCCTATAACAGTGACAAATGTGGTCTACAAACTTCTTCCATTCGGTACATTAGTGAGACAGGGGATCAACTGTCTGGGCAGTTTCTTTGCAAAATAAATCAATCTGATATCACGACAAAGAAGAAAAGTTCCACTGCAGCATCTTGGTATTGGCGAGGTCACTATTGGCAAGCTGGTGAAGTTGTGCCTCCTGTCCTCAGTAAATTAGCTTACTGATGTTCTGAATCCACTTTCACATCACAGCACACTTCTTTTCCTCTGGAGGCGCATTCCCATCAGCTTTCTCCATCTCCAAAATGATTCGCTTGAACACCTCCACAGCAGTCTGCATGAACATTATCAGAGGGTGAATATGTATCACTGATATAGAGGGGACAGCAGAAATGAGTTGGTAGCTGAGATGGTGCCAATATATATCCATCATTACCTCATTCTCTTTTGCTGAAGACTCCATGAATGCAGCACCCCAAGAATCAGCAAGTTTTTTCCCCTCCTCTGGCTTGATAACCCTTAGAACAAAATAATAATTACTTAATGTAAAGTGAAAAGATGTAACAACTAAAGGTTGATTCAGAGTAGCTATATTTAACATAGTTTTGAGCAGGTGCAGACTAAAAGCAATAAAAGCTGTACTTTTTTCTAAAGGCAACTTAGATCCACCCCTTTGTTACTGACAATAAACGAGAGCTGCAACATAACATTGAGCTCAAACTTTAAGCATGATGCATATCAAACAAGAAGAGTCAGCGGTTATTTGTAAAAATCACACAAGATCAGCAGTGACAGCTCACCCGACAGACTGTTTGGGTATAGTTGGCATACTGTTTCCAAACTACTTTCTTTATTTTTTGTAATTGAGAATTTTCTCACTTCCTGCCACAGTTGTATAAAACCCAAAGTGGCACATACCTTTCCATGTGGAGATCTTTTTTGTTTCCAACAAGAACAGTTGGAACTCTGAAAAGAACATTCAAATGAAAGATTTTTTTTTTTTTTTTTTAACACACACACACATATATATATAATATATCTGTATATAAAATCATACTTACTGAATCTTCCCAACCATGTCTAGCAGCTTGTCATGTAGAACCTGCACAACTTCAAAACTGCAGAGAAAAAAATATTAAGCAACTTTAGGCTCTCGTCTGAAACTTGTAGTTACTACAATACATTTCCAGTACTTCATATCTGGTTAAAGTTATAAATAAAGAGGCAATTAATTTAGCTGTTAACACAGAAAGATCATTGCACCTGAAGTGACCAATTATAAAATTACCTAAGTTTTAATAAACTAAAAAAGAGCATTACTAATTAATGTAATATGTTCACTAAGTGGGTTTGACTGCTGTGTTTTTAGTATAAAGTAACAATAGTAATGCGCCATCAAACATCTTCAATTATAGAGATTGAAAAAATTCAACAGCTCTGCAACTGACTTAAAGAAACATGATGCTATACTCTACAATACTGAGTGTTTTAATACTCGTCATTATGTTATACAGATATAAGATCCCAACGGTTCCCTCACCTTTTCATGGAAGTCACTGAGTAGACGAGGACATAGCCATGGATATCCATTGAGTGGGATTGTGGAAAAATTGAGTACTCATCCTACAGACAAAGAAGGATTATCATAATCTCTCCAAACATAACATGATATAAAAATAACAACATGCCTGTCTGTACCCTTTCAGCTATTCAGTTATGGTGATGTTTAACTTACTATGGTGACATTTACAACACCTTATTTTAAACAGACTTTAAGTATCTAAAAGACAAATGTGGGTTGGGACAGCAGATTGACGCCTTACTTGTCCAGCAGTATCAACAAGCTGAAGATTGAAATCCTGACCATTCACACTGACCATTTTGTTAAAGGCTGGGGAGAAAATAGATAATTTTAGATGCATCTCATTAAACCAACCATGTCTGTTTTTGCAGCAATGTTTATTATTGAATTATCTGAGCAGTTTGATGACACTTACTGTTTTCAATGGTGGGGTCATAGGAGTCAACAAATTGCCCTTCCACAAACTGAATTGTTAGAGATGACTTTCCTGTCAGAGGAAAACAATATATACATATATATATCTTTTTACGAAAAACTATTGGAATTGACCAACTGAAACAAACATGGTGTATTAAGTTGTTTAGTATGTTGAGCCTGTGAGTGTTTAAGTGAAGCGTTTAAAAAACAACAACTTAGTTTTAAATGGGTTAGCTGGGGGAGCAGAATGCCAGATCAATTCTTATAAGTATCTCTATGTTCCATAACGTGATTTTAAAAATCCAGTACACTGAAACTGCAAAGTTCAACAGTTTTTACTAAAATGATATACAAGACTATATATATACTCCATATGTACTACTGGACAACCTTATAGCAGTTCAACTACAACTGCTCAACAAGAATGTAGAGGGGTGTAAAGAAAGTGTGCTGAAAAAACACAGCTTATGCAGTGTAAATATAGCCGATAACGTTACAAGACCAAGTCGGTGCTGAGTGCTAAAAAGCTACCAAACGGTAGAATGAGAAATATGTTTATTCGAGAAGGCTGCTTACGACTCAGTCCCGAAAAACGCCATCTAATCCAAACGCAAACTGACATTTCCCTTCCTAAGCCTAGCATCGTGGTATACTTGTTGAAACCAAACAGCTGTTATTAGTTTTGTTAGAAGCTGACCGAAAGTTCCTTCAAATTAAGGTCATAATTCACACATGATTACTGATAATCTAAAAGCTTCGTGGAACACTAAATTCGACCCCCCTCCCCTACTTGGATACCAAAGGCTGAGCTAACTTTTATTTTCAACAATATATATATATATTCATAACTAACAAACACAGTGCATTCAATATGGTTGAATTAAATGTGATACAAGAAATGTGCGTTGCAATAATAAAACACAACTAACCATGATCAAAAGTAAGCTAGCTTTGTCTGGTGATAGTACGATACGCTCAAAAGGAAAACAAAGCAAGGAGCACGTTAGCCAGCTAGCTATTCTAGGTTAGCTATACACGAACTCGCATCATATACTCACCTACGGACCGGTAACCTATAACGGCGATCTTTCGGTATTTTGGTTGAGGCATTGTAGGGTAAACTTTTTTCAGTATTTTCTGAGAACGTAGTACGCCACCTAGTTTTACTATCGAAACAAACTTTTATCACCACATTCGTCTTACGTCACGTGACAACAACAAACTTTTTGAGCTGCCGCTCGAGCTTTCCGCTGGGCCTCGAGCTGGAATTTCAGAGTTACACCGAAGCAAACATAACTTCTACTTATTTAAGAAAGTCTTCTCTTTTTGTATCAGATAGGGTCATCGATATCTACAGCTAATTTGTAATAATAAAAATTTCGTTTTAGCCTAAACTGCCGACGAAAAACAGGCGAGTTCAACGCGGTCGCGATCTGCAAGTCAAACTGACGGAAATTGTCATTGTGCAAGCACACCGTCGTAAAACTTGCGAGTACGTCAGAAGTGAGCATTCAGGGCACTCTGTACAGCAGAGGTCACTCTTTGTTCGTCCCAGCATATCATTGACCACTCTCGCTTTTAGACGTTTCCAGACTGCTGTCCAAGCCACACTATGACATGAGAAGGTGTATCCATATCAACAGGCGTAAATGTCCATGGTTGACATGCAGAAATATTCATATTAGATATTAAAATGATTAGGGAAATACAACCAGAGCAAATACTAACTAAAAGTGGAGCACTTAACATAACAACATTTAGTTTTTCTGATAAACAGCAGTTTTTTTTATATTGTTTTCACAGAGAGTCTCAATGGTAACTCTCATGCATGTACATTTACTCACGAAAAGGACTACATAAACACCAAAACACATTTAAGAACAAACCAACTAAAATGCTCTGCTTGATAGATTCAACATTTATATTATTTAAGTTTTTAAATCCTAAATACGATCTAAAATAATTTACCGGCTGTTATCGAAATGTATCTGAGTAAATGCTGTGGCATAATATCTAAATATTTAAATTAGATACAAATACTCCCTCAACTGATTTAGGTTTGCCCCCCAAAAAACAAAAAAAACATTTGAGTTGTTCATGAACTAATTGACATGAAAGCAAACTTAACTTAATCAGCCAAATCATTTCAAATCATTTTATTTGATAAATAAGGTTATTTATCAAATAGCTAATGATGCTATCGTATTTATAGTGTAGTTTATCATTATTATCAATATATTTTAGAGCAACACAAACCCTTGTGAACAAGATACAGCAACCAACATACATACATTTAAATAGATAACTGTTGTCTCTTGAAAATTTAGTAAATGCTACGACCCGGAAATGTTTGAAGCTCTTGGTAAACCCTACCGGGATATGTTGCCGTCTTAAACAGGCATATGAAAATTCAGAATAACCTCACTGAAGTGGTCTTGCCAGTGACAGGTAATGCAATAGGCGCTTGTGAACTAAATAGTTTTTCATTTATACGTTTCTGTCTTCTGATTATTTGTTACAAAAAGAAGTCAGTTTAGTCTTAAAGAAGACCTTGTTAGCAGACAAACCACTAACTGGCTAGTGGTAGCATTTTGGGTGGCGGTGGGTGCCATAGCAACCGTTAAGGAAACATTGGCTATGCTGGCTAGCTAACCAAGATGGTTCAGGCCAACGGTTGTTTGTTATGCTAGCCTTAAATATGACGTCGGATAGACCTGGATATTCACTTTAACGAGAGTCCCTCCGCTATTGGCGCAGACGAGTATTATGTCTGTGTGTCATTACTTTTATTAATCAATTGTAACTTTCCTCCCTGCTTTTTAGCACACAGTCGATGATGCTAAATTCCTGTAACGCTTCAGTGCTGAGCTTAGCTAACTTGGCCATTTCTGTCACACGCTAACGTTAGCCACTAAGGCCGTCAACTTAGGTTACCTTAACGCCAGCGTTATGTGAAATGCTGCCAGCACAATCTTTCGACACTAGTATGCCATATTAAATTAACAAAGATAAACTTTACTGTAGGTCACATTTTAAGATATCTAAGTCGTGCAGCTCTCTGTTAATGGGTCTTGTGTTTGAATGTAACGGTTACTTTCGTCGGAAACAAGGGTGTTTATGTTTTAATGTGTGAAAATATAAAATAAAACACAAGAGATAATCTGCATCGTATTATAGTTCGAATTCCAAGATAATGATGTTGCTTAAAACGTTGTTAGTGTCATAAAAAAAAGACAACAAAAAGTTAGTGATACGTTGTTGCATATTTTATTACTTTGTATGTTGGGGTTTTGTGACGTAAAGTAGGACTTTGTGATGTACAGTCTGATACCAATTTAAACTGATTGGTTTAAATTGATGTATATCTGGAAATGTCATTCATTATGTTAAGTTCAATCTTCCTACAGTTTTCCATGTTTTCCTTTTAGATAAATGGAGGTTCTGGATGTTGTCAAGTTCAGTTATGTTTGAGTGAACCAGTGTAGTGCGAGACTGCGAGTGTGACAGGATTCACCCCTGACATAAATGTCATATCAGGATTCAGCTTGAACTAGTATGGATGTTGATGACTGTAATGGCCGGTTCAACACATCAGGTAAAGGTTTATTTAAAGGATAATACACTTACTTCCAAAGGTTTGTTAAAGATCTTGATTTTATTTTTTCCATCTTTGTGGTTGCAGCTAGTGGAGACTCTTCCATGGAAAGAGAGTTCTCTGGGGCACTTGGAGGTCCAACAGTGAGCACTCCAAATAGCAAAGAAAACTCTCCAAGTCGCTCCCTTAGTGGTCAGTGAGAAATTAAGCCATCCTAATTAATTTCCTTCATGTAAATTAATATGTGACTGTCTGTTAGTCTTTCTGTGGAATGTCATGTGTTTTTGATGGTGTTAAAGCTTTGTATTACTTGATTATGTCGCCGTATGATGAATTTACTGTTGAAGCTCACATGACTTGTGATAAATGCTTTCTCTTCATTGCTCTTTTGTTTCATAGCTAACTGCATTAAAGTGGAGTTGTACAGTGATGAAGACCAAGGTCGCAGTACTGAGGATGAAAAAGGGGAGAGGGCAGAAGAAGGGGATACAGGACAGGGTCCTGAATCTATTGGAGGCTATAGGGAACTTGCCAATCCTGAAACCATCCCAACCGGAGCCACCAGACTGCCAAATGGAAAGCTTAAGTGTGACATCTGTGGAATGATCTGCATTGGACCTAATGTTCTCATGGTGCACAAACGCAGCCATACAGGTGACTCATTTCCATACAACAAATATTTTGTTATCATGAACAAGATTAAGAAATTTGATTTGATTTATTTGAATAAAATTTTGGTGAAGCCAACACAATCCAAATGATTTTTAAGTAGTTTGTAAAACATGAGGAAAAATATTACTTATGGACAGCCTTACTTAGATAATCTTATTAAAAACTAATCCCTCTCTGACCTAATTCATAAAGCTGTCATTTATCAACAAAAAATAAAAAAGGGTTTTGGCTTTTTTTATGCTAATGAATATTTTTTAATGTTCTGTTGATATATACTTAATCTGGTTCTTGATCAGTTTCTCTGAAAAGTGCTACACTGGAATATGGATATCTTTATCTTGTAATTTACTTATTTCAGTCTTTGAACAAGAACATTTGCTGGAAGTGATTATAGTTACTATTTTGAATGGCTTGACATACTTGCAGCTTGTGACAAAAGGGTTTGTGTGATAAAATGGTGTGCCAGTTTCTGTCCATGTAGATGGGGAAGTTGGCTGACAGATTTGGCAAATTCACAGGTGAACGGCCATTTCAGTGCAATCAGTGTGGAGCCTCATTTACCCAAAAGGGTAATCTACTCCGTCACATCAAGCTGCACTCGGGGGAGAAGCCTTTTAAATGTCCCTTCTGCAGCTATGCCTGCCGGAGACGAGATGCCCTTACTGGCCACCTTCGCACTCATGCAGGTAGGAAAGATTAAAACTTTTTTTGTGTTTTTTTTTGTATGGTTGCCGTTACATTGCTGACATCTTACTCTGTTCGCAGTTTCCTCTCCAACTGTGGGGAAGCCATATAAATGCAGTTACTGTGGCCGTAGTTACAAGCAGCAGAGCACCTTGGAGGAGCACCATGAGCGCTGCCACAGCTACTTACAAAGTCTGGAGTCACAACAACCAAACAGTGCACAGAATCCAGGTGTGGTATAAACATCATTCAAAGTTTGTTGCACTAGCATCCACTTCCACAAGGCGTTGGTACAACATCTGAGTTTTTAAAAAAAGATTAAGCAGCGATTCGTCCAGTCAGAACCACTTTGGGTTGGAAACAGTGGTTTAGATTTTTAGGCAAACTAGGATTTACTAGATTTTTATGTTTGGGTAATAAGAGAACTCCCAAATGAGCTTTACAGTTTGTTTGTACTCTGTGCAGGAGAGGAGATGAGAGAACTAGAGTTTATACCAGACTCTCTACTACAGCCCTCCTCAGACAAGATGGCATTTATTGATCGGCTCGCCAACAGCATCACCAAACGCAAGAGATCCACACCACAAAAATTTGTAGGTGAGCATTGGTCACCGTGTGGATGGTTTTAAATCAGTGTCCATTACCTAAAGTACAACACCCCATGCATTCTAAAAAATAAAAATAAAAATGTTCTTGGGATTTGTCCAAAAGTTTTGGATATTTTCTAAATCCAAGTTGTTTGGTTTGACATAGCTCGGAAGCATTATTTGGTTTTTTATTAGGTCTGTCAATAGGTGCCGATTATTTCTCTAAAATATAGGTAAAATCAAGTCAAAAAAAGTTTCCAGCCTCACTAGATATTTTACAACAAATGCAAAAGACTTGGCTTGTGTTGATTTTTTCCAACCTTTGAAATGTTTTGTCTACCCTAGAGAACGTGTAAAAACTCATAGGGTCCTGTCTTTTATGTTACAGGGCAGAAGCACATCCGCCTCACCTTGGCAGATGAACCTTATGAGACTGCAGGCTTGGATAAAGATGGGGACATGCATGCAGGGGACCTTGAGGGCCCACACTTTACTGGGTTCGGAGGAGAATATGCAGGTATATCAGGTAATGGAGGAGGAGGAGGACTATCAGACACAGTAAAGACCCTACATCTTCCCAACACTCACCTTCCATCTGTATCAGAACTCAGGCCGACCCACAACTCCACCCACACTTCCATCACTCTTGGCCCAAGGTTGGATTGCACAGGGACGGGTGGTGGGCTTGGAACTGTGCTAGTAGGGGGACGGGAGGCAGCTGAGGGTCACGAAGACCTCCCTGCTAGTCGAAATCATGCCCCATCACCTAGCAATGGCTGCCAGGACTCTACAGACACTGAGAGTATGCCGGATGAGCCGTGCAACAGCACTGCTCCCATTCCCACCTTGCACAGTAACAATGGACACCCCCTCCTCCTTTCCAGTAACCACATCCCAAGACCTCCTCCCATTTTAAACCATAGGAACAGGGACAGAATCAGCCCTAGCCATGCCAAAGACCGGGAGGTGGACAGAGAAGATTTAGGGCTCTCAGCCCTCCCGCCTCCCGCTGTGGCTCCAACCCCCAGCTCACCTACAGCTCCCTCCTCCACCTCCAGGGAGGCTCTCCGGGTTGTAGATGGAGAGGGCCGAGCCGTGCGCTCTTTTCGTTGTGAGCACTGCCGGTTGCTTTTCTTGGACCACGTCATGTTTACCATCCACATGGGCTGCCACGGTTTTCGACAGCCTTTTGAGTGCAACATCTGTGGTCACCGCAGCCAGGACCGCTATGAGTTTTCTTCCCATATTGTCCGTGGAGAGCACATCTTTGATTGAGGACAAAAACTGGACAACATGCTTCATCCCGAGCTGTTTCTTTTTCCGTTTTGCTTCCTTTCATTTGTTTTTACACTGAGACAGATATCTGGCTGAGTTTGGTCTGCACTTGAACTAAAGGAATCAATGACGGCAAGTAAAATATTTGAATATTTAATATTTGAACAGGCACTGGCGCTGTTGGCGCACAACACCGTAGATGAGAAGTACATTTCTGATAGTGATCACCGATTTCATGACAGTTAAAAAGCCATGTTAATTAAATGTGTTCCAAAGTACCAGAAGAGCCAATGCACTTTTTCGCCCACACTTGTGCCTTGCTCCAAAATTCAGGATTCAAACTCGATACCCATATTACAGTAGAGAAATCTTGACAGGCTATTGTTCATAACTTTCAAATAGACCCCTCTTGAGCACTTTAGTGGAGACGACTTAAAAATCCAAATACAGTTTGTAAGCTTATCAACTGTGGAGGTGTACAGATTTCTACACGTTACTAAAGCACCTTTTGCAAATAATTTAAGAATTATAAATATTTCCTCTGTAATGTATTATATATTGTTTTTTCAAATTTTGGTCTATCCTGTGAATACACTGCGTCATAAAAAGTGCAGACCAAACTTAAAGCCCAGGTCACAATTAGTAAGTCAGACTTACATGTTTTTGGGGAGGGAGGGGGGAGGGGCATTCCTTGAATTAGAATTGCACTTTGGTATTTGCAGGAGATAAGAAAAGATTTATATGTGTGTGTTTATGTGTGAGAGATGAGCTTTTGAGTTTTTGTTAAGCGTGAAGAATGATGTTTTTTTCGTGTTAATGTGGGATGTCAGAACTGTTTTGCTTTTCTGTGACTGCTTTTGTTGCACTGATCTCTGCCAGAATTCTCTGATTTACATTAAACAGTTTTAAGCTATACATTAACGATCTGTAGGTTTCTCTGAGTATGAGGAACTAACAACAAAATAAGAATTCTGTGTAATGTTCTGCTCTTATGGAAAAGGGTTCAGACATCACTGCCGCAATTTTAAAGAGATTATTTAGACCTTTATGATGTTCAGTGTCCATTTCAAAACTAAACTATACTAACATTTAACAAATCTATTTATAATATATTTAAACCACAGGTTTGATGTTATGTAATTTCCTTTCCTTTGCTTTGTTATCGAGAAGGGAAAATATGATCTTCTAGTCTCTCTGTTTCCAGAAACATCTTGGCAGTGATGGTCCAGGTCTTTATCAATTGAAGGAAGAATTCAGTCCCTTAATTATTGTAGTTTTACAGTCACTGTTCATCCCAGTCAACAAAGATTGCGCTGATTTTTAATGTTATTTAGCTCCAACCTGAGTGCAGTGTTTTGTGGCAGTGTACTAAACCAACCCCACCTCCCTCTCACCCCATCGGGATCCTTTTGGTCACTAATTCTATCTGAATCTGCCTGAGCTTCTGATCAATTATGAATGGTCCTGTTCTTTGTCATTCGTCCTGATTGTGTGGAATTAAACATAGGCTAATAGAAAGAAGCCCTAACAACACTCTTAATGACTGACAAACAGGTAATTGAATTGGATTTATTTGTCATAGTGCACCAGATATTGATAGCAGCACAGTTGGTGAGGCAAGTTACAAAACCTACTGATTATGAAGTGACAAATAAAGATAAACTAAATATGAAACATGCAGATAGATTAAATGACTGGCAAATCTACATTTTTATAGTGCAGCCTTATTGGATATCATTTTGTTTTTTTCTTTACATTTTATTCATGAGAAAATATCAGTTGGGATCAACAAACTTTTTTCGGTCATCAAGTAAAATGTTTTTTTTGTTAGACTCGTTCAAGGTAAACTCAAAACCAGACATTTTTGGCTCTAAATAGGCAACATTATTTTAAGTCTTATGCAGAAACAGGACCCAGGTGTCAAAGACCTCTCAGTTTTAGCTGTTGTCTGGATGGCCAGAGGATCAGAAATATTTTTATGAAATGGCAACACAAAAAAACATTTGTCCGTTTCCTTAGTTTTATATAGCTTCCCGACAGCACCAAATATTTTCTTTCATAGCTGAGCCAAAGAACCACTATGTCCTACTGTTAAGCACTTTTCCCTGTCGCATTGGTGCGATTGAAAAAGGAAGTAAATCAACAATTGTTCTATTCTTCTACGTCTCTGCTTTGTTTATTGATAGAGATTAGAGTGTTTGTCAGTGAACGAGCTTTGATGCAATTGGCTGTGCAGGATTTATTAGGTCTTGTGTACCAGCCATAATGTTGTATGTTATGTACAGTGTAGTGATTAATTCTAACATACTAATTTAATCTATACACTAAGTTTTTTGCCCTTTAAGTGAAAGTTGGACCAGATTAAGACTGAATAGCTTTGAAAATGCTCCAGCATCCAACACTGTACTTGAGTCTGATTGAGATTTCAGCTTCATACCAAGAATGTGATCCCATTTTATTATTTTGCTGAAAAATCCTTTGCCCAATGGTCTTTCATTTGTGTTTTGCTGCTCCTTTCCACTGTGTTTGTGAGGCAGTTCTTTGTGCTCTTGTGCCTTGGCTTCAAGTCTCCTACCACTTAACTTTTTGAATATTTGCAACCGTAAAAACCATAATGCGGTCATAGTGTAGATCACTTTATTTCAGCAGTGTTTGATTAGAAGAACTTTGTCAACACGTCTTACCGGAGGTAGTGATTGGTCTTGACCACAGGTTCATCAAGACTAGTAAAATTATCCAATCACAGAAATAAGACTTGAACCGTTTTTGACTTCTGAAATTTTGTACAATCCCAGGAGGTAAAAAGTGTGGATTATTTCTTTATCAAATTATGCACATTAAATTAGTTATATTTATACAGCAAATTTAGCATTTGGGACCAAAAGGTCAATTTCAATTTAGTGTTTTCCTGAAAAATACCCCAAACCTGGTAGCATTTCTGCTTTTGTTACCTGGAGTTCAGCTTACCCTAACATCCAGTCACCCACCAACCACGTTTAATATTGCCACAAAAAAAAAACTGCAGAGCCTTTTTAAATGTATCATACGTAGTTATACATTTGCGTACTACTGTAAGTTTTGTACCGTCTACTCCAAATAAAAAGACTTGACCAGCTTGTCTTTCCTTTATCCACGTCACATTAATGAGCGTCACCCCATTCAAGTTTTTGTAAAGATTCTTTTATTTCCTTTTTCAGGTTGACAGCATTTTCATCTGCTTTACATGGGCTTTGGAGGAGCTCTCGGAGCACCAGCCTGTGAGGGGAAGAAAAATAAATAAATCAATCTGTACATATCTCATCTGATATAAATGTTGAGGTGGAGCAAGCCCCTGTAACCTCAGTGTAAATACGGCAAAGGCAGCCAATAGTAGACGTGTTAGACAGTACTCACAGCTGGCCTGAATCTGGGTGGAGGAGTACGGTCTTTCCTGGCCTCACGGGAGCGGTTCCTCACCACCTTGCTGTGGATGGCACAGCTGACACAGTAGTGCAGCTTCACGTAGAGCTTGGGCAGAACATAAGCTGTAAAATGGAGGGAACATGCAGATGAGACCAAAAATCAAAGACAAAAACGATCTACTGGAGGAGAGCTAGGTCTTCTGGACGTATACAATCACTTTCATTCCACGGCCCATTACAACAAAATAAATGTAAACATACACAACTATGGCTGAAGCAAAAGGTTTAGAGCAATCAGGTCAGGACTTAGAAAGTTAACTCACAGTCAAAGACGCTGGCCTCCGAGATGTCTCTCACGGCAGCCGCCTCCACAATGTTCCTGATGACAAATTTCTTGATAGCCTTGTCTTTGGGAACACAGCGGGCGCAGTTAGTGCAGCGGATGGGCTGCACATGCCCACGGCCCTTCTTCGCACGACCGTTATTTCTCCTCTTCTTGGTCTGTAAAACAATGGCCAGAATTGAATTTCATATATATATATAAAATGTCATAGTATATTTCTATATGAGGAATATCTGTGATAAATGACAGCAATCATTTTGTATTGATCTTGTTTTTATATATACTAAAAATATTAATGGTTTTATACAGATTCAGATTACTGTCCCAACATTAATTAGCACCAATTCAGTAAAATCAATACGAGAGCTTGACAATGTGTATTAAACTGTCCTTATTCTCACCCAGCAATTTAAATTACATTACACAGCCCAAGGCCTTCACTCTTATACAAAAACAATATAATGCAGAAGGCGGCGAATCAACACATTAAGACCTTATATCGACATCGTATTGAGGATTTTCAGATAGTAAGCGTGCCCGATCATTGCGATTCACAGCCGATTAGCAAGGCACGGCCTGTTTACTGCAACATAGAGCGATTGTAATCTTGTATTAATCTGTAGTCTTCACTTCTACGTAATACCCAATTAAAAATCGTAAAATGATATCGCCATTTACATTATCCCTCCATGTTTTACCGCACGTTAGCGGCGTCATTATTCTAAGCTAGCTGACGAACACATGTATGGAATGGTTAGCCTGCTAACTGTTAGCTTTAGGCCCAAATACATTTTTGAATGGTTTTGGTAAAATGTGAAACATTCTACTCTCCATTTGTTTTATCTCGGGTGTTTATTATACCACAAATGATATACGCTGTGTCTCAATAGTCGAATAAAATAAGAGTTTATTCCGTTTTTGCAACGCCGCCGCCACTGACACACACTCACCATGTTGCACGGGAAGCTGGAAAGAGGACCGGAAGAGGTCGGACCACCAGAACAAATGCAGTCCGCTCCGCCCTCTGAATGTTTTTCACCTCGAAAATGCTCTTTAATATTTAAAAAAAACAACTAATTTTAATATTTTTGAATACTTGCAAACGCTTGATTGAAAAATGAACAACTATAGTTTTTCTGTGCAATTATGTAAGAAACCGCACAGCCCTGACAGAAACGATCATCCCTGATAGCATCAACAGTTACTGATGATGGTCAGAAAATGGTCAGAGGCAATTGAGTGAGTGAGGCAATCAGAAAACTGCTCAGACATTCAAATACCTTTGCACTAACTTCCTGTCATGATGTTTAAAGCCTCATTTTGTTTGGGGTAGGGTTAGAAAAGATGTACTTCCTCTACTGTAGGATATGATTCCCAGCATGTATTATACTTTACAAAGAACGTAGCAGAACCATTTAAATAATTTCTTATTAGGATAAATAGATTAATCATGTGTGAGGCAACAAACAGACTTGAGAAAGCTAAGCATCTGCACCAAGATACTGCTTATTTACATTTTCTGCAGGTCTGTGGTGGAGAGTTCAGTCTGCTTTGTACAAGCTCATAAAGACAAGAAGGCCCATGTTTGGAATTCTGGAATTGACTGTAAAAACAAGAATACAGCCCAACGTCTACAGGACATGGTGATGGAAAAAATTAGTTTATTCAAAGTCTTCTTAAGTGAAAAGAACGGGAGGTCTTCAGGTATCATTTTGTTCATTTTTAATCAATAGTTTTTGCTAAGAAAAAAATTGAATTGTTTTTGTTATTGAAGTTGATCAATATTTTCCTCATCACATTGCTTTCAAATAAAAAAGTAATGTAGCAAATATGATTTACACTCTATTGAAGGGGTTCATTTTCATTGAATTCAGAAAATGTACAGAATCAGGTGTGTCTGGATGCTGATTTGCTACTGTAAATTTGTCTCAATATAAAATTGATAAACTACAGAATATTTTTGGGGGAAAAAAGCAGAGTCACGTTGTATGCCGTCTTTATTTCTTCGTAGGACTGATTCTGGATGCAGATTGTGTTAAGTGTACTGTATGGCAAACATTTGTGTTTTTTTATTTTGTTTTTTGTTTTATCAAAGATAGGTCACATTTACTCATGGCCCTGAACAAATCATTTTATGATCCTAATCACTTCTGCCTTTCATAGTGATGTATAGGTTAATCAAGAATAACTCATATTATAATTTGAGGGGTAAATAAAGTAAGATTCTTCTCTCTGGATACTAGCTGTCAGACACAGCACATTTTAGCGGAAAATCTGCAATACTGGAGAATAAATCCATGATTTAGAAGTAAGTGATTATGACCACCAGAGGCTGATAACAACACTAGACTAGATTATTCACTACAAAATCTGCTTTCTGAGTAAAAAAACAGGACGGCAAAGATTCAATAAACATAAATAACAGATTCATTTAAATCATTTAAAAAATTTATTTAAATAGATATGTGCCATTTCTTTATTTCTTCTTGCTCTTCTTATCTTTCGATTTCTTTTTGCTGGGCTTCTCTGCGTTGGCTTTTTTGTAGAGGTAGAGTCCCACCAGGCCGAGCAGAGTGGGCACCAGGGCCAGACACACCAGCGGTAAAACATCATTGACCATTTTCTGCCACTGTGTCTGCTGGGATAAAGATATAACCTCCACCTCGAACTCAAGAGGGGCGTCACCTGAGACAGATCCAGGACAAATGATTTGTTTTGTGAGATAGTTCACACATTACATCGATGCATTTAGCTGGCGCTTATAAAGCAAAACAGAGTTAACCATGCAATGTAATATGAAGAAAAGAACGCCAATATATTTTTTTATACCTGGATGGAAGAATCTTAATTTGTTTTTGTGATATTGGATGTAAGCATTAATACCCAGAACTGCATTATAGCATCTGTGTAATTGTGCAGTTTTATAATCTTTCTCAGCATGCTTTGATTTCTGCACATACCTGGAATTGTAGGAGGGTAACCCTTTTTTCCATATGCAAGGTGAGATGGAATAGTTGCTTTGATTTTTTGCCTGTATGAGAAAAAAAATAAATTTACACTTCGAGTAGAAATTTCTGTTGTTTCAACTAAATTACTTTGAACTGACTTAGTGCTATATGAGTTTCAACCAGTTGTCCATCTCTTGCCCCCCTTTGGACCACTTCTTATGCAACTTACCCTTCACACACGCCCAGCAAGCTTTGCTCCAGACCTGATAATTAAATCATACAGAATGTTAATCAGCAAAGCCAGCTCATCACCTGGACTAACTACTGAGCATCCAAACAGCGGGGACAGATGGTTCAGCTCTTGTTAGCTTACCGGGAATAACAGTCCTCTTTCCCAGCTCGACAACTAGAGGATCCCGGGATAGTGAGGTGTCGATCACCTTTCCGTCCATCAGTTTTCCCTGTTCAAGAAACAATTCAACTAGAGGAATGAGATGGTGCCAAACATGAGGAATTCTTTGTGATTTCACAGTTTTGTGCATTTAAAGGTGTTGATCGTGGAATTGTTGGTGTAGTATAAAAATTCAAAGCTAGGAAGATTTCAACATATTCTAATACACATGAGAGTATAAGCATGAAGTACAGATTGAAGTTTAAACACTGCTCTTTTAGAATGTGTGTATCACACAAATGAAACAAAAAAAAGAAAAGACAGTGAGTTTAGGAGGTTTTGGGAAGCATGTTTACTTATTTTTAGACCAAACTACTTTAAACTGCAAACAGGTAACCACCCAGATAATGAATAAGCTATTACCAAGCCCTCGGTGGGTTGATTACACCTCATAATCTGGGTCTATATATGTATAATATATGTGTTAAAAGACATAGAGAGAGATTATTTTTAAAAAGCCTCTTAGTTTTCTCGAAATGTGAAGTCTTAAATATAACAAACTGGTGTTAACTGTTGATATATGTCAAATAAGATTGTCACATTAAACATTTCGATGATCTATAGGTCCTATACAACATATCTGAGTATTCTTTGTTCTATATATATATATACATATGTGTGTCTACAGATGGCTCAGCCTGTGCTCCTGCCCCACTGACAGAGCTGTTACTGCTGACGTGTTGCACCGCCCCATTACTCCATAGTAAAAGCCTACTCGGTCTGGTACCACATAAAGGCACGTCGACCATGCAAACCCGCAAAAAACCACAATTTGTGCGTCAGAAATCCTCCCAATCAGCGCCTGAACCGTTTTCATTCTTCACATCCAGCCTGTGTGGGGAGACGCGGCGGGGTCCACATGGCTCCCCCAGACGGTGCCACATAGACAACAACAACTCGTCATCAGCCGGGCAGCTCCCTACCTTCCTTTGTGGGGGGAAAAAATTCCACAAACACCGGGAGTCTGGCTTGTATAATGCCCAAATCGGAGGAACTGAGTGTGACTCTGACATACCGTGTAGTGGATTTGAAGCGTGTCTCCCATTTCGGAGAGTACGGAGCAAGTTTCAGGCTTCACCTAAAAGTAAAAGTTCGCATTTTTATTCCCCCTTGGTGTCGGAATACGAAGCATTACTACGCCTGTTACAATGAACTACATGAACCCAACTCACCAATGTCTCCACCTGCAGCTCTTCGACTGCATTTTCCTCTATTTGTGCGAGTCCACGCGAGAAAGCAGCGATCAGGAGCAGAAAAACGCCTGTCTTCATTGTGAACTTCTGGGAAAGAGCTCCCATCCAGAAATTGGAGTTAGTTTTTTTTTTCAACCGCCAGTCGAGCGCACAGAGAGGGGGAAAGATCGAGCCGTGGAGCCCAGCGTCCCAATATGGCTCAGTGAGCGGCAGGTATAAGGCTGATGTGGTGAAACCCTGCAGCGATAAGGGACTGGCGGCCCCCGGACGCTGCCCCGACACCTGGCTCTGTGCAAAGAGCCCGCCTCAAACATTCCGCCAGCAGCATCCCATCAGCTGCTGTGGGAGGGAAGCGGAAGCGGCGCTCTGCGGAGGCGCTGGGTGTGTGTGTGCGTGTGTGTGTGTGTGTGTGTGGAGGGGGGGGGTGGGGGGTGGGGGTGGGCACACCCCCACGGCGCATGCCGCCGCAGACAGGCCACGTCGCGCCTCTCTTGCCCCCCTGACCCGGAGTGTGTAAAAGAAAGAGTACAAAGACAGACAGCTGTTTGTCCGTAAACCATTCGGAGGAATAGGCTCAAATGCTTCATCTAGATCTTCAGATCCGGCTAGCAAACGTGATCATAGTGATCATAATTTTATTCAAAGATGATAAAAGGCCCCTGTTTACTACTTAAAAAATGTCAGTTTGGGTTGTATAACAGAAAAACTGTCTCTTTAATAAGATGAACTCTTTTGTTCAGCTTCACACCTCTGTGCAGGGCTGGCTTCCTTCATGCACGCTCCACCTCTATACAGGGCTCCTTGACAGTTTACAACATAGGGCTGGTTTTGCAAAGACAAATGCTTGCAAAACGCAATGGGCAGCTCCTCCATACAACATGTCATTGAGCAACCCTGTCTTCAGACTGAAGCCTCCTCAGTTCTGTTGCAATGAAAGCCAGCAGAGGAAGTCATTTTTACTTTAGAAAAACAGCTTAGCACACTGAATTGACTATTTGTTACCCTTATCGTGACTATCCATTTACCAATCAAACCGCGATGTCCTTTCGAAATTGATAGAGACGTTTTGAGGGCAAAAAAATGAAAGATTCTTGCAGCATCTCCTGTTGTTCTTACACGGTGTGTTTTGAATATCCTTTTTATTCACTTATTGTAATAACTCACTTTTAGTCAAACATATGAACACTTTTTTCAGGTGTAAACATCCAGATTTTGTAACAGGGTCATAAAGGAAAAGCAAGTCAGCCTTTAAGGCAACCAATTTGAACTTATGGCCATAAGAGGTCAGAAATTGAAGTGAATTTGTTAAATACATGACAACTCCTGCAAGAATCCAGGAATGCACAAGGATTTAATATATGTGAATGCACACAATAACACCATCCGTTCCTGGTTAATGTGGTCAGAAATATCATAATGTACTGAGTGACTCAGGCCTCCCAGATTACTTTTTTCCAGACACCAAACCCAGTCTGATAGAAGGAATTAATCACGGAACCTAGGAATTGAGTACATGAATATTAAAATCAGTCAGTTTTCTCCACGTCACTAGTTTTGTGATTCCAAGTAATTTACCACCACAATCTTAATGCAAAACTATCAAACCCACCTGCAAACCTGTATTTGTCCCAATAAATGTGTTTACCATCGGAATGTGATGGGAAGATTAGCACAATCTGTGTGATATGCCCACACGTACAAAGAAGAGCTTGTCAAACTGGTTAGAGCAGGTTTAGTATTAACTGCTGGAGCCAACTAAAGCAAACATCTGTATCCCGTGTTTCAGATATGTGGCAGGATAGGCTAAAGGACCACACTTGAAGGTAATCCTGATGGATTCACACTATATTAGTGTGAATCCATCAGGATTTATATATGACAATATATGACAACAACTCAAACAGGAGCAACATAATATCACATCATAATATCTCTTCAGGGATTAATAAATCATGATTTATTGTAATATCGAGCAAAGGCTTTAAAAACAAGCCATGCAATGATTGAAAAAACAAGACCAATAAGATGCACAAATTGATAGACAGTTGGATAATTCATTTGTATTAGATATGATTGTGCAGGCTTTCTGAAAACATTCATAGTGCAACTGTGAAATGGAAACTGATGACTCATCGATGTGCAAACTGAAGACAAAGAGAGCCTCGTCCCTCAGATCACAGAGCAAGATCATGCAAAAGCAGTCATCCGGCCCCATCGTCACATTCAGTGCTTGCAAAAAAAAAAGCTGTCATAGTTCACAGCTGGTAAAAAAAACAACCCCATTTGATCAATCTGCCAGTGTGAGTCAGATATATTGCATCATAAAGAATTCCTGACCAACCCAAACTTTATAAGCTATATTTCTTAAACAACTTCTTATGCTTCTTTGTGGCATGATTCTCTTGCAACATACTCTTTACTTTTCTGTCTGGATCTATATTGAAATGTTGTGCAAGAATTAATTGTAGGTAACCACTTAACAATTTCCTAAGCACTCAACCACCTCATTCAAAGATAGATAAAACTGAATTTGATATAAGATGTGCCCAATAACAATGACATTTCTTACAATTTACAACACAAAAGTCATTTACTGATGATTACATTTTTTCCAATTGATGCATTTGGACTTATTTGGTAACCTGATTCAAATAAAACTAACTTGCTAACATACCTCATGTTTCTATAAAACAAAGAAGATTGACCAATAAAGCTGATTATGAGAAAGGTAACCTCTCAGAACTTCAAAAAATCATGTTTTTCCCTGTGAAAGTTGATCTCCTTCGTTATTTAAACACACCAGTATCTGCTAGATCATAGTCTTATTTGGTTGTCTGGTTTACATTCTAAATTGAAGCTGAATGCTTCAGATACAATCAGATACAGCTTAATAATGAACACAAATAAACAATTACTCATAAAAAATTATTTGTGTTAAAATGGTTGGATTGTAATAAAATGTGTATGTTCTTTAGCGTCATTATCTTTGTAAAAAGGACTTCAACTTGTGGGATCTGACCACCTGGACAAGCACTGCATGGGCATGTGACTAAAGCCAATACAGTAAACATTACAGCAGATATGTTGGCTGGTGATTACAGGAAAAGCACATGTGTACGGACATTTTCTCCGTTCCACTGATTATCCCACTTATCCAGCAGGCACCACACAGAGACCATTGGCCTTGTTACAGAAAAAGGAAGCTAATTAAATTGTAAAAGAAAAAAAAGTATAAAAACTACAGAGCCTACCAATTTAATAAAATATTAAGTCACAGAGCACCTAAATATTCAGTGAGAATCTGTGATGCACAGAAATCAGGTATAAAAAATGAGAGTTTGCCGCTCTTTGGATTTTACAAGCGTTCGACATCAAGTTGCAAAATTGGTCGTAACTAAGCAAACATCAAGCATACAGATGTCAGAGCGACCACAAACCCGGACTGTGCAACGTTCAACACCTGACGTAGTATTTGTGAAAGGGGCCGCAACTGCATGGATCCATCAACTCTCGCGAGATTTCGCTTACTGCTGTGTTGCGTTCCAAAAAAATCTCGTGAGAAATTCAGTAGAGGACTGCTCGGAAAAGGTAAGTGAGGACTCATATGACTGCACCATCAACACGACACACAGCAGGTGGGTTTTTACCGGCTAATAACTCAGTAGAAAGACAGACGTCTTTCCTTCGGAGGTTGTTAGGACTCGTTGTTGACGCTGTGGCTGAGGCAGCTACAGGGGGGCTCGCAGTAAGCAGGATGCCCGCTGAGAGGATGAGCGGACGAATGAATGGGCTGGATCAGGACGGTCCAGACGCTAGTATCCGTCCCGTTTAATCGATTCTGCGTATAATAGCGCAAATTAAGACAGTTATATTAGATTAATATAGATACAGTTAGGAAGAAACTGCTTGGCATTCATGCTGAAATGCATTGGAGGGGAGGTAAATGGATCTTATTGGGACCGTTATTCATGGCCGGTTGGCCGCAAAACGTTATCTAACGTAGCATTCCAGGCTAACCTGAGACTCTAGGGCTGAGGGAATATTATCAGGCCCAGCTCCGTCTTAAAATCTTTATTCAAAGTCACCCAAACGATGGTGAAAATGCATCTGTCAGAGGTGAAGGGCAGAGGAGAGCAGAGTGGATCTGCTTCAGCACCATGGACAGGGCTGCTGAGAGCCCCTAATGTGTCAATATAAGCAGAAATACTTCTATTTCCATTTTATAGTCCACTATTTTTACTGTTCTGAGTCTGTGGATTAAGCATTATTTGTTTCTTTATTAAGGCATTTTCTATAAAATGTTACACTCATGCTAATTTTCAGCACTAAGAGAACACACATACTTAATTCAGGATGTGTGATCAATATGATATTTCACACGTTCAGATTAACACTATTAAGCTCATTGTATGTCTGTACATTCTGATGTATTGCATTCAGGCTGGAACAGAATAACCTACTTTTAACGCACGATTATAAGAAAATAGTTTAAGAAAGATTAACCATTTTTAAACTTTAGAAATTCATTCTGCTTATTGATTGTGTTGGCTCTTTATGTTCAAGGTTTCTATCAATTACCCTAAAGATTTATGAATCTTAAGATTTATAAACAATTAAGATTGCGGTGCATGCTGTGCTGCACTACAGGCATATTATTGCTCTTTTTTTAATAAGAATTTGATGTGTAAGTACTGTATTCAAGATGTACATCTGAGCATAAAGCACTGGGAAGAGGCAGTCCTTTCTATACCATCAGGTGGCATCATGATGAGGTCATGTTCAATGTGTTACATTCAGGCCTGGTAATGTAGGACATGTTGCATGTGCCCAAAGGGCTTGGCGTTGCTGCAGCGAGGAAAAAATGGTCTAAACAGATTGTGCTGTAGCCTAAAGTCATGGCACATACATCCAACTCCATCACCCTCCCCGTGTAATGACTGCGGGTATGTATCATAGTTCTGCACCTGTCTTGTGCGGAGGGGGGGGGCATACGCAGCAGCATTTTTAAATCCTGCCTTTAATCCAATACTATGAAATATAATGAAAGCGGTCTTTGCTCTGCTTCCTTTCAGCCATCTTTCTGTTGGAGAGCTGAGATTTTTCAGGCACCCTTCAGCAGCAGGACCACAGCCGCAAAACTGAAGTTTGCCATCTTCACCTGAATCATGGGGAACATATTTGGGAATTTGCTGAAGAGCCTCATAGGGAAGAAAGAGATGAGGATTTTGATGGTGGGGCTTGATGCTGCAGGAAAAACAACAATTCTCTATAAGCTGAAACTGGGAGAAATAGTAACCACAATCCCAACAATTGGTGTGTCCGGTGTTTTTCTCACTCGTGCAGGCTTACATTACGTAAGTTCGTTTTACATGATGTATGACGTATTCCCTCTTCTCAGGGTTTAATGTGGAGACAGTGGAGTACAAGAACATCAGCTTCACTGTGTGGGATGTGGGTGGGCAGGACAAGATCCGTCCCCTCTGGAGGCACTACTTTCAAAACACGCAGGGTGAGCAGAGCTAATCAGACGGCAGCACCAGCTTTTGTGCCTTTATTTCTCTTTGAAAGAAAACGATTTAGCATGTTCTCTTTGCCCTTTAAGGTTTGATCTTTGTGGTGGACAGTAATGACAGAGAACGTGTGAATGAAGCACGAGAGGAGCTTATGAGGATGCTGGCCGAGGATGAGCTGAGGGATGCCGTGCTCCTTGTGTTTGCCAATAAACAGGCAAGAAACTGTTACTGCTGTGTGTATGGCGACAAGTGTAAATTCATTCAGCCAGGAACAGGCTTTTTGTAGGAGATTAGCCCCTCTGATTCAAAATCTAAATTGGTTTTCTGACAATTGTATCTGGTCCAAAACATGACCATTTAAGGATGTCAGAAAATGTTGAGGATCTTCTCCTGTCAAAAGCAATAATTTGCTCTGAAAATCACAAACTTTTCAATATTTGCAATACTTGCTCAATAACTGTACTTTCTTTGAACGCTGCTATTTGACCTTTTACAGGACTTACCAAACGCCATGAACGCTGCTGAGATCACAGACAAGTTGGGCCTGCACTCCCTGCGTCACCGCAACTGGTACATTCAGGCCACCTGCGCCACCAGCGGCGACGGCCTCTATGAGGGCCTTGATTGGCTGGCCAATCAACTCAAGAACAAAAAATAAGGAGACAACCAGGGAAGAAAAAAAAACAGCCAGCGGCCACACCCATCCAACTTTCTCTCTTTTGTGGGGATGGGGGTTCAGGTTAGGAACACTGGTTTCGATTAATGGGTGCAAAGCAAGAATCTGGGTGTGGGGCACGTTTCAATTTTGCTCTCTTCTTGATAGTTTTCTGCGGTTCCTCATGTCCATATTTAACCACACACACTGGCACACCCTAACTGTCAGCAGTCACAGCAGACACTTGCTTTTCCTCGGTCCACCTGTTGTCCGTAATTTTGTATGTCAGTTGCTGTAAAGATCATACGTGACTCCACTGCGTCAGATTCGTAGTTTCTGTTTTTCACTGCAAGCCATCCACGCTGTGAACATTCCTATGTCAGTTGCACTTCCTGTTTTTATCCATTGCTCTTGTTTGTTGCCTGTTCTGTGGGATAACAGAGCCATGTTCGAGAAAAACCGCGTCCATGCAGATTCATTCCACCCTAACTGGTTGTGATGTCATGCCCTCCGTTCTTTTGTGTGAGCAGTGCTGAGCACTTCGATGTTCAGATTTGGTGTGTGGGTGTGAGTGTGCCTCTCCATGTATCTGTGCAAGCAGCCCTAGCAGCAATAATCATGAGCGGCTCTCTGTAACTGCAAAAGAAACGTCCTCTAACTGCCACATTTTGGAAATGTTTTGATATCTGTGCTCTGTGTTTCTACTCCCTGTGCGTTGCAACCCAGGGAGGCAGAAGCCACCTCTTTTTAAATATTCAAAGCCCTCAACATGCTCCCGATTGCCTAACCTGCATGCATCTTGCTGGCCTTGTTGCATACTTCTTCATTATTAGAGCTGCATAGGTGTCGATGCTGTTTGTAGTTTCCCTCTAATGCCCTTATCATCACAGTAGGATGCAAAAACACCAACTTATTGCATTTCGCAGCAGCCCTTACAACTACACAGTCAGCTTTAATATGAGAACAACATATAGGTTGACAGGCAAATAATCTGCTGCTTGTCTGCCTTTTGTGTGTCCATATGAGTATTCAATTTGCATCGGATGGCTCATGCTTGTGTGTTTTTATCTTGCAAGTCGGGGAGTTGATAATTGTGAAAATGAATGTGAACTGTGAATGAATCTATAAATCGCTGTAATTATATTCATCTGACCATCACACTCTGTCATTTTCAGTGCTGTGTACATAATTATGTGAAGGAAAGCAGGGTAAACAGATCATTATGTCGGTGATACTACAGAAATTCATCAGCACGTCCACAACTAACTTTTCAACGGCAGGCGAATGACTGCGGCAGCGCTGAAACCAGCAGAATCCAGGCGTTTATTAATAAAAACATCTCCTTGTGCCATAATGGGTACTACTACTCATTCACTCCTAACAGTTCCACAAACCGTGCATCCACTCTGTGCTTATCTACCATATCCAGCATTTATTAAACGTTAAGTTGGAAATTTGATCTTAGTTTATGTGGCCTTACATTACGATTGAAAAACTCCTGGCTGGTTTGTTTCTTATTCTAAGTCACATGTATTTATCTGTATCTATTTATGAAAAAAAGACATGGAGATTTATTTGTCAATGCCCTCCAAAGGCTGGTTTTGCACCAAACTGCACAATGATGAGGGAAAGATTTTGTTGTAGAGTATCTTTTGTTTTGCCAGTATACTGGAATCATCCCTGGTGGTAGATTTTATTTGATTTCCTTTTAAGTTTAAAGAAATGTTGATGTAGACTGTGTCCGTGAAACAATGAAAATCAACGTGAAAAAAAACAAACATTTCCAATGATTCATGCTGTACCGTTATAGCTACACAAGTAGATTGTAAAAACAGTGAAGACTTTGTTCCATTGCTGAATGCATGGAGACATCTGTATGTGACGTAAGACAACAAGATCCTGTATGCTGTATATCAAATAAAAAACATTTTCTGTATGAGCTGTGAGTGTCTGGTTGTGCTGAAAATCCAGTATTTTCATCTGAACTGTTGAGATCAGTGCAGCAAAGTCCTTGCATTTACGAACATCTACCAGGAGAGGGCAGATAAAGCAAGCCAACATCTGCAGCCGCTGACGCTCACTGGAAATACATTTGCAAACAATTTAACAATGTTCAACTCTTTTATTCTTTCTTTTGCACATACCATGAAATATTTTACACATTATGGTTTTCATCATATGTAAATGGACTACGGGCATTGACACAAGTCATATACTTCTACCGTGTTCACATTGTCCGCAGTTGTGATTGGTGTCATTGCACAACTATATATTTATATATATATATATATATATATATATAGGCCTATATATGTAAAAAAATTTTTTTTTTTTTTTAACTTTCTCGAAACAGAAGGCCTTTTGGTCCTTTTTGGAACCAAATGAGGAAATACCTTTTGTAGAAATGTCCTGTAAGTAGTGAAATATTAACCTTGGTGGAACACCTCAGTTATCAGGAAAAGAAGGCGATTATTTTCAGAGAGGAAAACATGTTTTGTACATCTTCATGTTTTGTCATAACTGACAAGATAAACAAACAAAAAAAACACTGTGTGTGTACGTGTGCTTGCATGAGAAAGACTGGCTGTGCAGGCAGAGCAAGTTTCCACAGAGCAGGTCAGCTTGCTCATCCACTCTTGTGGCAACTAGGAAGGGTTTTTTGACTCAACTGAGCTGGAGAGAAAGACAGAAGGAAAAAAAAGCCTCTTATCAGCACTTCGAGCCTTTGACTGGTCAAGTCATCCAGCGCTGTACACAAGTTAGTCCCAAGTTCAGCTGTGAACTCATGCAGCACAAATGCAATGATGCAGCAGTATAATGGTTTTACATCTCAGGAACCTCAGCAGGTAGGAGTGGAGGGGCCAAAGTATCACTGTTGAGACAGCAACAGTGATCCACAGGTATGAGAAATGTGCCAGCACACTGTGAATGACGCATGGAGTGAGAGGGAACAGAGAAAGAGGAGCTTCTAAAGATGATTCCGCCCTTGTTGTTGTTTTCTTGCTGCAGAAAAACAACTACTTTTTTCAAGCTTTCGTACTTACAGGTCACGAAAGAGGCAAAGGAAGTTCCATGCCTCTTGTAACTGTAATGATACTGCTACTTACACATTGAGAAACAATGAGGAAGAAAATATTATGACTGAGCGTGCAATGACCACTCCATTAATGTTCAATCATACAGAAAACTAAGATTCATCAACAGGTTTGTTTGCCTGGTGAATTATTAATCCGTTATTGAGTGAGTTAGTTTTTTTTACTGTGTCAGTCGTCTACTGAAGTAACAATTAAAGTTAATAAACTAAGATGAAATCAATGAAATACCAGCATTTCTGCACTGACTTGTCCTCATGTTCCTATTTCTGTTTAATTAACAATCAGAAAAATAGGGGAAAATCTGAGATCTGCAGCATAACTTTTGCCCTGGCCATGCATCCGGCAACACTAAACAGAATCTATAGTTATGAATTGAGACTTAAGAGACATTTTCTAAGCTATCTTTGCTTCAAATCCTGCAAAAGGCAAATCTAGTTCCTTCAAGCCTGGCAAATAAAAAGTGTTCAATGAAAAGCTTAGCATCAGAGAGGGGAAAAGCCACATGTCTGGATAAACGGATTAAAATAGCTAAATGCTTTTTTTTTTACATTCACCTTTAACATTTTCACAACCTTCTGAACTTCTGAAACTTTCCGATGTTTGTCACCTAATTGGCTGGGAGCTGTCAGTGACGTTCGTGGGGCCCTCCCATCTAAATCAGCGTTGGCGAAAAATGCGCTCCAATCACTGAGCTGTAGTGATTTCTCACACAGATTGGAGCGGACGCAAAGTAAATCTGGCGCTCTTCTGTTTCTCAAATAGAAAGAATACAAACGGATATTTCCTCAGGGACTAGGCTACACCCTCCTCAGACAAGAAAACGATCAAGGAGTGTGGAAAACGGAACGATACGGATTAATCGCAGTGCAGTTCATTGCGCAGCCTTGGAGTGAGATGACCAGTGACGGGATCAGATTATAAAGGGAATTTCTCCAACTTATTATGCCTTCAATGTTTGTATCAAACGCCAGCCTGGAAAACTGACTGAGAATGAAGGTGTGGAAGGTGTGGCAGCAGGTGCTGTGCGTCCTGCCGCTGTGCGCCCTCCAACTCTGCAGCGCAGAGACTCAAGAAGGTGAGTGTGCGCGTCTGAGAGGGCACTCACACACATGCAGGGGGCCGTCGTATTTCTTTCATTTGTCCTGAATAAGTCACGCTGTATTGCTGTGTGGACCAGCCGCTCAGGATCTGTGGGAGAGCACCTGTCTCCGCAGACCACAGGCGCAGAACCTGTTCCGCACACGTAAAACGTGTTTGCTGTGACTCATCTGCACCTCTCCCACGACTCTGTGCACTTTATCGTGTTTGTCTCAATTGTTTCAAGGTTTTTTTGCGACAGAGCCCATCCTTTCATTGCCCGAGCCTTAGTCAGACAGGTTATCTGACTTTCAGACCGATTTTGTTTAATGATTGAATGATTTGGTCACCTTTGTGGCACAAACAGTCAAATTTGTTGTATAAAAAAACTTCTTACAAAACCAAATGTTGACCTCAGCATGATGTTAGAAACGGGAAAAAGACACAGCAGCATTGTTATAGAGCATTGGTTCTTGTGATAAAAGAGTTTAGTTGAGTTAAACAAACCCATTCTCTATGTTTAAAAAAAAAAGAATCAACTGATTAATGAAGAAAAGAATAACAGATCCGTGATGATATGAAATAGTTCTAACCGTGATTTCAACTTTTACGCTAGAGTCCTGTTTTTACTCTTTAATACGTTAATGGGAAGATGTTATATATCTATCAAGGTGTACAGTCTTTTATAATCATGATACTTTTTATAATACTTTTGCATAAGAAATTGAACTGTTCCAACTGTGGTTGAATGGTTGTTACAGGGCTGTTGTATAAAATACTAATATAGTATGTCAATGTTTCACTTGAGTAAGTGAAGTGAAGAGTAAGAGAAGTGAAGAGTAAGATGTATTTAATTTCAGAGAGTCAGGATGTTTTTGAGGAAGAGAGATTTGAATTATTTTGTGAACTTTGGCCTTTGTGCTGTTGTTGCCACCTGGCTGCAGGTGAATCCTGTGAGTCTGATTCTGAGAAAAACAATGTCAACCTGTGATCATGATTTGGAACCCATGACAACAGAGCCTGCCAGAAACACAATAGTACAAAGAAGAATGAAAAATCTCTTGCTTGATGTGGAAAGGAAATAGTAATTGTGAGCAAATGAAATCTGATGCAAACATAATGTTGGATTGAAGGAGAAGATTATTAGAGAAATTAAAAGAAACTTAATATAACTCATCATAAACAACTTATATTTGTAATTAAAGAAATTAGGTTAAAATAACTCATTTCTGTAGATCCAGAGGACATTATTAACTTTCTTTTGCAACAAATCTTTGTTCTTTTAAATTCTTATTGCACTATTTTGCAATGAAGCTCTTCATTTCTAAAACTGGTCTTCATCTTGTCCTTGGAGCATAAAGCTATAAAAAAAATTACACAACCACATCGTAAGTAAACATGTAATGCCAAGCTACTACTTTCCTTTTGAATGGGGCTGCTGTGCCAACAGGAAGAACAGAGGTGTTTTTTTGTGTCATGCAGCAGGGGTCAATGCCTCAGATGCAGCTGAGTTGCATGTCCCAGATGTAGCATCACAAGTACAAATCTAATTTCTCATTTTTGAAAATCTTTACAGTAACAGGTGAAACCTGACCAAATAGATGGTGTGTCAGGGAGCAAATGTGCTGTTGCACCTGATGCATAAGGATGATGTCAAGCAGCTCAGTCTGTTTAGAAAGGTTCTCACACTCAGTCACACAGTGAGATAATCTTCCATTTGATTTGTACAAAATCTTTGCTGGGAACCAATGAGTTCACCATGAAACACACTGGTTCAGGTGCTCAGGTGTCTGTCTTTGTGTTTACGCGTGCACGTTTGAGCACGCTTACCCAGGAGGTATGCAGTAATCTCTGTCCATCCTGTGCCAAGTTTCTGTTTACATCAGTCATCGTCTCAGCTGCTTTATTGAGCTTGTTTGTACCCTCCTCCCTCCTCCCTCTAACCCCCCCGCCTTCACTGTTTCCAGAGTTGAAACCTTGGTAACAGATAAATGAAAAATAACAGCTAAACTTGATCCATGTCATGTTTTCAGCATGTGTTAGGTTACACATTAGTACTGAGAACAATGCTGCCATACAGTAGGGAGTTCATGCAATACGAGTGTGACAGTTTGTGGGAGGTAGGATAGAAGGCTGAATAACTGCAGTGATTTTCAAGAGTGCGGAAGCAAACAGAGAGTAAAGTGTCTGCACACAGGAATAAGTTAAAACACAGCTACAACACTTGTTTTGCAACCTCTCTAAATGGGGTCATTGTGTTCCTCTGTCTGTCAGTGTGTGTATTGACTCTAAACCCTCCACCCCATTCCTTTTTCCTCCATCATCCATCTGCCAACATTGAAAGTCCTCCTTTGACAGAGAAAACCCACTCAGCCGGCTGAGATTTTCAGCCTCCAAAGCTGCAGCTTGTGTCCTGTCAAAGTGGCAGACCCACTGTTTGGTCACATTCTGTCCTGCATGTGTACATACTGGTTTGACGCCCTCTGTAGTGGGTGGTACCGGTGGCCTGTGCATACCCTTCATACTACAGCAGGTGGAAGGTTCTCGAGCATACAGGTTCAGGCGCTCGCAGGTATTTCCCAGCATGCAATTCAAACAGTATTGAGCCCGGGTCACTCACTGATAACACCAAGCTCCTCTCAAGGTGCAAATAGGGGAAAAAAAGATAACAAACTGATTGTGAACTCATGTTATTATGATCTCATGCACTGGAATGGTCATAATTAAATACTTGAAAAGATTGGTCTTTTTTTTGTTACAAAATGATAAAAAAAAACTGGATATTGACAGCTGACTGCCAAAACTGATAATGGGCACATAATTAATGTAAAAGAGATGTAACTGTGGTCTCTGTTTGTTCATCTTAAAATGTAATTCAGTGACGCCACAAGCATTCTGACTTGATGCTTAAACCACTTCATGTGAGAAAAGAAGTGGCTGTACTTTGAGAACATTTGGAGGGAACTCAGTTCTGGAGCTTAGGACTGTAATTAAGGGGATGAAATGTGGATCAGCTTGTAAATTGACAAATTAGCCTTTTTAGCAATAAAACCAAAAAGCAAAGGGTCAGGTGATTATCATGGCCTCAGACTCTGAGGTGGTAAGTCTAATCCCAAATGCTCCACACAACTGCAAACGGCTCCAGTGTCTGCTGGAGGTCTACTTTGAAGCTAATTAAGCTGATTAAACTGGAACCCTCCCTCTCCAATCTGCTGACATCATGTGAGGATTCTTTCCTGCTAAACTTTTTTTTTGTGCTAAACACATTTTTGTCTTATTACTACTTTTACCAAGTGTTTGCAGAGTTTCATTTACTTTCTGGGAACTTTCATAACAAAGAACTACCACTCCGACATTTTTCGACTGTTGTGACAAACTGGAAAAAGATTCAAGATCATTTGGGCTGATCGTCCTTTAAAATAGTAATACTTTATAAAAGTAAGGTCTGCCTAACTGACAAATAAAAACAAAAACGTGGCTTTTTACACACGTGGTTCACTCGAAGAAGACAAAAATGATTCTTTTACATTTTTTTCAGTTCCCACAAAAGTTAGATTCAAAGAGGTCAACATCGCTCTTACTGTTATGTTACTGAAATGTTCAGGCTGTCTGTGATACTTCACAGATTTTCCAGTTATCTGTAGCAAATTATTTCTGGAAAGCGAGCTTCCATCAATATAAACAAAGTCTGTTCACTCCTAGTGCAATATGTGTCTACAAATATCTAAAAACCATAAGTTCAAACCACTCCATGGAGAGATTTATGTTTTTAAGCTATGAGTTGACTGACATCTTAGGAATCAGCTGCAGGGAACCCAGTGTTCTCAGAAACACAATAAAGTAACTCTTATCAGGACTTAATGATCCCAGAATATGCTTATTGCCAACCATGAACACACAGTCATTCTCCTTCAAGGCATAGGACGTTTTATTGACTTGGTAAATCTTATTAATATTTATCCAAAAGTAGCCACCTATGACAGAAATGTAACATTTAAAGTTTGAAACATATTCAGAGTGTATCTGCGCAATGTGACCGTGCAACGGATTTTTCCTTTAACAACCCTGCTTTGACCTCCGTCTGCAGTGGGGTTAATAATCGTTAGTCTTTTATGCTCTTGTTGATCCTGTTGTTCAACTGGCTTCTATCTAGACTCAAATGTCAGTTGATGGAATGTGTTTGTGAGTGTGTAAGGCATATTTCTGTTGTGTGACCTGTTAGTGAGTGCAGTTCAACACACTTTCAAAACAAGGAAAAAAATTCTTAAAAGCGTACAAAGACACTTTAAAGAATGGCGATTGTAATTGATTCTTTTCTGCTTGGAGTGAGGTTAAAGGCTCAGTAGCTCAAATAACAAGATTATTTGAAGAATGATCTCATAAGGTTTCTACCAAACGTTCCTCCAGTATCAAACACAGTTGTCTTTATGTCCACAAGGACACGAACAATGGAAATAGAAACTGCCAATAAGTAACCAATGAAACCCAGAGACAACTTCATGTTTCTTTGAGGTGAAGCCGAAAGTTATCACTTCAAGGAAACAAGTTTAACCGCTATAGATTTCTATGTTAATAACATCTCTACAAAAAATATATTTAGCTATTCAGTTATGATAATTTAGACAAAACTATTGACAACTCTACCATAATTGGATACTAGTTAATGTTTGGAAAAAAATGTCTATCATATAACTTTTTTATGTGATTTTGCATTGTGTTTGTGGTTCATTTTACCACATACAGATGGAAAAGTGCAGGGATCAGGGATTGCCTGTCGATAATGGTGACCATTCAGTTTGATTTTCATATTAAATATGGAAAAACACTGAATACACATGTCAAAAGCAATGATATTGATAATACACCAGAAACTTGATCACAGTCCAGGCATACTGTACATGGTTATATGTTTGTGCAAATGATTGATTTCTGTATGACTCTGTGAACAAACAATGAAGTTCGGTTCTTTGTTTGCAATATCTTTTTCCATTTTGTCTTTGGTCCTCTGACAGCATTTGAATAGCAAAGCAGCCTACTAGTGATGCTGACAAGCTTAACTCCCACAGACCATAAACAAGCCCTGTGTGTGTGTGTCGGTGAAATGGACGTGGCCCGCACACAATCCCCGGCTTGTCTCCCACTGTTACAGTAGTCTGATTCATATTGATTGAGCTGAACACAGCGACTTATAGTAAACCACATAAAACAGTCTTTGTAAAAACTCTCTCTATTTTATGTTACTTCTATGGGCCTATTTGTGTTGATGTATCATAGCGTGATCTCCAGCAAGTGCTTTTCTTTATTATGTTTTGTGGTGCTGTCCATGTTCCTACCAGCCAAAAGGGACCATATAGTACTGGTGTTGAGCATACATTCATATGTGTGATTTAAAATCACATCTCTGCAAGAAAATCAAATAATTAATTTTGTGGTATAGCAAGCACATCTGGAAATTCTTTTTTGTTTTGTACTGTGTCCTTCTTCAGAAAGTTTTTATATATGGTAATTTTGCTTTTAAGCTCCACCTTAATTGATACCAGTAACAAGTAAGATATTTAGGTAAGACAGTGTGGTCTGTTCATGTGAAATTTGTCATAAAAAATGCTATCTTAATTTCCCATATTTCATCTCCCTGGTTTCTCAGCTTTTCAGCAAAAGAAGACAAAAACAACATATATATTTTATGAGAGTTCTGAGAGTTTAACAAATCATTTTAGTATAAAAAGTCTCATCAGCTTCTTGCATATTCTTTAATTTTTCAGTGGTGGTTTGCTCCGGCACCCAGAACGTTCTGAGTACAACTGGAAATTCAGAGATCCAATACAACCTGATGAGGAAGATGTACAATAGTTGTGACATCGTGATGGGCAACCTTGAGATTACCATGATGGAGCACACCAGAGATTTCAGCTTTCTGCAGGTGAGAGAATCGGCACCACAGTCTGCTGTGGGGACCCACATGTCCGCAGTCTCACAGGATGAATCTGTAACCAGTCCAGACATATGGACGTGAATCAACATTGTTAGAAAAAAAGATTCAAAGAGAGAGAGAAAACCCACTGTTTGCAGAGGGTTGTGACTCTCTGAGATGATTACATCAGCCTCCTGCTCTTTTATTCGCAGAAGTGCTTTGATGATGATTAACTTTATCAGGAAATCAGACCTGTAAGTTCAGGTTATGACCCTGAAAGCGATGTGTTTCCCCAAAACAAGAAAAACAAGGTTGTTTAAGCATCTGTATTTTTTTCTTCTTTTTCGTTTCTTAACTTTGCAGTCCATTAAGGAGGTGACAGGTTACATTCTGTTTGCCCTCAACGAGTTCACCCGCCTCCCTCTAGACAACCTGCGCGTCATTAGAGGCACTACTTTGTATGAGAACCGCTATGCCTTGGCTGTGATGGTCAACTACCAGAAAGATGGACAACATGGCCTTGAAGAGCTGGGTCTGACACACCTTACAGGTATACAGTCGATGCATAGTGTGTGTTTAAAGTGTGGGAGGTTGCAGCCATGTTGATAAGGACTAAATGTGACTCTGTCACTGGTGGAGCTCCCACACCCACACAGAGCAGCCACACCCTCAGAATACCGGTTGTCGCAGCAGAGTGATGTGTGCGCCATCAGAGAAGTTCCTGGAATGTTTCATGTGCTCAACCGCCAAACTGCCAGTGTAACACGAGCTCTGGCACACTACAATGTGTTTGTATGAAGTGTAGTAAATAATGAGTGGCGGCGTTTGATGCGATGACTCACGGGCTTGTCCAGGCTCGCTCCACCGATGATCTTTTTTCATTTACATGCGTGTCGCCCACAGAGATTCTTGAGGGAGGCGTCAAAATCATCCAGAATAAGTACCTGAGCTACGCACCGCTGATGAATTGGCAGGATATCGTGAAGGATGGAACACCTGACATAGTGATCGAAGGCAATGGGCCTGAAAGTGAGTCAAAAGCGACAAAAGCGTTCACTTGAACATTAGTTACCTCTAATCACATATTCCAGAAACTGTAAGCACAAGACTTGAACAGCAGGAGTTGGCAGACCCACAGATAAAGTGCTTTTTGGTTCAAACTCATCATGCTGCTGCAGGTGAACAGGAGGAGGAGACACTGATGAAATAAAAAGATGGAAATGTGCACAAAGAGACAGTAGCACTCCAGCTTTGAGTAATCTACGGCTCATATTAGTTAGAGCTTCTTTTTATTTTCTGACAGAGACAATTCATTGAACTTGTTTATTAAAGTTGCCATAACTCTTCCAGCGTGTGAGCTCCATAGTTCGATTGTTCATTTCACACTTTGGTTATTGTCTACCTTCACTTGAAAGCCTTGCTTTACTTAAGATGTCTATACATTCCAGAGACTTGCCACGAAGCATGTGGAGACCTGCCATGTTGGGGACCAGGAAATGACACATGCCAGATCTGTAAGTTACATGGAAATGACTTCACTTTACAAGCAGTGGCACAGTTTTTGTAATGCAGTGGCTGCCCCGGAGTGCCTTACAAATTGTCGAGACTTGAGTGATGGGTGATGCAAGATTTACATCATCACTGAATTTTTTATTTTGACTTTAGTAGATGGAAAGTTTCAGTTAAAAAAATCACAGTATTTGTGTGTTACATTTTTACATCCGTGTGGATAAACATACTCTCGACTCTTTCAGTGACAAAGACCGTGTGCGCCCCTCAGTGTAGCAGCCGGTGCTTTGGTAGAAACCCGAATGAGTGTTGCCACAGTGAGTGTGCGGGAGGCTGCACAGGACCCCTTGATACTGATTGCTTTGTGAGTATGAACCTTGTACGACTTTGAAAATACTAAGGATAGCAACAATGCTGACAGGCGTCTCTCAAAAGGTACAAGAAGTTACGAACTTTACTGACAGGATGCAGTCCTGCTGGCTGAAAACGGCAGGGTTTTCCTTTGAATAGGTTGCAAACCTGCTCAAAATTAGCTAAATAACAGATGCCCAATGAGGGCAAATCACTTATAAGGACCGTTGGAAATTAATTTAATAATCATTTAATAATACTCACAATAATTTTGACCAATCAAATAATCTTACTTTTTATTATTTAGATTTTAGAAAGGAAGAAAATGAAAATATTGTACTGTGTTAATAAGTGTCACATTTTACAGGCTTGCAAGAACTTCAACAACTCAGGCTCATGTGTGCCTCAGTGTCCCCAAACTCTAATCTATAACAAGCATGCCTTCAAAATGGAGCCCAATCCCAATGCCAAGTACCAGTATGGCTCCATTTGTGTGGCCCAGTGCCCCAGTGAGTTCAGAACCTCATAACCTTACAGTAACCTTACTGAAGTTTCTACTTTAGCTTTTTTATGAAGCTGCTGAAAATGTTTACTCTGGGTTACATGTAATCTCTTGCATATTACATTTCTTTAACAATATTAGTTTTTTTAACAGAAAAATGTGTTTTTTTTAACAGCAAAATTTTTGGTGGACGACAGCTCATGTGTAAGCAACTGTCCGCCGCACAAAATGGAAGTGGAAAGAAACGGGGTAAAGCGTTGTGAGCCCTGTGGAGGCCTCTGCCCAAAAGGTATCCGGTACAAAGAAGGAAGCTTCACAGATCATACATATCACTCTGAACCAATTCAACTAACTTGTCAGTAATAGAAGTCTGCAAAAACATGACCTAATACGAAGCAGGCTGTAGTATGTAGCAGGTTGAGTAGGTTACACATTAGCTGCTTTATGCATTGTTGACTGGTTTGTTAAAATTGTTTGTAAAATCTTGACCACAAAATGAATATTTTCACTGCTTAATATATTTATTTGACATATTTCCTCTTCTTCATCCTCCTTTTAGCATGTCGCGGTACAGGAAGTCAGAACAGACAAACTGTTGATTCCAGCAACATAGACAGTTTTGTAAACTGCACCAAGATCCAGGGAAGTCTGCATTTCCTGGTAACAGGAATAACAGGGTAAATTTAACTCTTCCTGGTTAGTTAATAGAATTTTTTAATAAGGTACATGGCAGATTTATCAAGTGGGTCATAATGTATTTTTGTCTGTGCTTCATGGATGTTATTTGTTTGCTCAAAGTGATGATTACAACAACATACCAGCCCTCGATCCAGAGAAACTCAAAATCTTCAACACTGTGCGGGAGATCACAGGTGAGCACGGGCAAAAGATTGTGTTTGTTGTTAAGCCTGTAAAGCCTGACCCAGGACAAAATGGAACAAAAGACTGATAACTTTTTATCACATCGTTGTTTTTTAGCTTGATTACAGTCCTTGACACACAGTGTTTCCATTTGCAGACATTCTCAGTATCCAGTCATGGCCTGAAAGCTTGTCGGACCTGTCTGTCTTTTCCAACCTCCAAACGATTCAGGGCAGAACACTTTACAAGTACGTAGTTTGTTTTTGTTTGTTTGGTTGTCCACTCTTTGCATTTGTATTGTTTCAGTTTCTCTAGCTAACAAAAGAGATGTTTTACTGTAAGCTAAACCACAGCAATCCTCACTGACATGAACCTTTTTCATTAATATCTAATGTTTTATGTGATATTTTTACCCTGTTTAGGGGAGTGAGCTCGAAAAGGTACAGTCAAAACTTTACATGCTTCTTTTTTTGACGTCTCGGTGATTTTTTCATGTCACTTTTGGGTTCTGGGCTTCAATTCTATGATTGTGTTATTAAGCAGGTGGAGGACACATCTCTTTCACATGCTAACAGTCATCAATACATTTTTGCATGTTCTTTTCCATGTTTTTCTTTTGGTATTTGGGTATAAGGAAATCTTGAATCCCTGGGAGCTTTGCTATGTTTGATCCTTGCTTTTATGGTTTTTATCACTAAATTCAGACAGTTTCATTGATAGATTAATGGTTGAATTTGCTGTATAAAGTTGTCATATGAGGGTTACTTTTAAGGTTCAGCTATGAACAGTTTGAAATGTAAAACCATGGTTTCCGCGGATGAAATAGACAACTAAATCAAAACCTGCACAACAGAAATGATTGCAACAGCTACTTTCCCTTTGGTCTTTAAAAAGAGAAAATCAGAAAAGCAAACACATTTTTATTCCTGTTTTAAATGCATGTTTTCTAATCAACTTGCCAACCTTAAATATGCTTGATAAATTGTTCCCAGTCTTCCAAACAAAAAGCCCATCTTTTTCCTGTCTTGCTCATCTGTGGTTTCAGAGGTTACTCGCTGTTAGTGATGAGGATCCAATCTCTCACCTCCCTCGGCCTGCGCTCCCTTCGGAAAATCAATGACGGCAACGTCTACATCACAGGAAACAACAAACTCTGCTACTATTCTTCAGTGAACTGGACTCGCATCGTGAACAGCAACTCCCGTCAACAGAGGCGCCCGAACATTGATATGAAGAACAACCGACCCACAGATGAGTGCAGTGAGTATCGTTTGTCCAAATTTAACCTCATCAGTCTTAATTATACAACGTCCCAATATTTTCTTTATCGTTTGTTTTGCATTCAGTCAAAGAGGGCCATGTGTGTGACCCCCTGTGCTCCTCTGATGGCTGCTGGGGTCCTGGACCAGATCAGTGTGTTTCCTGTAAGAAGTTCAGCAGGGGAGGGACATGTGTGCCAGACTGCATGTTCTTTACTGGGTCAGTGCTGGCAAAATGGCTTCTATTATCAAGAATGATAATAAAAGAAAAAACTACGTGGCTAAGTTATCAGTTGAAAGAAGGTGACGATTTGCTTTGAATGTAGGGAGAGGAGGGAGTTTGCTACTCAATCAGGGGAGTGCATGCCCTGTCATGCTGAGTGCAAGGTCCAGGAGGGCAAACAGACCTGCAGGGGCCCGGTAAGATATTCTCTCTTGGTTAATTACTTCAGAATACCGTTGAACCCAATAAGACCTATAACACTCATATGACAGTAAAGCCATTTAAGGCAACTTTGGACATAGGCCCAACACTGCCCTCTAGTGACGTCCCAATAGACATGATTACCTGCAATATCACTGTGTTTTTGAAGAGTTTCATTCCCTATGTGTGATTTTCTTTTATTTGACAAACTAAACTTTCCTATATTTTTTTCCCTCTAGGGAGCAGATCAGTGTGTAGCATGTAAAAGCCTGAAGGACGGTCCCCATTGTGTTTCCTCATGCCCTGAGGGTGTGATGGGTGGAGAAGGTGTCATCTTTAAATATCCCAACAAGCAAGGCCACTGTGAGCCATGCCACATCAACTGCACCCAAGGGTAAGGAATAAGCCGAAATCTGGGGTAATTAGATAGGCCACGTGCTTAAAATGACACCTCCGTGTGTTCTGATGCTCAGGTGCAGTGGCCCTAGGATTGGAGACTGTGAGGGAATGCCTTCCCCATACCTTTCAGGGTAAACCATCCTCTGACTCAGACAGGTTTGATGTTCAATCTGGAGTTTATCAAGCGCTGAAACTGTCTTTGCTTCTCTGTCATCAGACAAGCGACAACAGCCATTGTACTGGGAGTGATTGCCATCCTCTTTGCCTCATTCTCCATTTTTGTTCTGACTGTCCTGTACCGCCGAGGTCTCGCCATCCGACGTAAGCGAGCTATGAGGAGATACATGGAGAGTGGAGAAGTAAGTGGGGTTTTCCATCTAGTGTTTTGTTGTACTGCAGTGTTATTTAGATCTGTGTTAAACTATATGATTTGGCCCTGCAGAATTTTGAAACTCTAGAAGATAAAGAGAAGGTCAACGCTCGGATCCTGAAGCCCACAGATATACGTAAAATCAAGCTGTTGGGTAACGGAGTCTTTGGATCTGTCCATCAGGTGCTTGTTTTTGTCCCTGTTTTCTGTATGATGCCCATTTTATGTAAAAATTCTGGAGCTGTCTCTAATCCCCTGTACTCTGCAGGGCATATGGATTCCTGAGGGTGACACAGTTAAGCTGCCTGTTGCCATAAAGACGATACATGATCGCACTGGCCGACAAAGCTTCTGTCAGCTAACAGATGTAAGAAAATGTGGTTGTATTTTTGCTTGTATGTTCACCTGTTTTTGTGGAATAAAAACTCCGATAATAGTGACGGTGAATGAAATCTAATTATTTGAACTGTCGCTGCAGCACATGACGGCAATGGGAAGCCTGAATCACATCAATGTCGTCAGGACGCTGGGTATCTGCCCCGGTGACAGTCTGCAGCTTGTTACACGGCTCAGCAATCAGGGCTCCCTGCTGGACCACGTCAGCCACAACAAGAACAAGCTCAGCCCTCAGAGGCTGCTCAACTGGTGTGTCCAAATTGCAAAGGTAAAGAACCAACATGTGTTCATATGTTTTTGCTTGCGTGGACAAATTTGAACTCACACGTGTACATGTTAGGTGTATTCCATTGAGCACATTGTTAAACTCTTCCATCAGGGTATGAATTATCTGGAAGAAAACAAGATAGTCCACAGAAACCTGGCAGCCAGAAATGTGCTCCTGAACAATAACTACACAGCCCAGGTATCAGACTACGGCATTGCGGACCTACTCTATCCTGATGACAAGAAGTACTTCTACAATGAAGTCAAGGTTAGTTGTTTCACAACCATTCAATAAAATTGTTAGAGTTTTCTCAAAAATGTAGACGTTTTTCTCTGATTATTTTTGTTAGACACCAATCAGGTGGATGGCCTTGGAGAGCATCCTGTTCCGACGATACACGCATCAGAGTGATGTGTGGAGTTATGGTGAGCTTTAAAGTACCAAGTGCAAGTGCCCTACTGATTAACACTGATGGTGTTTTCAAACTGAAGTTAGATGCTTACCTCTTTGCCTTCCTTGCGCTCTTATTGCCCCCCTTTCATTTCAGGTGTGACAATATGGGAGATGATGTCTTATGGGGCAGAACCATACTCAACGATGAGTCCACAGAAGGTTCCCGATCTGCTGGAAAAGGGCGAGCGTCTATCCCAGCCTCATATTTGCACTATCGATGTCTACATGGTCATGGTCAAGTGTGAGTAACTATGTTTTTAACTGGTGTCAGAGGTCATCAGTTTTAAAAGAGTTTCAATTTTTCAAAAAATATTAACAAACTGTGTTTTCATGCTCATCCAGGCTGGATGATTGATGAGAACGTCCGTCCAACATTTAAGGAGCTAGCCAGTGAATTTACCAAAATGGCCAGAGACCCGCCTCGTTACCTAGTGATCAAAGTAAGCCACTCCCTGCTCTATCTGTATCAAATTTCAGTTTGTTTCTGCCAGAGAGTGGAAATGCTTAGGTAAATACTGATCTGCATTTGCCCCCGTCTGTCAGGAGGACTGCAGCCAACAGGACTTGGCCCCGGACGAAGCTGCCCAGCGAAGTGCAGACCTGGATGATCTGGATGATCTAGATATCGATCTGGAGGACCTGGGAGCAGAGGATGCTGTGGATGGCATGCCTCTAGCCTCTACCTATGTGTCCAGGAGTCTGAGCCGTAGCTCAAGGATGGAGAGTCACAGAGTAGGGGCAAAGTTTTCTGTCAGTCTTATTGCCTATGTCCAGGAATATCCTTTCTGGTCCTCTGTATTTACAGCTTTTTTTTTGTGATGAAGGTGGTTCTCAAACCATCCAGTGGTGCTGGGTACTTGCCTATGACCCCAGGTTTTGACAGTATTGGGCAGGTAGCTAAAACAAGTTTTTATGCCACAACAGTAAGCAAAATACTAACAGTAAACACTATACTAACAATGCTATCCTTTTTCTTTGGAAGCCTCCGTGGCAATCACGTTCTCGGCTAAACTCGGCTCGCACTCAGTCTGAGAGCTCAGAGGGCTGCGGCCCAGCAGTGGAGCTGGAGATGTGTGAGGACTTCCCTCTGACAGGAAGCCTGAAAAGAAGACGTCACAGGGAGGACAGTGCTTATGTGTCACAGAGGGACAGCATGTCAGGGGGACCTCCAGACACTCCTTCCCCTGAGATGGAGGAAGAGGACCAGAACGGATATGTGCTTCCAGGTGATAGCCTAGAACGAGGTACGCTGATTAAAAACCTTTTGTGTAAAGTAATCACGTTACTTATAAAAATGATATTTTGGTGAAAACTAAAGAAAGCAAAAAATTCCAAAAAATCTAATTTTCTTAAGTAGTCAAAAACTTAACATTTTTATATGGTTTCAATACACAGTCACTGTTTAAAGCTAATTTGGAGGTTAGGGCTGGAGGCATGAAGACATTAAGCTGATATTCCCTCTTTGGTACTGTTCGTTATTTTCCACAAACTTGCCATTTTTCAGTGTGTTATCCCTTGTGTAATTTGGTTTATTTACAATGAAAAAACACTCTTAAGCTTTGTCCAAAACTAACTTTAACTATTTATATTTTGTTTAAGATCATCTGGATTTCTCTTCTCGGGCCAGAATTGGAAAGTCTCATTCATCGGCTGTCTTGAATGACCTAGATGATGTAGAATACGAGTACATGAACAAGCAGACATGTGAAACACCAGTTTCACCGAGGCACAATGGCCAGAGGCCAAAGTCAAACAAGAAACGGTCATCTTCTGTGTCATCACAAGCCACAGCATGCTCCTCACTGTCCGCAGAGTGCAGAGGGCACAACAGAAGCAAGGACTGTTCTGAGTCAGAGCTGCAGGTATCCAGTGAAGTCAAATATGAATACATGGATATCAGGGGCAATGGGAATGAGGAAAATCCTGCCATGCATGACCTAACTCAAGCAGCATTAAAGATGATAGGAAAGGTTGAGGAAGCGGAGGATTATTATGTGGAAGATGGCAACTATCATTACACAAACAGTCAGCCAAAGCTGCGACAAGCTCTTCAAAACAAGAAGGAGGCCAAAATCCAGGGGAGAGATGATGGTGAGGCATATGAATACGAGGACATGGACTGCTTTGCTGCCCCACCACCTGCAGACGCAGGCGTGTACCAAAACATGCAGAGAGAGAGGGAGGGAGCAGCTTGTGCAACAGGAGCATGCCCATCGGGGTTCAACCCACAAATGAGCGTTCGAGCTGGAGCAGGGCAACCTGCTGCTGGTGACAGATCTTTTGACAATCCAGGCTACTGGAGCAGCAGGCTGTTCTTAAAGCCCAATGCAGTGCCCACATGAAGAACATTTTCAATCTTATCTCAGGGACGCAGTCATGAAGGACCTAATATATGAAATACAATTGAGAGCCAAGTGATGTAGCCTATTACTTTTTTTCCTAATTCTTTTATAAACTGTACATACCTTTACTATTTTGTAAAGAAGCCCATTCTTGACAGTGTAATGAGGAAAAATCCTGGAAACGTTTAAAAAAAATAGCAATAGAAATATTTTCAGAATAATGACTTTAATACCACTTTCTATCATTGTTTCTTGAAGAGAATAAATTATTTTTGGTCTTCTCAACCTTTGCCATGTGTTAAAGACGATATATGACACCCTCATGAAGCTTGTAAATGCTTTACCAGTTTCTCAGAGGAGCATAAAACATAAAGAGATTGGTATTGTGCTCAGCTTAGTCGTAGGCCTAAGTCAGTATGTGGAAGAAGATGTTTTAAAACATTTTGAGCAGCTAATTATCTTGAGAAAGACTGGACTGACAACACCTACTGGATCTGTTTTTCATATTACATTTGGAAGAAATGGGCTTCCATAAAAATGTAAAGGTTGATGTTAAGCCTTGAATTTAGGCAAATGATTTGGGGCATTTCAGGAAGTAATTGCACTGAATGTTAAGAACACTAACAGAAAAGAACAGAATACAAGCTATATTTTTCCTGTTTACATATTGATAAGATTGAATATTTTTCAGAACAAATTAATTTTCTGGGGATTTGTAAATATGTTTTGATACATCTTTAAATGGTATAAAAGAAATGTACTACTAAATAAAAATGTTTTTAATGTTTGGAATGTTATGTAAATTCTATTTTAAAGGGACATTGTGTACTATCTTAAGTATTTCATTAGCTAAAATCATTTTCTTCATTTCTAAATGTCTCTTCATTACCTCTGCAATAATCTGACTGTGTAAAAGAACGTTAAAAAAATTCACTTGTGGAAAGTCACCAGAGAGAAGTGACGATTGAATTGAATATATATTGATTTCCCCCACAGGAACAATGCTTTATTTCAGTTTAATAACAGATTAAGTAGGTAACTCGTGTTTTACTGTCAAGACTCATTCTGAGTATAATTGAATTAATTTCTCAAACTGAGGGGATTGAATGTTGACTCTGATGTGCTTGAGTGTTAGTGTGTGGCCTCATGAAGGACTGACCCTTTCATGAAACCAGTAGTTGATAAGAAGCTATTTATCATTTAGGGTTTCCTTTTATCTCTCTCAATGTAAAGCTTTAAAGATTTAAGCAGAAATGAACGATAATTCTCCTGTTTTCTTCAGGAAAACAATTTCGTAACTTTGGTTTTACGTTTTAATTGACATGGATAGTTCCATACATCAACATAACAAATGTGCCTCTGATCCAAAAACTTGCCCAAATGATTCAGAATAACTGCCATTTATATATGTTTATGTATTTAGCATACCCTTATCCAAAGGGGGCACCAAAAGTTGATCTCTGCAGTCACATGTTCTACCACTGAGCTATACCCCCCAACTTCTACTCAACAGTCAGGTGTAATTTCATGTGTATGTAGCGTACTATACCATGCATTACAAAAAGTAAAGGGAAATTTGCGGTAATGAGAAGCAGACCAAACCGACGGGAGGACAAAAGGAGCGTGGCAAACGTAAAAGCTGCTGTGTCCACGTTTTGGCGGGCCACGCTCGACGTGACGTGGGGCTGCGTCACGGCGGTGTGGGAGGGCCGGGGCACAGGCCCGTGCAGCAGCAGCGACGGTGGGAGCGGAGCCGAGTTGAGGGGTATCGTCGCTGCGTTGTGCCGGGCCCGGGAGCGACCGAAACTTCACTGCCAAGATGTCCGACGAAGAGCAAGAGCAGACTATAGCCGAGGACCTGGTGGTCACCAAATACAAGATGGGGGGTGACATCGCTAACCGTAAGCTGCTGGAAATTCATTTCAGTCTGTGACTGGACAGGACGACCTTTTTTGGCCTGTCGTGCAGTCGGCAAACGTCGGTCCCCCCGGCCACAGCAGCCGCAGCCATGTGGTGTAACACACATGCTGTCTTATCGGGCTAACAGGTGCAGCTTCGGGGGATTAGCTCGCTGTTTTTGCTAATGCTAGCGCCCCCCCGCACACAGGGTTTGCTACGGCTTTGTTGGTGGGAGCTGTTCAGCCCACAGGGGGATGCTAACTGAGCAGCTAGCACAGCCGGCTCATCTTATTGTCATCTTAAATTGAGCAAAAGCTAAGGAGCTGAACCAAAAGAAAAAAAAGCTTCAGACACAAGGCCGGAATGAGCACTCTTATTTTATGGGTGGCTGTGTTTATGCAGCTTGCATGGTCGTTGTTCATGACTTTTGCCCATTTACCAACCCAGCAGTTCGCTATTTTCAACTACAACTTTTATTCCCTCCAGCGTGTCCTCAACTTAATATAAATTAACTATTTACACTGAAACAGCTCTTAAAAGGTGCTGATCTTTGGAAATAGGAGGGTCGTTATGAACGGAATTATTAATATCATGAGATATGTCAACTTACAGGGTCATTTTAAAATGAGGAAAAGTAGTTGCGAAACTTTATGGATTAAAGTGGAGACTTTCTAGTTATTTATTATATTAAACAAAATACTGGACTTTTTTATGCTGATTTGTGAAAGCCATTATAGTTTAAATGTGGCAGCACATTAAATGAATGAATAAATAATCTATCTCTGTGGATAGTTATTAGCATTTGGTTAACTTAGGTAATTTACTAACATATGATCAAATATTTTTTTAAAGCTATGGACACAGATACTGATGAGACGAACAGAAAAGACGCTTAGGGACAATAGTCTACTGGTAGCATCCCTTTGGGTAATTGCTTTGACAGAGCGATCAAAGAGATCATGAGGCAGGGCTGTTTGTATCACAGACTCCCATTTTACCAAAACCAAGTCTTCCCTACTGCATGCCATTACGTTAAGTTTATTCATCTATTATAATACTTCATTTTGAGTCAGCATCTTGAGAAGATAGGAGCCTCTATTCAAGTTTTCCTTGTGATACATCGCCTGTATTTTAACCATGTACGATTTGTGTAATCCTAGAGGCTCTTCGTCTGGTTGTGGAGGCCGCAAAACCCGGGGTGTCTGTCCTCAGCCTGTGTGAGAAAGGTGACATGTACATCATGGCTGAGACTGGAAAGGTCTTCAAAAAGGAGAAGGAAATGAAGAAAGGTGAGGAAACGATTGTAATGTAATTTTCTAATCTCTGAGGGCACTCCCTATTTGGAGTACAAACTGTTTGGAGTCGATTTATTGCTAATCTTGGATTAGTTTGAACAACTATTGTAAAAGCGATAAAACATGGCAGAAGAGTATCGGGGGTTTTCCACTAGTACCTACTCAACGCTTTTTTTGTTGTTGTTGTTTTACCTAACAGCTACAGTTTTAGCACTGACTCGACCAGGGTTTTGAGCAGGCTGAGTCTGGCCGCTGATTGACCAGGGAGTTTCATGCTTTCATGACTTCCTTGAGTCGTGAGAAGTGACTGTCTCATGAGAACCCCATCTGTTTTTGAAAACGTGGTGACAAGAAACGTCCAGTTTCATTACTTCTGTGATCATAAATGTTGTACATGCCTAACACACAAATCAACGCCCCGGTCTGACACTTAGGTTCAGCTGGTATATCGTTCCAATGATGTTTGTCATTGCTGTCCTGAGTTTGTGTCGCATACAAATCATGGCATGGCTTTCTGTTATGACGTCATGTTTTAAAGAAAGACCACTTAGAACGAGTTGTTGCGAGGCAAGTACAGCCGAGCAGGTACTAATGGAAAACCAAAATGTGATTCTTCCCGCATCCTTCTTTGGTTTTCTTGCTAAATTTGTGGATGTTTTCCAGATGAAGACCTGCTGGTTCTCTTCTCCCCTTTCTAGGCATTGCCTTTCCTACCAGCGTCTCAGTCAATAACTGTGTTTGCCACTTCTCTCCTCTGAAGAGTGACCCCGACTACACACTAAAAGATGGGGATCTGGTCAAAATGTAGGCACCACGCTCTGCATTACTGTCAACCCGTCCTTCCCCCGTGTGTGTCCCAGTGTGTTGTCCTGCCTTCTTTCTATGTGATCGCCTGGCTTCTGTGTGAAGGGTTTCTCTTTGCAGTTGATTGTGTGCTTCATCAGTAAGTCTTGTATTCCCGTCTGTCTTATGTGGCAAACAACAAATAAGATTTATGGTGTTTTTATTTAATTTTTTAAAATTATGTGATGTTGGGTTTCAGCCGTGATGCCCTTCAATCTGCTAAACCCCTTATCACATATTTCTCCTGTTGTCTCTTGAACTATGTTAGTTGTAGTTGTTCTTAATTGTTGTATTGCCACTGATGTCTGTATTGTGTTTTGTGTGTATATGTTATTAGTGTTAGTTCAAATTAGTGTTCATGGTGATGCGGCCAAATAAGTTAAAAGGTGGTCTTTTATGTTTTATCACTTAACATGCTTCTGAACATTCTGGCTGGGCATGTCTGTTCCCCGTATTGCAGTCTATAGTGTCACTGCATTGGATTGATACAAACCCTTTTTCTCTATTCAAGCTGCCCATAAAAAACATTCTCCATCAAATACGTCTTTACTTTAATGGGTATGTGGGTATAGCTAGTCTGAGGAACATTCCTGTTAATCAGAGGGTGTTCTGCTTTTCTCTTCACAATCCTCCTGGCAGCTGGTTAGCAGTTAAACTTGTGTTGAAATTCTTTTTTTATTATTTTACCATTTTCTCCTGTCCTTTTACTTCTTATTTTGTGCAGAGATCTTGGAGTACATGTTGACGGCTTCATTGCCAACGTTGCCCACAGCTTTGTGGTCGGAGCCAATAAGGTGAGAGGTTTTTATTAAAGGGGAAATAAAGGTCTCACCTTTGTCACAGTCTTGCATCCTTATGGCCAAGTATGGAACAGCTTTGTTGTTCTGCAGGAGAACCCTGTCTCAGGCCGAAAAGCTGATGTTGTCAAAGCTGCCCATCTGTGTGCAGAAGCAGCTCTCCGCCTCGTGAAACCTGGCAACCAGGTAGATCACAATGAAGTTACAATTTTATTGGCCAAAATCATTTAGATTTGAACATTATTCTCAAGATTCATGTCTGTTACTTAGCCCTCTCTCACATTTAATTCTCTGTGAAAGACCTGTCTGCAGGTGTTTGATCCCCTGCATCCTTAGAAATATCACTGATTTAAAGATAGACACATAATGGGTCAATTTTTCGAGATAGAACCCATGCTTTAATGGTTAGCAGATATAATTGTATTTTCTACCCTCAGAACACTCAAGTGACAGAAGCCTGGAACAAGATTGCACAGTCGTTCAAATGCTCACCTATTGAAGGTGAGTGTCTGTTCCTATCTTTAGATTTCCTTATGCCATCAGAAGATGATGACACATTCACATGCACATTCATAAGCTTTTCTTTATGAAATAATTAATTCTGTCTGGCTCTCTTTCAAAGGTATGCTGTCTCATCAGTTGAAGCAGCACATCATAGATGGAGAGAAGACCATCATCCAGAACCCGACAGACCAGCAAAGGTAACGGAACCGTTTCCCCAGATGTACCCCACCAGCTGACTTTTTTAATTTACATTTTTATGAAATCTCAGTATGGGGTTTAGGTATGTGGTAATTACCGAGGGTCTTACAATAGTAAAACATACAGGTTTGTAACGGTTTCTAATACCACAAAATTAGGGATGAGTGGGTCTCATTCAAATTAATCCAATTTATACAATTCTGGACCACATCGGACACTTTTTTATATATATATGAATATGTATAATGGATGTGTATAGAATAATAAATTATTATTCAAAGATGGCATAGATGATTTCTTTTCTTCTTGCCTCCTCCAGAAAGGACCACGAGAAGGCAGAGTTTGAAGTGCATGAAGTCTATGCCGTGGATGTCCTAGTTAGCACCGGGGAGGGAAAGGTTAGTGTTGCATATGATGGTTCTTCCTCTCAGTTCTCAACAAAGAAACCAACCTGCAAAATTGTCTTTTTTTTATATATAAATCATTTAGGCAAGAGATTCAGGCCTAAGGACCACAATATATAAGAGGGACCCAACTAAACAATATGGTTTGAAGATGAAGACCTCTCGTACGTTCTTCAGCGAGGTGGAACGGCGCTTTGATGCCATGCCCTTCACCCTGAGGTTTGGACATGTGGCCTCACCATCCAGCTGATTAAAATTATAGGCTTATAGACTTTCATATGTATACCTAATATACCAACATCAATTTTCTCCATTAGGGCATTCGAGGATGAGGCCAAAGCCCGTCTAGGTGTGGTGGAGTGTGCCAAACACGAGTTGCTACAGCCCTTCAGTGTGCTTCATGAAAAAGAGGGTGAGATTGGCTCCTTTGTTAAACCACTTTCTTTTCCTTTTGCAATTTAGTGTTCTTATCTAAACCCTCTACTCTGTCTGTTATATTCCCCCAGGTGAGTTAGTAGCTCAGTTTAAGTTCACAGTGCTGCTGATGGCCAACGGACCTCACAGAATCACCAACGGACCTTTTGATCCAGACCTCTACAAGTCAGAGCACGAGGTTCAGGATCCAGAGCTTAGGGTGAGAGTATGAATAGGACACTGAGTTGGAGCTTCTCACTCACAAAGATTAAATATTGGCTTCATAATTACTTGTTCTCTCTACTATAGACTTTACTACAGAGCTCAGCAAGCCGTAAAACACAGAAGAAGAAGAAAAAGAAGGTAATATTTCATTAATAGTGTTAACCATTATTAGAAAAATAAGTGATCATGCTTGACTTGTCTGTAGTCTTTATAATGAAATAATTTGTACTGGTTTCTGATAGTAAAAGTATTACTTTTATTGTGTTATTTATTATAAAAGTTTGAGTTTTATTGTAGGCCTGACTCTGCATTGCCTTTGTAAACCATTTTCTTTCAGCCACATCAAACGCATAGCTGTGCCCTTTAAGCATTGTTCACCTGTTTTGTCTGTACAATCTCACATCCCTCAGGCCTCAAAGACTGCAGAGAATGCAACTGGGCAGCCAACTGAGGACACAGAAGCCGCTGAATAAAAACTGCCTTTCCACAAATGCAAGACCCTAAAGAGAAAAAAGAGAACATGTGACATGCTTCCCTAAGCTCTCTGCCTATTCAATGGTTACAGTTGATTCGACAGAGGTATTAGAAATTAATAAAATTCCCATATGTATCACTACACAATACGACAATCCGATACGGATGCTTAACCCTTTACTGCATTAATGGAAAAGACCTGTGGAAGTTTCTTTCATTGTTTCCTTAATTGGACTAACAAATAAATTAAATGGAATGAGGTGGGAACTTTGTAATAACTCCATTGGTCCTTTCAACTATTTGCCTATTTTGCTGCTGTTTTTTTCTTATAAATTCTTATCTGAAATTGTAGATTACAGCTGGCATTGATGGCAATAAATTGGCCTAAATGTCATTTAAACCCTGTGATAAGATTGTGTCTATTTGAGGGCGTTGTGGATTCTTCTTTTATTTTAATGTTATGGATTAAGGTGCATTGTTCCCTTTTTGACAGAACAACCTGTACAAGCCATTCACACTTGTTGCATTGTCATCCCTTTGGTTTGTCTTGTTAATCAGATTTTTTTTTTTTTTTAATCTTGCCTTGAATTATTAAACTGAAGTGTTCATTTTTAACTAATCAAGTTGTTCCCCTACCATGCAGTAAAGGGTAGCAACATCAGAGTACCTTGACAGTTTTAAGAAATATGGATATAATTTTTTTTCCTCTACAGGGTAAATTACACTAAACTACACTACTGAACATTTTTGAACCACTCTAGATTTTGATGCAATAATGGAAGAGAATACATTTTTAAAAAGTCTTTGAGCAAGAAGTCAAACGTGCCATCAGCTTGACTTGAGGGAACAAACTGCCACCTTTACTGCCATTCCCCTTTATGATAAAGATGCAAATCTATATTGTATGTTTGGCTGTGAGAGGGAAACAACACTTTTTTTTATCAGTGACACCTGTGACTTGATTTACTACATCTTTATTCTTGTGAAGCATGAAAACTTAAACTTTTTTGTTTTTTGGAACATCTCATTTTTTTGGGAGGTTTTCGGATCAGTTGGACCAGTACAGTAATTTCATGTACGTTATTATTGGGTCACATTTGTCCACAGCTGAGCATGTTGGAAAAGGCTGAATCCTGCGTTTTAGCTCAGCCACTGGGCTCTGGAACTTTACATCAGCTAAATAAAAAAAGGTTTTCTTACTCGTGTTTGTGTCTTTGTGGATTACTTTTTTTAACTGCGTTTTTATCAACCACTGACTACATTTGTGGCATGATCTTTTTAATAAGAGCACTCAACTTCTGACTCCGAGAAAGACAGCACTTTGAATCTAAAGACTTTAGATCACTTTCTGAATCAGTACGATAAACTTTGGCGTTTTAAAGTCTTGCACACCACAACATTTAAATATTGTTGCTGGATCTCAAATGATCTACTAGAAAGGATTTCAGTAACTATTAAGTTAAAGTAATGAGTGCCATAGTGATGTCAAAACTAACGGTTCCATGAAAAGTCTGTCAAACCAATTAATAGTCAAAAGACAAACTGAATGAGTAAACTTCACAGGCAAACGCACTGGTCATCGAACTCGTCCATTATGACTACATTTCCCAAGCCTTAACAGAGTGACAGCTGGCGCTCGATCATGACGTCATACTTTTTTATAAATACGTCGCTCGTTCGTCGTCACATCCTCTTTCCGTTGCTCTTCTCGCTTTGAGGTACGGTGTTGAAACTTGCAGCTAATATAATCCAAAGCAATCGTTGATTATCTGAATTAATCTACCGTTACTGAACATTTGCTTATTTCATTTTCACAGAAACCTCCCCACACGATGAGAGCGAAGGTAAGATTATGACGCAGAATCTTTATTTGCGATGTTTGTGTGGCTGTTAGCTACCAGCCAGCGCCTCCCGCGCCGCATTATGACGTCTGCTGGCCTAAAAACATTTATTCTTAAAACGATTCCCTTTGCTTTTATAGGTTTATACATTTAAGATTAAATGACTACTCTAATGCTCGGATACAGATATAGTGATATAAGAAGGCCCGGTCTTGCACGTTTCATCAATGGCACTAGAACATTTCCCGAAGCTGCCAGGATTTGCCATTTATTTATTTTTAAACAGCAGGCTTTATTGCAATAAATGGGTGAGCATGGTTCTTGATTAGGCAGTTTCCAACTCGCTCATTCGAATCAGGTGTGCTGGAGTAGGAACACATTGCAAACGTGCAGGGCAGCGTGCCATGAGGACCACGGGTGGGAAGCAGTAGTAAACGCCCTCGGTTTTCACCTGTTATGATTTATATTCTGGCAAATATGGATTTGCTAACTGTCACGCTGTCTTGAGGGTTCTGTTTATTAATCGGTGTCACCTTTTTTTATTTTCAGTGGAGGAAGAAGCGTATGCGCAGGTAAGGGCCAAAACTCTACTCACTCTCTGAAAGCATGTTTGTTCTGAGAGGGTATTCTATTGTATATTTAGGAAGTCTGTAACTTACCATGAAGCATGGACTTGGAAAACAAACTGGTTTAGAGTAGGAATTGTACCTTTTTTTTCTTTTCTTTTTTTTTTTACTAGGTAGCTACTTTTTGATTCGAAAACTAAGTGCACATAGTTTGCCGAAGATAATAAATTGTTCCTGCTTAATTATAGATCCAGTTATTTTAAACGGTGAAACAATTACTGAACATGCACATGCTCCTGCCATCATAAATGTTAATTCTTTATTTTATTAAAACTGTCACTTGCGTGGAGGGGCTACTGTACACATTCAGCTATGGTTTTAGCATTTCTCACTAGAAACCAGCCCTGTTATGGACTAATGAATCCATGATCTAGCTATGTATTTGGGGCTTATAAAAATCCACTAATTGCAATGTACAATTAACTTAATTCTTCCTGCAGGCTGAAGCGTAAAAGGAGAAAGATGAGGCAGAGGTCAAAGTAAGCCCTCATCCCTGCTAGCTGTGATCCTGTCGGAGCCTCTCCAGATTGACACATGAAGCTGAGATGGACCTCATTGAGCTTCCATCGGTGAAATGAGCCCACATCCTGACTTCAGATCATCATGGCAACCTCAACTCCAGCTGTGGATGTCTGACTGGAAGATGGCAAAGACACTGGAATGCCATCAGAAGTGCAGCTGCTTTGTTCATGGACCATAAAACATCTTGTTTTAGCTACAACTGTCATGTGGTGTATTGAACAATAAATGAAAAATGTTAAATTTCTACATGATTCAGGCTTTTCTTTGACTACTTAATTGGGACTGGATTGATTTTAAAATCCAGTTCAGTATTATATATTTTGGAGTTTAGTTAAATGGTAATTTACAAAGCAGCTATGAGAACTCTTCCAATTACATAAATGGGAAGTTTTAGTGCCTTGTGTAACATGGCATATTTAATTTTTAGTGGACCATCTACTGAACTTAACCAGCTGTATTCTGCATACATAAACTAATAATTCATGAGTTTGTTTTGCCCTAGCTTGTGATTAGATGGCAGAGCAAATGTCTTTAGTGTCAGTGAACACGTCTAATCATAGTTTAACTGGTGCAGCATGATGGGTTTTGGAAATATTTCTCATTTTAGCCATGATACTATAAGTAAAGATATAAAGACATTTCTTATTTGACTGGTACTCTTGTCTTATGCATCATAGGTAGTAATGTCCCTTTGAAGCATTTAAACTTCACAGACATCCCATTACATGGCAGTTCTTGTGTTAAATTAGACCAAAAACAAAGGATACAAGGTTCTTGTAACTTTAACAACAAAACATGTTTCTCATGGTTTGGGGGAGTTAAGAGTAGGTTTTACACACATTTCTTCAAGGTCACAGAGTGAAAAACAGACAGTGATGCTTTCAGGGAACCCCCGGAGTTCAGCATGATGGGTTGATCTGCCAGTTTTCAGGATACTGCAACAGTCAAAATATCACACTTAGCTAAGACTGTTATCTTATTTGCCTCACAGTGTGATAGCATTTTATGCGAGAGGACTAAAGTTAAACGCTTCTGAAAGGTTGAGCATGTCAAAACTATTTGTTTAGCTGATCATGCCACTGAATAATTTCGGATCTTGTCATTAATGACGCTGATACGGCGCCAGGTGCCGCTCTGGCCCCGCGTTGCTGCTGCACATTTGACACACCGTAGAAGAAGAGTTAGCATTGTAAACACAAAGATATGGCTGACGAGAGGGGTGGAGGTGAGGAAAACGTTAACGGCAACATGGGGAACCAGCTGCAGCTTCTACCAGGTGACGGTCAAACAAATGCAGTGCCTGGTGTTTGAACGGGAGGGCGAGCACCCGTCCATCCTGCTAACAGCTAACCAGCACTTCTTTAACAGGCCACTGTCTTAGATCATATCCTGACTGGTGCATTTCAACAATTCCTGTGCTTTTGCTTTCTTTTTCATCCTTGGAATTTGTTCTGACGTTTTATTATGATAATGTTTCAACTATGATCTAGTTAGGAAACAGGAAACGGAGCTAAATGGCCTCATAGTGTCTTTTTTTAAACTTGCTGTTCCATCACAGATAATGAAAACGAGGGTGAGGAGGAGGAAGATGACATGGACACTGAAGATCGAGAAAGTGATGAGGCGGAGAAGCCCAACATCATCACCTTTGACCCCAGTCTTCCCACATCTCATTCTGTACGCAGTCCTTCACGTTCCACGTTATCGTACACACCTCTTTGTATGCAGCTGGCTTCCATGTGTACCCTCCCACTGTGTTTTCATGTGTGATTTCAGTACCTGGGCTCAGACATGGAGGAGTTTCATGGGCGCACAGTACATGATGATGACAGCTGCCAGACCATCCCCGTGCTGCCACACACGGCTGTGATGCTGGTGCCGGGCCAGACGCTGCCCCTGCAGCTGTTCAGGCCGCAGGAGGTCAGCATGATGCGGAGCATCATACAGAAAGACCGCACCTTTGCTGTGCTTGCACACAGGTGTGTAGAGATGGACACGTCTCTCTATTCTCACAGGACGGGATTTGAAATAAAAAACATTCTTTAGATGTGTTCACATTCTACTCCATTTGCTGTAAAAAGTGATGTAAAGCACTTCTTCTGAGTTTTCACTTGCTAAAGTTGAATCTGAGATTAATTTGAGACCAAACTACCTCTTTTAAGTTAAGAGGAATTATATGTTACTCACGCTGATAGTATTTAGATGCTCTTGAGATGTATTAATACAAGTTTAAGAGATACTTTTAGGCCCTATGAGGGCCAAAACAACAACATGTGAAAGCGTTACTGGTTGAACTCTTCAAATCCACGGCTCATTTTCAGTTGAATTTCTTTCTTTTATTTATTTTTATATTTTATGGTTATTCATTTAAATAGTTTTTCTGTTTTTTTGCAGTGACGGAGGGGAGCCAGAGGCAGAGTTTGGAACAACCGCTGAAATCTATGCATATCGAGAGGAGCAGGAGTACGGCATTGAGACGGTCAAAGTGAAAGCTGTGGGGAGGCAGAGATTTAAGGTCCACGAGATAAGAACTCAGGCAGATGGGTGAGTTGTGATTGCCTCATAAACACAAAGTATGACACCAAAGGTCAGTAACTAAATGCTTGTCATCACTTCTCGGCCCAAGAGGCTGCCATGAGTTATAGAATTAACAATGTTTTTTTATACAGCCTGAAATACTAATTGAATTAATCTGAGAGCATTCATCTCAGGGGTAATAACACGCTAAACAGTTTAGAACCGTACTTTATTTCTTAGAAAGAAAGAAAAACCAGGTTAACACTGGCTCAGGTTTTATGTTGGCTGCCAGTCATGGGATTTGCGCTTCTATCCCCACCTGCTAAAACACACATGGAGAGACACAGAAACCTCTGTTACTTTGACCTGATGACATTAAAAACAGCTAGTGTTTGACCAGCCATCTTGTGACTCTTGGTAAAAAAATTATTCAAACAGCTCACAGCTAGAGGGCAGACTAACCATTTGTATTGTCGCATTAGTATTTTACGTCACATTATTACGCAGTGACCATCAATACGCCTACCAAATTTGATTTTAGTGCAGCTATCACTTAGAAGAAGGATATTTTGGTTTTCGTATTGTAAAAACTGATGTCTAAAAACACAAAACGGAAGGAGTTCTGCAGACGGTCGTTATGCTTCACTAACACGTTATTAAGCAGTGCACGCTGGCATGACACATTGTTGTAAATTTTCATCTCATAGGTCATTAACATGGTTGACTTGATGGTGATGTGTATGGTTAAATAGAAAAGAAAACCCAAAAAGGACATGAGCTGTGAAGTGAGTTTCCAGCACTGAAACTGCATCAGTTCAATAAAGCCTGCAAAAGGGAATTATTTTATTACCATAGATGTGCATCTACAGTACATGAAAAAACTATGGGATGTTTTTGCCCTTGTTTCATAAGGTATGTCTTATTGTATGTTATACTAAAAGGAAGAATTTACATTCTTTCCCTCAAAATTAAGAAAATACAAATTGTTGTTATCATCAATTATAATTCGGGATCATTATATTCAGTAATATACCTTTCAAAGCAAGAAAAGATAAAAAAATGCAATTCAGTCAGACCGGAAGTGTTGAAGAGGTACAGCAATATACATCCGATGTAGAGTTCTGAGTCTTAAGATGAGGGTTGTGGACACCTGACAAATTGGTTGCCACTAATCTCTTGTAAAGTAGATCTCAACCAGACTCTTCCTGATTAAATGAAGGGTGCTTTAAGGATAAACCAAATACGGTTTCATGGAGAAGGGCTGCTTACGTCACAGCTGCATTCATACTATGGATCATGTTTACTTACTTCCTCTCATTCTCAGGAAATCAGATGAGCGGTTCTGTTCTCTGCATTAGGATACAGTTCCATCTTTCTTTCTTTTTTCTTATGTAACACACAAATTGGTCATGATATCCTGTTGACCTCCTAATATGACTCTAACAAATGAAGAATTTCTATTAACAGAGAGATATGTATGTCTTTTACCTGTAAGTTGAATAATATACTATATTTTAGTGCACTTCCTGTGAGCCTGATGTAAAATGCCACAAAAAAAGTTTATCAAACGACTGCTGCACTTTTCACACACTTTGACTAAACAGTGCACATTGTGTTCAGGCACAATAGGACTATTTAGCTATTTTCAGTAACATGCCCACAGTCACACTTGAACATTGTTTTTTATTGCTCATGAACGGCTTCATTTGTATATTTGAGCTTTAGAAAAAGAAATCCACCAGTAACAGCCTTTCATCATCGTTCTTTCTCATTTAGTAACATCCTGTCATAGATTTTCCAACATTCAGTCGGCACGCCTCTTGTTAAATCTTGTTAAATCCATCATTCACCTTTTGTTCTTGTCAGCATCAGACAAGCCAAAGTGCAGATCCTTCCTGAGCGAATCCTGCCAGACCCCCTCTCTGCCGTGCAGCTGGCGCCCCTGTCGAGGCTCCATCTGTACCCCTCCTCCAAACCCCCCACCCAGAGCTGCAAACAGACTCAGTGCTGGTGGAATAACTACGGGCAGGTCAGACACTGTTGCATGTCAACATCATCTACATGTATCAGGAATATGCTCTCATCAAAAGTAAGTGTAATTCGCCCATGATGTCTCTGTCCTCCTTGGCAGAGGAAGTTTCACTGTGCCAGCCTGACGCCATGGCCACCGTGGGTGTACGCACTCTATGACTCTGTGAGTGCCACAGTCCATGTGCACATAGTTGAATTTCCTGCACATATAAACATCAGATACAAGTGAATGTAAACGAAGGTTCCCCTGCTTCCTGTGGTTCACCTCTCAGGAGTCGCTCATGAACAGAGTAAAGAAACAGCTCCATGAATGGGATGAGAACCTGAAGGATGATTCCCTTCCCACAAACGCCGTAGGTCAGCCTCAGTTTGGTTTATTATGGAGGGGTTGCAGACACATACGCACGGATGTTTGTCTTTAAATCGCGCTCTTTGCAGCTTTTTTTTTTTGTCATTTCATCCATCTTCCTTCCCATCTTTTTGGTTTGCTGTCAGACTTCTCTTACAGAGTGGCGGCGTGTCTGCCCATAGATGACGCTCTGAGGCTCCAGCTGTTGAAGATTGGCAGCGCCATTCAGAGACTTCGCTGCGAGCTGGACATCATGGACCGGGTATGTGAAGGTCACCACTAGCCTCTCCGCCGTGCCCTGCCCTACCGCTCTGCTCACGACGCAGCTGATGTTGGCTCCCTCATTTTGTGATGGGATCCAGCTCTCTTTTGTGCGATGCTCTGTGAAGAGTGTCTTATGTTCTTTGGTATATTTAACTAAGCCTGACACCAGTTGACAGATGTGTTGTTGCTGTAGTATTTCAGCTGGGAGTTGGGCTTCATGATGGAAATTAGTTAGTATAAGCAAAGACTGTTTGATTTTTATAGGTGGCGACTGTTCCTTTTAGCTTCAGATGTTTGTCCTGGACAGAGTGTGATCCCAGTGTTTGGACCCAGACGAGACAATGCAGACAGTGTTGAAGTTTTTTTTTTTCATTGCACCTTTCTTACCTCTCAGCTGACATCCATATTTTAATATAAACAGAAGCAGTCTGGGCTCTGTCTTTCTGGTATAACTCTTGTGTTTGTATGGGCAATCAGAGCCTTTTTCTTCATTTTAAGTCCTTCCTGTGGCTCCCCTCCTTGGAAAAGAAAGGTCTGCTGGTTAGTGGGTCTACCACTTTTACACAAACATTAATGTTCCCAAGAGGATGATTTATCGGAATTTTCCGATCATCCGAATTTTTTAGTAGCACAATTACCAGGTTAAAATTCCACTGAAAGGATTCCTTAGCCACTTTAATACCTCAGTTATACAGATGGATAACAAATTAAAGAGAAATGCATAACTTTAATCCGACAGCCAGTTTCTGGTTGCTTGGTTATGTTGCGAGGAACATTGTGTTGGCACAGCCTGGGCCCCCATTAGGGGGAAAGGTTACTGCATATTAACACAAATTTGCCCTGATTTAATACTTTTATCCCTGGATAAAGCCTTTTTATCCTGATCGAGATGTCTTTTCTAGGAAGACAAAACTTCGATTTGTAAGAATGAGGGAGAGGGCGGGCACTATGAGGAGACTTTTAGACTTTAGCAGATATTAATCCCAAACCATAGCCTCAGCAGTCACCATGGAGATGGGAGATTCCAGATTAATTTGATGCCACCATGATTAAAACATCCAGTTAGCTACTTTATTTTGGATGCGTCCAGCAGACAACTTAACTCAGATCACATACTGTCTAAGTAAATGTGGAACTGTTATTCAAATAATCCACAAACCCAGTCAATATGCTAATCAGTATCAAAGTCAGAAATGTCATAAAAGTGTACAAAACTTATGAATACATTTCCAACTTTTACTAATGACCATGTACCTTGTTAACAGTATGAAACAAACAATAGAAAGCAGAAATTAATGGTGCCTTTTGGGGAGAACAAACAGTGTCGTGCTGACCCTTCCAGAGACATTAAGCTGACGGTACATTGTTTCAAGTCCATTAACCGAAGCTGAAGGTTGATGTGTGCAATGCTTCGTCAATGTGCCTACCCATTATCTGCTTTTCTCCGCTGTCTGATTCAGGATGATAACCCTCCTTAATGGTCGCTCTCCGTTCATACTATATCAAACACAACTCATGTCGCCACTTGAGTGGCTGATGGGGAGGCAAAAAAAATGGGAGGATAATTATAGCCTCTTCAATGAACCTCGACAGTGGACAGTTCTGAGAATATCTGTTAACTCTTAGTTGTCTGCTCTCCTCAGTGTACGTCGCTGTGCTGTAAGCAGTGTCAGGACACAGAAATCACAACAAAGAATGAGATCTTCAGGTGAGATCTTTTTTTCATTAGATTTACTATGTTGGAAATTATTTTCTTTTCATTGTGATTATTTTATTTTTCACTCTGCCTTTTTGTTCACATTTCCTTATGTTTAAAAAAAATCAAATGTCAAAAACAGTGCATGAAGAACATGGATATGTGTCATTTTAGTTCAGCATATCTGTGTTTGAAATGCGGCCACAGAGCAGCAACAAAACATAAATGAGAAGTCCTCTAATGCCCTGGTGCAGCACTGGCTTGAACAAACAGTGCTGCTGTCACACAACAGCGTGCCTGAAAAAGGCGAACAACCTTTTATGATTATATTGTATTGATACAATATTTTTTAGTCCACAAGACTAAAAGTATTCTTCTCCGTTATCATTGTCATTACAAAGGCATCAAAGTGGAGCCCCCTGTGGCTGTCTGTCTAGGTAAAAGGGACACATAAGTGCAGGGATTACGTCATTAAAATAGTTGGACCTGCTCTGCAGCTCCGCTGACAGCCTGAGCACGCAAGCACTCACCGTTATATAATGTCATTTTCTCTGATTTGATATGGTTAACGTCTTAGTCAAAAAGTGACACACAAAACCCTGAAGAAGAATGAAACCGTCCAGGAATGTTTGTAAAGATTGTGCTCCTGTCATCCAAATTATCAGCGCCAATGAGTGATAGTGTGTGCAGGATGAGTTCTGAGAAAGAGATTCAGAAGTTACAGAGCTAAGACTAATGATGTGCTACATGGTTAATGCATTTTCAGTCAGAGGCCCATGAAACAAACACTGGTGCTTCTTGAAAATCGGTGGGAGTTTACTTTGCTTGTTATTTGAGTGTCATTATTCTGGATCTATACAAGCTCAAAAAGTCATACCCTTGATCAAATATAATATTCTTACATATTACTCCTGTCGTGGCATGTTTTTCTGACTAGACACACATTTTGTAATAATCTGTGGTTACATATAACAGTAACTTTTGTTTGCATTTCATGGCAGTCCAAAATGTGCTATTTTAGTTTTGAACTTAAAATCAGGACAATTGTTTGAAAAGTCTGAAAGGCTCCATTGATGAGGGCCATCTTCCTCATTCAGGTTTGATCCTTACATTAGATTTAACAGAAAAAGTATTTATTTTAGCCCAAGAAGAGATTATGTTGCAGATCTGTCATTCTAAACTTTATTTGTGTTGTTTTTTTCTTGACATTGAAAATGTGCGCAATGCAAGCAGGTTTCAGATATAATGATAAATAATCCATTTTAGCAGTATTTGTTCAGCTTCTGCAACAGTTTTTACAAATTGCTTGACAGAAACAGCTGAATTTTCATTTGCAAATAGGTTTCTTTAAAACACTTTGGCTACTTTTCTGTGGTCTCTCCATTTAGTTTTCTAGTCAGACTCACTGCTGATGGCCTGTTCAACCTCCCTCTTCTGTCTCCGCAGCTTGTCTCTCTATGGCCCCATGGCTGCATACGTGAACCCTCACGGTTACGTCCACGAAACACTGACTGTCTACAAAGCCAACAACCTCAACCTGGTCGGCAGGCCATCCACGCTGCACAGTTGGTTTCCAGGGTAACTCCTATTCTCATGGCACTCAGCTGACTCCTTTCCATCAATGTAGTAAATGAGCAGCCTGTAAATGTGTTCAGGTGGATTCAGGTAGGGAGACATTAACCATCCAGAGTCTGTAGGAAGGCCATGTGCAGCACCAGCTTTCTGTGAAGAAAAAAGAAAATGCTCCTCATAGATTAGTTTGCCCTTCTGTGACAGAAACCACCTTAATGTGGTTACCAGTCTCGGTTTTTCCTTTTTAAGGAATTTCTAAGGGTAGATTGTATTTGAATCACTGATACACTGTTTGGTTAGCAGTAACAGAGTTATGCTGTATTACTTTCGCATTTACAGTATAAATTAACATGCACAAAAATACCACTGGACTGTCCTTTCCAAGGATTTAGATAATAATTTGAAACAGAGCTGTATGTGCTTTGTCCAGACCGGCTGAATAACTTTCTGGATGTTGAAGACTCTTCCGAAATGCAGATCAAAACAGTCACTCTAAGACTCTTAATAGGCACCAAACCGGTTCTAAATGGAAGGGTTGTCTGTGGTAAAAACGTGACCTGATCTCAGTCAGACTGACAGTAAGGGCTCTGCTCACAAATGACTGCAGCAGCACTGTGTGCTTTGCACATCATCACACTGATGATGAAAATCAGGTGCTGTTCAGCTCTCAAAGTGCTTATACATTTTGGGTAAGTTAGCAGGGCTGCATTTCACTGCACAGTGAGGGCACATGCAGTGCTAAACAAACGTAAAAGACCCCCTGCTAGAAACACAGAAGTCTTTCAAAAACCTGTTTCAAGCTGAAATTAAGAATTAAGAATGAAATAGTCGCTTTTTAGACATCACTTGAAGACTATTATTCTTACTCTGATTGTTTGTCTACTTTCTGACAGTTTCTCCTGTTTTTAAGTTGCACAGATATTCTGTTCTTACAGACTTGCATTAGATTAAACTTTTGTCTTACCAGTTTCCAGATTAATTAAATCCCTCATGGACTTGAGCTTTTAAGACACATATGAGCAAACAGCCACAGACACTAAAACAGCGGGGGCTGCGTTTGGTGTTTTGACTGGAGTCTCCAAGGAAACTAATGTATTGGCACTCAATGAAACAAAATCAAATTAGAAGCTGGTGGAATAATAGATTGTGTAGTGTAGGAAGTTAAAGCATCTAAGAGATATGACTGCCCTTACCTGACTTAGACAGAGGTCTGGGTGCCGTTGCCTTAGACAATTACTTGCTGAGAACACATAATATTTGAATTGCTGAATGGGGAAAAAAGGTATACTTATGCACTTAGTTTGTTTACAAGCCAATCTTGTCTAATGTGTCTTTAAAGTAGTTTCACGCAGTACAAATGGACTTTATTTAAATGAATGTTTTTTCAATTCATTATGGATTAGAAATGAGGAAGAGAAAATACAATACAATTTGAAGGGTAAGGATCCTTCCAATTAAGTCCTGTCTGGAAAGTGATTATATTTTTAAAAAAAAATCAACATATTTCAACACATGCAAAAATGTGATCTTTCTGGAACATGTATCCTGACACCCGGTTTACGCCCAGGCGTTACTTTTGAAAAGATGTGAGCATCCTCTGGGTTTTGGGAATAAACCGGTGAAGTGTTGAGTCGGATTCAGTCAATTGAAGGATATGGCGAGCAGTCACAATTGATCCAGTCATGTTGGGCAACACACAAAATAAGTAAATATCCATATTCCCTGTACATATGTTGATCGTGGAAATATTGTTGTTGTTTGTATTATCTTTGGAGAGAGAAAAGATGATCAGCTGACCATATTTTTAAAAGCTTATTAGAAATTTGAATATTTACTCATGATGTGAATCATATTAACTGGAATCTATTTTCTGCTTCTTTAGTATGCTATTTATGCAAAATCAGACAACAGGGATTCATTAGAGCCTGATGGAACAGATCTTTAAGAAACCATGCTCCTGTCTTTGCTCCACAGGTATGCCTGGACAATTGCTCAGTGTCGAACCTGCGGCTCTCATATGGGTTGGAAATTCACAGCCACCAAGAAAGACTTGTCTCCGCCTCGTTTTTGGGGTCTGACGCGTTCAGCCATGCTTCCACGCATCCCACAGGGCGAGGGGGAGGACGGCAGAGGAGGGTCCCGCCTCTTCTGCCTGTGATGCCTCCTTTAAACATCAAAAAGTCCCAGCCAACTTCCCCAAGTCTGGATCTCCAGTCAGCGTCTGGCCGCTCTTTCTTAGCTACTTACTTGTAATCACTGCATCACAGCACCTGTCATCTCTGGCAGGGGAATCGATCACAATAGTGGAAAGTGCCCGTGAGCCCTAAACGGCATTCCTGAGAGCTGATTTGAAGGAGAATGGATCTAATGAAAGCTTTAAAGTGTGGAGGGAGGCATGACGAGAGCAATGGTGTATGAAAAGAATAGATTGGACGAACTGGGTCTGTGTTTCTTGTCCCAGCATGCAGCCTCCTAATCTGCACCCCTCTCTGGCTGTTCATCAAGATATAGCTGCAGGTTCACACAAACATAAAGGTGTGCTGAATGCACAGTGCTTCATACCATCACCTCCTGTCTCCTAATGCAGTCTGGCTGCATTTAGCTGCCGCAGAGATTTGTGAGTTAAATCAGTAAACTTGCTGTAAATTCAGCTTGAACTCAGAATACTCTGTCTGTGTTTGACAACATGCTCGAGCCCATAGCCCGTGAAAAAAACACATCTGGATGAAAGGGCCCTAATGTGTAGGTAGAATTAGAACCCCCAGGGAGACATTTTCAACAGTGGAATTAAATTTGATGTATTTTTGTATGCAAGAGAATCTGAAATGGGTTAAAGATATTTGTTGGGGTGTAAAAAAGTGGGCAGTTTGTTTTAACATTTTCTTTTGTTTTTATAAGCAAAAGAAAGTGGATAATAGTGGGGAGGGCATCTGTACCCCGGGGAATCTTTTTTGTTTTGTATTGGACAGAAACCCGTCTGGTGAAATGGTTCACAAACACTATCTCTGGTTGCACCATTCAGAATTAGATATGTATCAGTGCCTCAGGACAGACTTTTTCACAAAGGTCAAAGATGATTAAGGAAAAAGAGCAAGAGAGCAAGCATTTACCTGTGTATTTATCATAGTGTGTGGCATGTTAAAATGCTGTTTGTTCTCCTGCTTAGTGTCTTTTCTTATGTTTGAGCAACACCAGGCAGCGATAAGATGCAGACCTTTAAATTCTTTTTGAGTTTGTGCTTTCAGTTTTCCTGTTGTATTTGATTTATTTGTTTAGACTTTGCTGCCGAGCGCCAGCTCACGTTTGTATAATACAACTGTATTATAATATAGCAATTAAGGACTTAGCTTTGTTCCTCAATATGACTGTTGTTCTGTAGTTTGTTTAACCTAACTTATTTTTCAGAGGTCTTCTTTTACAGAAGAGTATCGGCAGATAATCTTTTCATCGGTAAACAGAAAAATGGAACACGGTGAGACATGTGCCTAAGCCAATTTATTGATTACAGCTGAAGTTTTTGGGAAATACATTTTACTTCCTATCTTTTTATTGAAAGATGGTGATGACTGATATCATCTCAAACCGGAGCAATGGCTTGTACCTTTTGTCTGTGAAAAAGAAAAAAAAATGCAGTAGCTGAATACAATTGTTTGTATGAGGGTTATTTTCAACTCTTCACAGTGAGCTGATCTGAGCCGGTCCAGCCTCCCGTCTGATTGCTGGCTTATTTCAGACCGATTATTTACTGATGAAAAACTTTTTTCTTTAGAGAATTAAATATTCACACATTATTTTTTGTTTTAAGTACCTGCAATATCACATAGGATTCCAGAGTTGGGCTATCACTTCACCCAGAAGCGATCTAATCCTTGATCCTCCTGCTCCTGTGATTCTCCCTCAAAAGTTTAATCATGTGGACCTCCTCAGAGAGTCGATTTAAAATCACATTTCAAAGCCTTAAAATTCTCAAGTTTCATATCATAGTTGTTAAGGAGACGTTTTCCCTATGAGAGGATCAACGGAAATCCAAATGGCAGCGTTTTAATCAAACGTTTTTGTTTAATTGTATGCCTGGCTATCAGATTATCATTCGACTATAAAGCTATAAAATTAACGCTTCACTGAGGATATCAGTTGCCTGGTTCCAGAGAAGGTCTTTGCTTGTTTTTCCATTTCAGTTAATGTATCACAGAGTAAAATAAACATGCAGGTTAAAAACATAGACGGTTTGTCTGATTCTCATGCTTCCTACCATTATCTTAAGGACCCCTCCAAGAAGAGTGTTTCTTTGAGTGAAGAACACAGGGTTTTTGGAAACAGCGTCTTGCATTACCTAACTCACCATTCAGCGTGTTATCAAAAACATTCTTTCTGTCATTCCCTGAAAAATGGTGATGTTATCTCTTTAGTACATTTTTTTCTGCTTAATTTTTAAAGGATTTTTAATTTTGTAACTGGGTAAAAAAATACAGTGCCCATCACAAAGATGCTTTTTTTCCCAAGAACCATATTTCTTTCAACATGTACAATTTCTTTCAACATGTTTCTCTAACTAGGAGTCATATGACATGACAGGTCAATAAGCATTGCTCAAATTTTTCTGTTGTTCTGACACTACTTTCCTCTTAGAGTCTTTATACCAGGTAAGGTATCGGGCAGTACTTTTCCACTCAAAGTGCTCTTTACTTTTCACCACAGGGACCAGTTAATGGTAACTGAAATATTCGTTTAGACCATTTCACGCCCACGGTTTCCTGTGTTCCTCTCAAGTTTTTAATTGAAACAAGATATGGGAAATTTAATAGTGAAATAGAACAAAAATTATGTTTCCTCTTTTGATCAGTTGAAGTAGTCTGTTTAAAAGAGCTAAAAGTTATTAGAAGGTTCTCCCTATCATTTAGCAAGATAGTAAATAAAAAAGTCAGTTTAAAGATATGAAACACCAAAAGACACTGGATAAATGTGCTGAGTAAGCCTAACATTTTCATATATAACTGTTGAAAGCGTGTAGGTCAAGTTACATGACAAAGAAATGTGTAAAGGATTCTCACAAAAAGAGATCTGCAAAACCACAGCAGAGAAAGACTTTCAACCTTGTATTTGTAGATTTGAAGACTTGTAGATGAGGATGAGCTGTTCCACGTGAGCTGCAAAACAGCAGTAAACACCATCAAGACTGGTGGTGTGGTGGTTAGCATCATCGCCTTACAGCAAGAGGGTTCTGGGTTTGAGTCCCTAGGGAAAATAGGATTTTTCTGTTTGGAGTTTGCATGTTCTTCATGTGTCTGTGTGGGTTCTCTCCGGGTTCTCCGGTTTCCTCCCAATGTCCAAAAACCTAAATGTTAGGTTGACTGGACATTCCAAATTGCCCTTAAGACTGAGTGTGTGTGCTCGTTTATCCTTGTCCTTGACAAAAGATAAACTTTTTCGGTCACAATATAACTAGGTCACATATTTCAAGCTACACTATCAAAAAGAGTTAAGCTTTCTCTGATCAGTGATAAGTTGGAAAGAGTTCTGCATGAATAAAACTGATTCAAGTCTGTGTTCTGATGAAGACTGTATGAGACACAGCAAATGAGACCATGGACAGCAAATGGCAATTCTGTATTCACAGCCATGAGTGCCTTGCTGCTGATTGTGTGATGTAAGGTACTTACACAGTGTTATTAATGTGCATGAGATGTTCAACGTGAGCATGCTATCTGTTTGTGTTTGAACATTTAGGCAATACAAGTACATATTGTGCTCAATTATTAATTAACCTCACTATTGACGTCCAAAGAAATTCAATATTCATTTCACAGTCAGTAGACCAGAGGATATTAATTAATTTTAATCTATCTATCTATCTATCTATCTATCTATCTATCTATCTATCTATC